GTCATGTCTTATGTTGTAGAAAACAGGTTAGCTGTGTGGGTAACCAGTCCCTATAGGAAAAAGGAACCCCTGACGTATCGGGGTCCCTGTCCTTTGAAGTAGTCAGGACAGAGAGAAAAAGGAACCCCTGACGTATCGGGGTCCCTGTCCTTTGAAGTAGTCAGGGCAGAGAGAAAAAGGAACCCCTGACGTATCGGGGTCCCTGCCTTTGGAGTAGCCGGGGCAGAGAATAGAGAATAGAAAATAGTTAGTGAAACCATGGTGTAAAATTAAAAGTAATTATAAAAAGGGAAACGTTAAACACTAGTGCCTTTTGTTACAAGTGTTGAAAGTGATCACTTCTAGACTTGGATGACAAAAGTTTAAAGAACAACATCAGTTATATTCGCTTAACAAAGTAATCTTGAAAGTTATTCTTCTGTATCTTTCTGCCTGTGTGTGCGTCGCTCTATCTTGCTGCCGTTGTCAGGGAAACGGCCCCCTCCTTCGCTGCTCTGGCTCTGAATCAGAGCAAAGCTACTGCTTTTAGGATTTTGGCTTTTATTAAGTTTTTAAATTTGCGAAATTTGCCATTTGAACATTGTGTTATGACACAGTTAAACGTTTTTAAACACCATTAGTGAATACGTTTTGAATATTAGTATGTTTTTGAAACCCAAATATTAGGGCTAAAGCTTTGCTTTTCTTTTTAAATCTGCTGCTTATTTTTTTGAGTCCATTATTGTATCTGATATTTCATAGCTGTTAGTGAGAATTTTTTTATGTTTTTATTTTAGTTACAAAAGCCGTTTTTCAAACATTTAAATTAGAATCTGTTAAAAGTGATTATTGATTATAGACTTCGTCTAAAAAGAAAGAGGGAATTAGGCTGTAAAAGTATTATTAAGTTAAACTACCCAATTCACCCAATTCACATTCAAGTGGTGACTTTTGTTTTTGTTTTGACTATGCACCTGACCTTACTGCTGCTGATGCCACAGCAGAGGAGCCTGGTCTAAAATGTGCTCCAATTCATACTGACTTCATTTGAAAAATGCTGCAATTATTTTAAATTAGTAAAATATATGCTGAGATAAATGCATAGATAATTAAACACACAGTACAAAAGTACACAATACATATTTTAAAGTTTGAAGGTTTAAGAGATTTGAGTCTTGTTTTTTATTAAGAAAGAGTTTCTGGTCTTAAAATGTCATCATTAGTAAGATAATAAGTAATCTTTTATTTACATAGCGCATGTGGGAAAACCCAGAGCGCTCCAAAATTGTTTAGACTTTAGAGAGAAAAACAATCTCATTCGCATACTGATATCTATTGTTTTTTTAAATTGGCCGTCTCAAGGATTGTTTTTCAGACTCTGCCACACTGTACGAGAGGTCACTGCTGGACACTGGACAGCGCAACGCCCACCCAGCCACAGGTCACAGAGCTAAGAGCAAAGGGCAACAATGCCACCTCTACGCCCCTCCCCCCACTACAGAAGTAAGTGGGAGTGAGACCGGGGCCATGAAAGTGGAGGTTTCTGGAGGCAGTGATGGGTGGAGGCCTCAGGTAGAGACCACGTGTAACCAAGTGTGTCCACGTGGTTACATCACCACAGTGTGACCTTTGACACCTACAGGTGGTTCGAGGAGTCTGGAGACACAACCCCAAAATTCACATACACACACACACACACACACATACACACACATACACTCACACATTCACATTTACATATAGATACATGAAAAAGCAGAACATGAGAAAAAAGCATTTTAAAAGTTTACTCCAATGTAAACACATTTTTAATTGTCTATCACTTGAATCTTTAGTTGAATCAGTATTTTTTGAGACCAGAAATGTTCATTTGAATTCTATATTGTCATGGACATAATTGACCTCTGTCCTGACACTTTTGATTTGTTGATTTTGTACTGTGTGAAGTAATTACATTGATTAGAATTAGATCTGATAAAAACACAAATTAGAGAAGTAAAATGAATCATTGCGCTTGCTTTTGTCTGAGGGACAGAAGCAACAGCATGAATAGATATTGTGTTAAAGTAGAATCAAAGTGACTAACCATAGAGAGTAACTATTGCATAACAAGCTGTGTACAGGAACTGTGACACTGCACCATTGATCAGAAGTGCATCGCAAATGACCTGATGTGCTTCAAGTGAAAAGACTGTATCTGGAGATCCTGATGTGCATCTGGAGAGACCAGAACCATGGCTTGGACCCTACTGATGTCAAGGATGACATCTCTCTATGACCTGACCTGATGACGACTGAGACTCACCCTCAGGGGACCTGAGGACCTGAGGACCTGAGGACCCTGAGGACCTGAGAGAGAAAACTGGGGAGTGATGTTTATATTTTTGAAATCATACATTGATGAGTGCTAAATGAGAGAGATACTCATGATTCTTTCTTTTGTTTTTGTTTGTCCCTAGCTTCTGGACATCTGATGATCTATTGGACACAGCCATTTGCAGAACAAGAACCAGCCAATGAAAAAACGTCTATTGCCGATGCTATTGCTACAACCACAACTGTGACAAATGCAATATACATGTTAAGTATTCAGACATCTGACAGACAAAACTTTGACTTTTTAGTCTGGGAGACTGAGCAACTGTTAAAATGTTTTAAAATGATAAAGTATGATTATTGTACCGTTTTAGTAGATGTTAAATAGTAGTAAAAAAGTAGAATTGTCCTTCCTTTGTTGTTCATAAACACATTTCCACATAAGAGTTAAAATAGTACCCTACAATGTTATCCTTTTGATAGATCAGCTATAATATTAGAATCAGAGTATTTTAGAGATATTAAAAGTGACAGAAGTCACAAACTAGAAATATGCCTTTGCTCAAGCTGCAACCGAGCTTTGGAGTCAAAAAATAGAGTAAAAATAGGAATAGATAAATGCATCAACCATAGATTCTTTCAAAAATAGAGAATATTCTTAGCCAGTGCTAATATCAAATGGTAAAGGGACCATTTCACAAGCATTTACTTCAAAAGTAGATAAAGTTACTTACAGTTTTATGTACAGTTTTATTAGATACTGCCAAATTCACTTGTGTTCAAACATGAGTGAATGTTGACAATACAAAAAGTCCATATGAGTGTAGCCTAGATTAATGCCTAGATCAATGAGATAGATTACAACCAACAGAGATTTAAAAGCATTTTGATGCATTTGGGTGTAGCCCAAAAACACAATAGTAGATATTTAGATATCTTTGAGAAGTTTAAAAAGCTGTAAATTCATCAGCACAGATTAGAATCAGAATTCAAACAGCATTGTAGAATAACTGACCCCAACCCAAACCTGCTAAAATAGATTAGCTCTTGTAAGGATAATACTAATTTGATTATTGACCAAACTGCCTGAGAGGAGGAAGTGACAGCACTTCCTGGTTCAACAAATGTATTTGGAAAACTGACCGCCATAATAATGTTCATATTAACCATTTGCCTTACTGTGTTCACAGTTTTATTCCTGAGAATGTAGAGTAGACATAGAGCAAAATCCCACTGATAATATGCCACTGATAATGAAAGTAAACTAAAGAGAGATTTATTAGATTAAAATGTATGTTTAAGAATATCGCTCAATAGAATCAAATATGCAAACATATTTGTAAATAGATTAGAATAGTTTTAAACTATAGTGATAGTAAAAGTAAAGTACACAGTCTAAGATTGATAAGTGAAAATAATACAGTGAAATAAGTGAAGTGTAAACAATCAGCATTAGAATAAAAGTATAGAGTAATAAAAGTGAAATTAGCTTCAATTTGAGACTCAGCTCGTTTTTGTCTGTGTTTTGACTGAATCTACTGAGTTCTTGTGTGTCCAATAGTGTTTGTTTGTTTTTATTTTTGTTTTTGTTTGTTTTTGTTTTTTGTTTGTTTGTTTTTTTCCAGGATAGAGGATAAAATCCACTGATATTGATTTTGATGATTATGAGTTTAATGCATACATTTTCTTTGTTTTTAATATTTTTTTAAAGTTTTTTTTTTTGATTTTTTTTTTTTTCTTTTTCCACTTTATTGATTGATCAAATTGAGTGATCACATGTGATTATGTGATCAAAGGGGAGGGTGTTAGTATTATATAGCAATATGGCCTACGTGCAGGACTGTACAAGGACTCTACAAGGACTCCATGTTATGACTATGATGTGACTGTCTCTGTGTGACACGTATGTCTTTCGATGTGTGACGTGACAATGACTATATAAACTGTGTACTGCCTTTATTCTGTCTGAGAGAAAGAAACAGAGGAAACCAGTGGAACTTGAGAGAAACTTAAATAAACTTCCAGAGTTTGGCGCACCACGATCCGTCTCTGTCTGCGTAAATCCTAACACTCCTTCCATCAGTGAGATCTTTGAAGATGAAACGTGGCTGGGTCTTCCAGCATGACAATGATCCCAAACACACCGCCCGGGCAACGAAGGAGTGGCTCCGTAAGAAGCATTTGAAAGTCCTGGAGTGGCCTAGCCAGTCTCCAGACCTCAACCCCATTGAAAATCTGTGGAGGGAGTTGAAAGTCCGTGTTGCTCGGCGACAGCTCCAAAACACCACTGCTCTCGAAGATCTGCATGGAGGAATGGGCCAAAATACCAGCTACTGTGTGTGCAAACCTGGGAAAGACCTATAGTAATCGTTTGACCTGTTATTGCCAACAAAGGTTATATTACAAAGTATTGAGTTGAATTTTTGTTATTGACCAAATACTTATTTTCCACCATAATTTACAAATAAATTCTTTAAAAATCCTACAATGTGAATTCCTGGATTTTTTTCACATTCTGTCTCTCACAGTTGAAGTGTACCTATGATGAAAATTACAGACCTCTGTCATTATTTTAAGTGGGAGAACTTGCACAATCTGTGGCTGACTAAATACTTTTTTGCCCCACTGTATATATATATATATATATATATATATATATATATATATATATATACATACACACACACAAACACACACACACTCACCATCTGCAGATCCGTCTTCAGCTTCGTTCAAACTCACTAAGAGACAAAAGTCATGTTTATTTGAATGAGGTTCGGAAATATGGTAAATATGTCATTTCTAAATTTTAATCACATTGAAGCTTGTAAACTGAATTTTTAGTGACTGAAATACAAAGATAATAGTCAAATGTGCTTTTTCAGGGTTAAAAATTTCAAATGGGAAAATTCAAGCTCATTTAAAATACAAAATCTGACAACATCTTTGTTAAACGTTCTCTTATCTGAAATGTAAAACCCTCACCGTTCCTCCTCTCTCCTTGCATCTGGTCCGGTCTCTGCATCTGGTCCGGTCTCTGCATCTGGTCCGGTCTCTGCATCTGCATCTGGTCCGGTCTCTGCATCTGCATCTGGTCCGGCCTCTGCATCTGCATCTGGTCCGGCCTCTGCATCTGCATCTGGTCCGGCCTCTGCATCTGGTCCGGCCTCTGCATCTGGTCCGGCCTCTGCATCTGGTCCGGCCTCTGCATCTGGTCCGGCCTCTGCATCTGGTCCGGCCTCTGCATCTGGTCCGGCCTCTGCATCTGGTCCGGCCTCTGCATCTGGTCCGGCCTCTGCATCTGGTCCGGCCTCTGCATCTGGTCCGGCCTCTGCATCTGGTCCGGCCTCTGCATCTGGTCCGGCCTCTGCATCTGGTCCGGCCTCTGCATCTGGTCCTGTCTCTGCATCTGGTCCTGTCCCTGGTTTGGTCCAAAATGGTGCGTAGGATTCATGACACTGGTGTGGAGCGCAGAGTCTGAATTTGTCCTGAAAAACGAGAAACGAGAAACTCAGGGATGAGGAGAAAGAGTTTTAAATGTGACGGTTTTGAAAAGTTTCATAAATGAAAGAATGAAATCCACAGGTCTGAGAGAAGCAGAGAAGCCCGAGGTGGAACTTTGAGCAAGTGTGGGCCGGTCCCGGCTCCAAAAGGACCATGAGCACGTGCACTGACCTGCTGTAATCTCACTACACATTAGTTTCAACGGCGGAGTTAGGCGTCACTACGTCTTTAATATTTACAGTCTATGGTTAGCTCTGAGCCAGCAGGTTAGCATGGTCCTTCTGTGGGAAAGTGTTAGAGCAGCCACAGCTCCCCTTGCAGGCAGGGGACAGAGCGCCCCTAGTGGGCAGAGAAAGGTTACATGTCTCTAGTGGACAGAAGGTGACATCACATGACTCTAGTGGACAGAAGGTGACATCACATGTCTCTAGTGGACAGAAGGTGACATCACATGTCTCTAGTGGACAGAAGGTGACATCACATGTCTCTAGTGGACAGAAGGTGACGTCACATGTCTCTAGTGGACAGAGGAGGAGTCACCTGTTGAGTTGAGACATGAACCTAAAAGCTGCCGGTTTGTCATCCCAGGAGGAGTTCAGGTCCCTTCAACAGAGTTTTACAGTTATTCTTAGAGTCATACATTCCGTACTTTCTGGACTTTTAGACGCACCTGTAAACAAGCCCCAACACATTTTATCCAGATATAGGCAGCACTTACAACAGCTTAACCGTTGGCTTCCATTTATAATAAATGTGTCCTATAGCTACTATATCAGTCAAAATAATAAGTCCATAAACTCCGACAACTCTATCACAATAAAATTATACATAAAAGCTGCAAAGAACTAGAAAAAAGTAGGGGCTTCTAGTCCAGAAACTACGGTAGTTAATCAAGTTATTAGCGTTAATTACAGGTTTAATAGGGTTTGTTGAGTGTTCTGTGCAATAGCAGTGCATGTGGTGGGCGTGTGAGGGGGTGAGGTAGGGGTGAGGTGGGGGGGTCAGGTGGGAGTGGAGGGTGTCAGCTGGGGGTGAGGTGGAGCCAATGAGGTGGAGGTGACGGTGAGATGGGGGTGCAGTTGGTGTGGTTACCTCCTCCAGGTCTGGTCAGGGGGCGGGGACAGGTACATCTGTGCGTACGGAGACGAGTCACAGTGAAACTCGTTAAAGAGCAAACATTATTGAGTATGAGACAAGCAGGATTACAACACTGCCTCTAGTGGCACAAGTGGGACAAGACACATTCCTAATGGAGTTTGAAAACCGCAGCTGGACAGAAGGGGCAGGGAGGGCAAAGGATATGTGCCGATGCTTCTCCTGGCGCCGCTGAGTGTGCGGTGAGCTCATCCTGGGTCTGTGAACGCGCTCCACCAAACCGTGATGCCGAGTCGATCTGGGGTCCAAGACTGGGGGGAGGGGGTTCTGCAGAGAGGTCAGGGAGAGAGCAGAGACAGAGGTCAGAGAGGGCAGCATCGTGCTATGATCAGAGGAGACTGACAAATGCAAAACATTATGTATGGCACAAAATATGTTGACCCGTTAGCATACCGGGCTCTCGGAGCACATCTGGTTGACGTTGGGCAGGGAGCCTCCATAGAGCTGTCCTCTGGTCTGAGTCAGACGCAGCTGCTGCACTTTCTGAAACTGCACCTGAAGATAACATATCAGCAAACATGAGGAGGAGGAAGGGAGAACATGTTATTATATAACTCTGCAGCTCTGTGTGTTTCACAGACCACAGCTTCCACACACTTCAATTCTAACTCAACTCATACAGACTTTATAAAACCACACTTTTTAGGCTAAAGAGGAAACAACACATATATGAGAAACTGTCTGCTTCCACGGTGGTCCTCCTTGGTGGTCAACATGTCCTCCCAGGTGGTCCTCCGTAGTGGTCCTCATCTACTGTGTGGTGGTCCTTATCTCCTCTCTGATGGACTGTGGTGGTCCTTATCTCCTCTCTGATGGACTGTGGTGGTCCTTATCTCCTCTCTGATGGACTGTGGTGGTCCTTATCTCCTCTCTGATGGACTGTGGTGATCCACTTCTCCTTCCTGATGGACTGTGGTGGTCCTTATCTCCTCTCTGATGGACTGTGGTGGTCCTTATCTCCTCTCTGATGGACTGTGGTGATCCACTTCTCCTCTCTGATGGACTGTGGTGATCCACTTCTCCTTCCTGATGGACTGTGGTGGTCCTTATCTCCTCTCTGATGGACTGTGGTGATCCACTTCTCCTCCCTAATGGACTGTGGGGGTCCTTATCTCCTCTCTGATGGACTGTGGTGGTCCTTATCTCCTCTCTGATGGACTGTGGTGGTCCTTATCTCCTCTCTGATGGACTGTGGTGATCCACTTCTCCTCTCTGATGGACTGTGGTGATCCACTTCTCCTTCCTGATGGACTGTGGGGGTCCTTATCTCCTCTCTGATGGACTGTGGTGGTCCACTTCTCCTTCCTGATGGACTGTGGGGGTCCTTATCTCCTCCCTGATGGACTGTGGGGGTCCTTATCTCCTCTCTGATGGACTGTGGTGGTCCACTTCTCCTTCCTGATGGACTGTGGGGGTCCTTATCTCCTCTGTGGTAGTTCACATCTCCTCCCTGATGGACTGTGGGGGTCCTTATCTCCTCTGTGGTAGTTCACATCTCCTCCCTGATGGACTGTGGGGGTCCTTATCTCCTCTGTGGTAGTTCACATCTCCTCCCTGATGGACTGTGGGGGTCCTTATCTCCTCCCTGATGGTTCTTAAGACACTCTCTCAAGTCCCTCAGTAGGACATAGGTGTAGGACACATTAAGGGACACTTTAGGGCACTCACCCTAGACACTGTGATGTCTGTCATCAGCTGCTCAAACGCCCGCGTCTCCTCCGCCTGTTTCTGGTTGTGCAGCGCGATCTTCTCGCTGAACTTCCGCGGGTTGGAGGCTCCAGAGCCCGGGCCTGACATGGTGGAGGTCCCGGGGCTCTCAGCTCACAGAGGCCGCTCCAGAGTGCATGAGAGGCGGCCACACAGCTCAGACAGCCGCGTTAGCCTCGTTGGCTGCTCTGTGCTAAGTGCACTTTGTCAAATATAAAACTGTTTTCCACATTAATCTGAGGCCCACATCCCAGCAGCTTTACCAGAGCCCGAGTGCCTCCACGTGGAGCTGAATACAGTCTGCAGAACTTTAATATTAAACTTTAACTTCAACAGGTGCTAACGATGCTAACCATAGATGCTAACTGTAGAGAAACCCGTGAAAGTTTAATTGAACAGACTTTTCATGTCCCCTTCGTGGACACACGGAGGACACTTCCACTGTGGGGATGTCCACCTGACTAACTCACATTTACGTGTTATTAAAGTGTTGTTTTGTGTTGTTTGAAAACGTCTGACAGCGCTGAGCTATGCTAACATGCTAGCGCTAGCATCAATCATTTCTCTCCAACTACAGCTAAAATCCAAACTCACAGTGGGACCCCTGTGGAACCCGGATGTGCGCGTGGATCATAATAATATAATGTCGTAAATGTAAATGGACTGAAGTCACATATAAACATTTACTCAGCCACTTGATCCAATGTTTTTGTTCAAACTCAGAAACACAGACTTTATCAGGAGGATTTTGACGTAACTCCTCATTCTATTAGAAACGTCCAAACGTGATTTAAATAAAAAATAAAATAAGGCGCAGATTTTAAGTTAAATGCAGGAAAATGACAAGTGCCCGTTTGACTCTCAACAAGTGTCCTTTCCGAAGAAACACGAAGTTTACCGACAACTTCCGAATGTCAACCTCAAGCGAAAAGATCCAAATGCCTGGGATCGCCGTGTGTCCCCGGGCATGGGTTCCCCTGTGGAGGTGTGGGGGACTCGGGGTAGAACGGTCCGTGAAAACGCGGTTATTCCGTGACAAAGTGCAGGTTTCTGTGGTCTTACATAGTATACGGTAGAGCTGGAAAAACACTGTAGTACCGCTGCTGGCCACCAGAGGGAGGTAGGGGGCAGTCCCACCATCATGTTTACGACCACAACAAAAGCCCTGTTTCCACCAGCCCTACTCAGCTCTACTCAGGTCCTATCCAGGCTTAGCGCTAAAGCAGTGTTTTTCAACCAGTGGGCCGTGGCAAGTTAGTGTGTCTTGAGAAGTTGTTTAGTGTGCCTTCGGAAATTATCCAATATTACCTAATGGCTCTTTTGCAGTTACATGACGAGCATGCATCTGGGTGCCATATGGAGAGGATAGCAGCTGTCAATCAAGCAGTCAGAGTGCAGATTTTTTCAGTGAAATGGACATTCAAAATAAGGACGAGAAGGCTTACAGGGAGAAACTCAATAATGAGGGCAAAGACCGGTTTTTAGCTAAGTTACCTCTATTAGCAATGTAGCGTTAGAGCCATATGAGTTAGCCACTAAAGCAACTGACCCAGCACTAAATGTAAAAAGTTAATTTTGTCTCCATATGTTTAAGGCTTTGAAGTTATTTTAAAAAGACAAAGTAAAGAAAGCTAGTACTGCTTAATTGCGACCTGTTTGGGAGGTACACTCCCAAGTGTACCTCCCAAACAGGTCTTTTATGTGTCTTTTATCAGCTGTTGATGCCGGGTAAAGGTAAACTTTATTAATCCCGTAGGGTAATTCAATCCTCTGCATTTGACCCATCCTGATGCCACGAAGGCTTACGTCAGGAGCAGTGGTCGCCGTAGTAACAGCGCCCGGGAACCTCCAGATGTTGATGCTCGGCTTGGTCAGGACTACCGGAGTTGGAGGATTTAACCTAGTGTGCATGTTTTTAGTGGTAGGGGAAACCGGAGTACCCAGAGGAAACCTACACAGGCACATGGAGAACATACAGTTTCTGCCCCGACCCAGGACCTTCTTGCTGAGAGGCGAGAGTGCTATCCACTCAGCCACGTGCCGCTCAGTGTGGTCAGTCTGACAGATCTCGCAGATTCCTCAGACTGACCGCGTCCCAGCCTTCGGGGTCTGACTTTACAAGCTGTACACATCTAGAGCCTGGACGTTTGGCCCATTCCTCTTTACACAACAGCTCTCTGAGAAACTGCTATTCACAAACACTCTCATCTAATCCGACTGACTCAGGTCTGGGCTCTGATCGGTCCATTTTGACACCAGTGTCAACATTGTCCCATCAGCTCTGACACTCTTCCCTGTCCCTGCTGAAGAAAAGCAGCCCCATTACCTGCATTTGTAATGATCTCAGACAAAGTGTGAAATAAAAAACTTTATTTTTAGCGACTAAAGTGACAAATAAAAGTTTGAAGGCAATGGTGACATTTCTATGACAACAGTAAATACAATTAATTTTGTTTCTACAACGACAGTAAATAAAGTTTGTTTTGTTTATTTCCCGTAGAATTTCTTGTTGAGCAGAAAGATGAGCAGGTTCACGTTTATCGTCGCTCGATCGAAGAGTTTCATCAGAGCCACGCCTTCGTACTGCAGCTGCAGGAGGTCCTGAGGAGAGACAGAAGGACGCATGGTCTATGGTCTCTGGTCTACGGTTTATGGTCTATGGTCTATGGTAGGCATGTCCAAACTCAGGCCCGAGGGGCAAATTGCGGCCCTCAGTGTAATTTTCTGTGGCCCTCTGCCTTGCTAACCCACAGTAGTCTTTCAGTCTCTGGTCTCTGGTCTATAGTCTATGGTCTATGGTCTCACCTGGTACTCCAGTTGGACCGTCTCCAGATGAACTCCCAACAGTTTTGCTTTGACGTCAAACACTCCGACCTTCTCCGAGCGACAGATCTCAAATATCACATTCTTAAACCTAAAACAGAAAAGTATGTGAGCCAGACTGGCCCAGACTCATGTGGACCAGACTGGACCAGTCTGTACACATGATTGTATAATATGGTTCTCACTGGTTGGGCTGCAGGTCCTCGACTGAGATGAGAACTCCTTTCTCGTGAAGTCGAGACGCGGTGTACTTGTGCGACACCTGTTTGCTCTTCTTCGCTTTGGTGTTGGACGCTCTGAAAAACACAAGACTTTAGAGGTATGTTGTTTCAACCTGTGTCGACTTCTCACCAGGGGAAGACAGGATGAGACCAGAGAAAGAAAGACAGAGAGACCAGAGAGAGCCTTCCCTGGGTCAGCGTGTGTAAGTGTAGCCGTACCTGCCCTGGGTCAGGTTGTCCATACAGGTCCTGATGTACTGCTCGTACTGGTCGATCTGGACGTGGTAGAACTTGGTCTTCTGGTTCAGAGCCGCGTTGGTCTGCTGCAGCCGCACCAGCTCCGCCTTCCTCCGCTGCCGGTACCTCCGCTGGTCCCTGATGTCCTGCACACACACACACACACACACACATACACATACACATGAGCTCGGGGTAGAGCCGCTGGAGGGACTGAGTACATTTACAAAGCATAATAAACAAGACTCCTCTGCTCCAAACAGGTCTAACCCTAGTGAGGTCCAGTCTCTATGACCACTGCTAGGACTGGTCTCACTGCTGACTCCAAAACGAGATGATGCATCGTAATAAAGATATGTCAAACTTTTGCCTCTCGTGCAGAGTCACACGACCATTATGAGGGCGTGGCCTAGGCTCCAAACACATATCTCCATGGCGGGTGAATGCTCTACCCCCAATGGTGACGAGGAGGAGAAAGGAGACGGAGAGGAGGAGCGAGGAGGAGAGGAGGAGAGAGGAGGAGAGAGGAGACGGAGAGGAGGAGAGAGGAGGAGAGGAGACGGAGAGGAGGAGAGAGGAGACGGAGAGGAGGAGAGAGGAGACGGAGAGGAGGAGAGAGGAGGAGAGGAGACGGAGAGGAGGAGAGAGGAGACGGAGAGGAGGAGAGGAGGAAAAGAGAGGGAGTGGTGATGTGGAGGGAGCCAGTGTAACTTCTGACCCCATCTTAAATGTTGTGTTTTTTTAGATTAAGGATGTGTGCAGATTCTAGGCTGGTCTAAGTGACCCTTTGATCTCTCTTTGATCTCTCTTTGATCTCTGCAGGGGACTGGCCAGAGCCATGTTTTTAGTGAGGGTTTAGTGGGGACTGCTGCCTTTCGTCTGCCCTTTTGCCTAAACCTGTGTCTCCTGCTTTGCTCTCGTCTCTTGTTACCTTGGCTATGTCGTTGATCAGACCCTGGTACCGGTCTTGAGGACTCACTCGGCCCATCTCACTCAGCAGCTGTAGGTTGTGACGGATTTTGTCCTTTTTTCCCTGGAGACTCAGTGAGTCCAAGTCCAGGTCCATGTCTGGTCTGGACTGAGTCTGGGTCCGGGCATCTCTCTGGGCGCGTCGCTGCATGGCTCGCTGATACTCTGCCTCCTGAACACAAAGACTTTGTTTAGACTGGGTTTAGACCAGGTTTAAACCGGGTTTAGGACTGAAACTTCACCTGCTCAGGGGACGCAGTGGCGTCCAGGATCTCAGTCAGAGTCTCTCCAGGCTGGAACCGGATCACGTCCACAATGAGCCTCTTGGTGCTGAAACACAGACCGGGTTTAGCCCTAGTCCTGGTCCTGGTCCTGGTCCTGGTCTTACTTGAGCAGTACGGTCTTGGCATCTCTCTCTGAGCTCTCCTCTGCACTCAGGTCAAACTTGTTGGTCAGAGTCAGAGACACTTCAGTCTTGGAGAGCAGATCACGAGCTGGATCCTCCGGGGAGAGAGGCTTCTCTCCTGGAACCAAAGCAACACATAACATTAGGTTTGGGGAGCAGCGTCTCTACGCTGAGCTCCTCTTACTGAGCTGTGTCTACTGTGACAATGTGTCTACTCCCCTCACACACTCACCGAGCAGGGTCTCTACTGTGGGCACCTCTCCCAGGTCTTCAAGCAGCTCGTGCAGCGGGTCGTTCTGCTCGGGGGCGATGGCGTCAGCGTGGTCCAGGAGCAGCTGCAAAACAGGTTTTATGGAGTAAGAGTCGACCAGGATGAGCCACACTGCCTCTGGTGGCAGCAGAGTGGAAATACAATGTGTGTGTTTCAATGTGTGCGTGTCTATGTTCGTCTATCTGCGTGTGTCTATGTGTGTGTTTGTGTCTATGTCCTGTGTGTATTCTCAGAGAGTGTGTGTGTGCGTGCCCTCACCGTGTGTGTGTGTCCTCACTGTGTGTGTGTGTGTGTGTGTGTGTGTGTCCTCACTGTGTGTGTCCTCACTGTGTGTGTTCGTGTGCGTGTGTGTGTGTGTGTGTGTGTGTGTGTGTGTGTGTGTGTGTGTGTGTGTGTGTGTGTGTCCTCACTGTGTGTGTGTTGACCACTTCTCCTATAGAGATGTAGATCACTGGTTTGTTGACCGTCACCAGGTCCGAGTACTGGTCCACATTAAACTTTTCCTCCAGAGACGGGACGTCACAGGCGGCCAGGAAGAAACGCCTGCAGGAGGATTAGTAATAATATTATTATTATTAATGACAACAATAAGAATTATAATAATAATGTATTGTCATCTTGAAACCTATGACACAAATGAAACACACACTGAGGGGGTCAGTGGTCTCAGGGTCCAGGTCCAAACTCAGACCCGACAGAAGACTTGAGCTCCCACTTCTTTCATTTATTTATTATATTTGTTTGTTTCTGTTCATGGGTTTATCTGTGAAAGACTTTTAATTAGACATTTAAGTTTCTTCTGTAGTCTCTGAGCGGGGGAGGGGCCCCGTGTCCAGTGCAACAGTTACCTCACTTACTGTGGGCGGGGCAAAGGGGGCGGGGCTCACCTGTACTTGCTGTGGGCGTGGCTAAGGGGGCAGGGCTCACCTGTACTTGCTGTGGGCGGGGCTGAGGGGGCGGGGCTCACCTGTACTTGCTGTGGGCGTGGCTAAGGGGGCGGGGCTCACCTGTACTTTCTGTGGGCGTGGCTAAGGGGGCGGGGCTCACCTGTACTTGCTGTGGGCGTGGCTAAGGGGGCGGGGCTCACCTGTACTTGCTGTGGGCGTGGCTAAGGGGGCCGGGCTCACCTGTACTTGCTGTGGGTGGGGCTAAGGGGGCGGGGCTCCCTGTACTTGCTGTGGGTGGGGCTCACCTGTACTTGCTGTAGGCGTTGCTAAGATACTCGTTGATTGGCGTGAGGTGTCCGTTGTCGCCGTAGAACAGTTTGCTCGCCGCGGCGTGCTGCAGCATCTTAGCAACTGAGCCAAGGTTCCGCCGCTGCTCCGTGGTCAGTCCGCCGCCTGGCACCTCCAGGATGTCGAAGGCATCGGGCGCTACGACCGCAGGGTTCATGTAGCGATAATACAGGAGGTTCCCCACAATCTGAGGAGACCAATGTTACTACTACTGCTACTGCTACTACTGCTACTGCTACTACTACTACTACTGATATTACTACAACACCAATGTGTGTAATGTTTGTGTATTTTTTAACAATTTCACAGTTTAAAGAAAATATAAATCCAGAATAAGAGAAAATAAGAGAATCTCACCTGGAGCAGAGAAGGACACAGCACAGACTGGAGCCGAAGGAGGCGGGGGAGAAGGGGGGAGAAGGGGAGAGGCGGGGGAGAAGGGGAGAGAAGGAGGAGAGGAGGTTAAGGGGAGAGGGGGAGATGGATGATAATGTGGTGATACTTCTGAATATGGGAAGGGGGAACAGTATCAGGGGTTCCTCAGGGCTCGACGCTCGGCCCTCTGCTGTTGTGTCGTATGTGTCAGTCTGCAGTAGGGCAGCTGTGGTTACACCACTGAGCATGAATCATGATGTGAAGCGTGTCCAGGAAAGTGCTGGTGTCAGGGGGAGGAGTCTGGGGGAGGGGGGAGGAGTCTGAGGGAGGGGGAGGGCTGAAGGAAGTGTCTGGGAAGAGAGGGGAGTAAAGAGGAGGAAACAAAGCAGAATAGTGAGAAGGTTTTTGCAAGTCACAGAAACAGATAAAGAGACACAAGATGAAGACCTCACACCGAAGACCTCAGAGTGAAGACCTCAGAGTGAAGACCTCACTCTGAAGACCTCACTCTGAAGACCTCACTCTGAAGACCTCACTCTGAAGACTTCACTCTGAAGACTTCACTCTGAAGACTTCACTCTGAAGACTTCACTCTGAAGACCTCACACTGAAGACCTCACACTGAAGACCTCACACTGAAGACCTCACACTGAAGACCTCACACTGAAGACCTCACACTGAAAACTTCACACCGAAGACCTCACACCGAAGACCTCACAGTGAAGACCTCACACCGAAGACCTCATAGTGAAGACCTCACACTGAAAACTTCACACCGAAGACCTCACACCGAAGACCTCACACTGAAGACCTCACACTGAAGACCTCTCTGAAGACCTCACACTGAAGACCTCTCTGAAGACCTCACCTTCAGGAGCTCGTCTTCGGTGGCGTCTGGAAACTTTTCCTGCAGAGAGTCTTTCAGGATCTTGGAGATGAAGCGCATCCCGTACCTGCAGGAGAAGGTCAGAGAGAGAAAAGGTTAAAGCTCGGGGACGTAACTTTCAGACCACAACAACAGAACTCTGCTGTAAACCCAGGTGGTCTCTGGTTCCTGGCTCTAAAACAGTTTGCTTCCGTCAATAGTTAGGGGGGTGTTGTGTTGGGCGTGGTCTGGGCTGTGATTGAAAGTTTACACACCAGAAATCCTCATTCCACTTTTGTTTACACACTGAGATGACTGTAGCTAGACCTGAACCTAAGCCACAGAATTATCTCAGCAGTGGTGGCTGTCAACTGATGTAATCGGGGTGCTTGCTCTTTTTCCAAATTAAGATTCCAGACTTTTTCCAGACTCACTTAAAACTGATAATTTTTTTTCCCAAGACCCATTTTTGTTGACCACTATTGTCAATAGATCTGTGTCAATAGACCTCAGCAGTGACATCATGAAAATGTGCCAGACTCGGCTAAGCGTTGATTGGATATCATTAATTCAGGCTAATACTTTTACAGCCTACCTTCCTATTTCTGAGTTCACAACGCCTTTGAGCACACTGTAAAATTCTACCGTACAGTTTTTTCCCCATACACATGAAGACTTTCACACAAAATTCAAGACTTTTCAAGGCCTGGAAAACAGTGTTTCAATACTCCAACTCGCCGCAGGGGCGTGTGAGAGTGACGTCACACATCACTCCAGAGCCAATGGAGAGGCCTGGAACCAAATGCAAATGTAGTGCCACCGAAAATATAGAGAGGGCGCCACCCTGACGGTTTTAGACTCAAAAGTGAGATTTTTTCTAAATGTCAAAAAATTACCAGGATATGAGCACTATAAGAAACATATTTATGCAGTTTATGAGCTAAAAAAAAGATTATTTGGTGTTTAGTTGTCCTTTAAGACACAGAAGCGAAGCTAAGAAGGGGCGTGGTTACAATGATAATGGAGGCGGGGCTTACGGGATCTTGTCCACGGAGGAGGTGATCGCCGACAGGAACTTGTCCGTGAGGTTCTTCATGTTCTTGAGCGAAGTCTCCAGACGTGTTCGGACCTCCTCATGGGACATGGCCTGCTCTGGGGTCACGTCATACGGAAGATTACTGTGGAAACACAAATACTGGGTCTACAGCCTCGGCCCTGGGTCTACAGCCTCATTCCAAATCTACAGCCTCAGTCCTGGGTCTACAGCCTCAGTCCAAGGTCTACAGCCTCAGTCCTGGGTCTACAGCCTCAGTCCTGGGTCTACAGCCTCAGTCCTGGGTCTACAGCCTCAGTCCAAAGTCTACAGCCTCAGTCCTGGGTCTACAGCCTCAGTCCAAGGTCTGCAGCCTCAGTCCAAGGTCTACAGCCTCAGTCCTGGATCTAGAGTGTCAATGTATGCTGCTAATGTATTCCATTTTTTTACTGCAAATGGCAAATAAACTGAATCTGAATCTGAATCCAAGGTCTACAGCGTCAGTCCAAGGTCTACAGCGTCAGTCCAAGGTCTACAGTCTCAGTCCTGGGTCTACAGCCTCAGTCCCGAGGCGGGTCCTACCTGGCCTCTCCGGTCTGCGTCTCCATGTGGTTTACCCAGCTCTTGTAGATGTCGACAGGATCTGTTTTAATGTTCAGAGTTTTGTCGTCTATGGTTTCCTTGACAACTGGAGCGAGGATCTGCCGCAGCGCATTCTGACCGCGGGCGCCACGGTGAAAACTGACCACCATCTTGATGACCGTAGGGTTTCCCGTGACAACCTCCTTCAGCTGGTCCACTTTAGACCTGAAACAGACCAGACCGGGTTAGAACTAGGACCGGACCAGGACCAGAACTGAGTACCTCCTTTAACTGGTCCATTTAGACCTGAAAGCAGGGATGGGGTCAGGACTAGGAGACTAGGATTAGGACCAGGAGGAGACTAGGAACAGGACCAGGAGGAGACTAGGAACAGGACCAGGAGGAGACTAGGATTAGGACCAGGAGGAGACTAGGAACAGGACCAGGAGGAGACTAGGAACAGGACCAGGAGGAGACTAGGAACAGGACCAGGAGGAGACTAGGATTAGGACCAGGAGGAGACTAGGAACAGGACCAGGAGGTGACTAGGATCAAGACCAGGATCGGGACCAGGAGCTGGACCGAGAGCAGAACCAAGAGCAAGACCAGGAGCAGGATCAGGACCAGGAGCAGGTTATCTGTGTTCTTTTGTCCCTCACACAGGGTTCAGGGCAAAGCTCAGAGAGAGACAGAAACTGAACATAGAAGTTGTGATGAAAACATGACACTGAGCACCAGGTGGCGCCCTGGAGCTGAGGAGACAGAAGGAGGCGTGGCTCCTCTAGAGTCTGGAGGACGTAAACATGAACGTACTTGATCTCCTCCTGCAGAGCCGTCTTGAACAGCCGCAGCAGTAAGTATTCTTCTCTCTGATTGGACGCGTAGTTGTACAGCGTGAAGATAACGGAGTCCATGAACTTTGTGGATTTGTTCTGAGGCATCTGGAAGATCAGCTTGGCCAGATACGTCGGGTTCGTCTGCGAAAGGAGAAGAGGGTCAGGTTCGGGTTTAGAACTGGGGTCCTTCTTGTGGTCATAATAAAACTATACTTGTCTCAAAATGTCTTCATTCAAGATCATGTGTTCAATTCCAAATCCTTTGGCAAACTACCTAAAAGTGGCTGGAGAGCTACTGGTAGCTCCTGTAGCTGTAGACCTGGACTCACCTGCAGAAGGAGCTGTAGACCCGGACTCACCTGGACTCACCTGGACTCACCTGGACTCACCTGGAGCAGGTAAAACAGGTGCTGTAGGCCTGGACTCACCTGGAGCAGGTAAAACAGGTGCTGGTAGGCCTCCAGCTTGGCTCTCTTGTCCTTGCTCAGGGCCTTCAGACCCCCCCTGGTCCCGGTCTGGAGCATCATGGTGGACAGGCGGTTGTGGTTCTTCTTGGTGAGGCGTTTGGAGTGCGACACCACGTCCTGGAGGGTGATCTTGTTCTTCACCAAGAGGCCGATCTTAATGTCCATGACGTTCAGGTCTTTCTCCAGACTCTGGTTGGAGCGAATGTTGGTGACCACCTCCTCCCTGAGCATCATCAGCTCCAGCTCCTCCTGGAAGTCCTGGTCGCTCTGGTCCAAGAGGTGGACGAACTTCCGGACCACAGCCATAGGAGGATCTCCAGCGTTTACTTAGAGAGGACATGTACATCAGTGAGTGATCAGAAGCTGTACCACTGCTACCACTGTACCACTGTACCACTGTACCACTGCTACCACTGTACCACTGTACCACTGCTACCACTGCTACCACTGTACCACTGTACCACTGTACCACTGTACCACTGTACCACTGCTACCACTGTACCACTGTACCACTGCTACCACTGTACCACTGTACCACTGCTACCACTGCTACCACTGCTACCACTGTACCACTGTACCACTGCTACCACTGTACCACTGCTACCACTGCTACCACTGCTACCACTGCTACCACTGCTACCACTGTACCACTGCTACCACTGTACCACTGTACCACTGCTACCACTGCTACCACTGTTACCACTGTACCACTGCTACCACTGCTACCACTGCTACCACTGTACCACTGTACCACTGCTACCACTGTACCACTGCTACCACTGCTACCACTGCTACCACTGTACCACTGTACCACTGCTACCACTGTACCACTGCTACCACTGTACCACTGTACCACTGCTACCACTGTACCACTGTACCACTGCTACCACTGTACCACTGCTACCACTGTACCACTGTACCACTGTACCACTGCTACCACTGTACCACTGTACCACTGCTACCACTGTACCACTGTACCACTGTACCACTGTACCACTGCTACCACTGTACCACTGTACCACTGTACCACTGTACCACTGTACCACTGCTACCACTGTACCACTGTACCACTGTACCACTGTACCACTGCTACCACTGTACCACTGTACCACTGTACCACTGTACCACTGCTACCACTGTACCACTGTACCACTGTACCACTGTACCACTGTACCACTGTACCACTGTACCACTGCTACCACTGTACCACTGCTACCACTGTACCACTGTACCACTGCTACCACTGTACCACTGTACCACTGTACCACTGCTACCACTGCTACCACTGTACCACTGCTACCACTGTACCACTGCTACCACTGTACCACTGTACCACTGCTACCACTGTACCACTGTACCACTGTACCACTGCTACCACTGTACCACTGTATCCACTGTACACTGTACCACTGTACCACTGTACCACTGTACCACTGTACCACTGTACCACTGTACCACTGTACCACTGTACCCACTGTACCACTGTACCACTGTACCACTGTACCACTGTACCACTGTACCACTGTACCACTGTACTACCACTGTACCACTGTACCACTGTACCACTGTACCACTGTACCACTGCTACCACTGTACCACTGTACCACTGTACCACTGTACCACTGTACCACTGTACCACTGTACCACTGTACCACTGTACCACTGTACCACTGCTACCACTGTACCACTGCTACCACTGTACCACTGTACCACTGTACCACTGCTACCACTGTACCACTGTACCACTGCTACCACTGTACCACTGCTACCACTGTACCACTGCTACCACTGTACCACTGTACCACTGTACCACTGCTACCACTGTACCACTGTACCACTGTACCACTGTACCACTGTACCACTGTACCACTGTACCACTGTACCACTGTACCACTGTACACCACTGTACCACTGTACCACTGTACCACTGTACCACTGTACCACTGTACCACTGTACCACTGTACCACTGTACCACTGTACCACTGTACCACTGTACCACTGTACCACTGTACCACTGTACCACTGTACCACTGTACCACTGTACCACTGTACCACTGTACCACTGTTACCACTGTACCACTGTACCACTGCTACCACTGTACCACTGCTACCACTGCTACCACTGTACCACTGTACCACTGTACCACTGCTACCACTGTACCACTGCTACCACTGTACCACTGCTACCACTGCTACCACTGTACCACTGCTTACCACTGTACCACTGTACCACTGTACCACTGTACCACTGTACCACTGTACCACTGTACCACTGTACCACTGTACCACTGTACCACTGTACCACTGTACCACTGTACCACTGTACCACTGTACCACTGTACCACTGTACCACTGCTACCACCTGTACCACTGCTACCACTGTACCACTGCTACCACTGTACCACTGCTACCACTGTACCACTGCTACCACTGTACCACTGTACCACTGCTACCATCACTGTACCACTGTACCACTGTACCACTGTACCACTGTACCACTGTACCACTGTACCACTGTACCACTGTACCACTGTACCACTGTACCACTGTACCACTGTACCACTGTACCACTGTACCACTGTACCACTGTACCACTGTACCACTGTACCACTGTACCACTGTACCACTGTACCACTGTACCACTGTACCACTGTACCACTGTACCACTGTACCACTGTACCACTGTACCACTGTACCACTGTACCACTGTACCACTGTACCACTGTACCACTGCTACCACTGTACCACTGCTACCACTGTACCACTGCTACCACTGCTACCACTGTACCACTGTACCACTGTACCACTGTACCACTGCTACCACTGTACCACTGTACCACTGTACCACTGCTACCACTGTACCACTGCTACCACTGTACCACTGTACCACTGTACCACTGTACCACTGTACCACTGTACCACTGCTACCACTGTACCACTGTACCACTGTACCACTGTACCACTGCTACCACTGTACCACTGTACCACTGTACCACTGTACCACTGCTACCACTGTACCACTGTACCACTGTACCACTGTACCACTGCTACCACTGCTGGGGGCTCTCACACGGACCCTGCTGTGGTGAGTTTAATAATAATAAAAATCTAAAAGGTCCATGGGGCAGATACTGCTGTCATCGGAGTGACTCGTGTTGAAGAACTTCATATCAAAAGCTACTAGCTTAAACATGCTAGCATCACAGCCCGCCACCACCTCCCAAGACGTTAGGGTTGATGTTGATCACTATAGAAATTCTAATCATTATATTTTAACTTAAGCCCAGAGGCCTTTTTTCCCGAAAAAGCTATAATCTACATTTACTAAGGTTTCATATAGTATTTAGCCAGATATGTGGCCAAACTTGGTACCAAATTACCTGGTGGACCTTGGGGATTGCTGTGGAAGTGAAAAAAGATGATAAATTGTATTGGTTGCCAATAAAATTAGGTTGAAACAGACAATTCTAACTTCCGCCTAAAAAAAAAACACATATTTTCCCTCAAAAAAGCTTTTTCCCTGTCTGTGGTGTAGCAAATAAGAACTAAAATTGACAGTTCCCGATATTTTGGACCAGTCCAGCAAAAATTGTGCCAAATAAACAAACCACTGCAGAGTTGTACATGGAATTGGAAAAAAAGTCCAGGCGGAATCCAACTGTGCCAAAATTGTGCCAAATGGCACAAACATGTCTGTAGAGTCATCGAGATAAACTTTGGCACCCGGTTCCCTAGCAAGAAGCTCTACAACCTCCTCGCGTGTATAACGCTGTTTTGCCATTTTTAATTTCGTCAAAATTCCGAGTACCTGCCGTGCGTAAAGGGTTTGCGCACAGCCTCCTTCTGCCCCAACTATACGCATGTACACGCCTCCGCGGTACTTTGGCCAATCAGGGCATGTTATACCATTTTGGAAAGAACACACCTTCGGCTATCAAAAACCATTGAAAACGTATTGATGGACAGCACCTGTGGCCAATCACAGGAAGAGATACACAGAGGTACGTGACATGACGCACGGGTGCAGCCTATCACAAAGGGCCTCTTACAGAAGGAGGAAGTAACTGGTATCTGCCAGGTCGCTAGAAAGCCTCGCTATGAGGTTGAATACAAGAAAAAACGGACTTTTATTCCTATGGAAATGACTTGTGATGAAAAAACAGCAAAAGTAAGTCGACTTTTACTTCAACGCTGATGTTTTACGGCTTTGTTTTCTGGCATTCGTCTGCGGCTTGGTCAGCGAGTATTAGAGCTAGCGTTACCAGCCTTATAGCGTTGTGTTCAGCTCGGAGAGGGCTTTCTAATGGTATGCTGACAGCATGGCTACTTATTGTTTTGAGGGCGCTTGTGACGCCAAAGCAAACATTTGTTTCGACATGTGCTTTATGACGATTTGTCAGATTGTGGTTTGTTGTTTGAACCTGGGTCTGTTGAACTGAAATTGAAGTGGATAATGTTGTAGCTGAGAGTTGTCCGAACACGAGGATGTGAAACATGTGATTGTCAGTTGATGTATATGTCAGCTACGGTCCGGACAAGCTGCAGCAAGGGGGGGCGGACCCCGAATGGGGCGCAATCGGGCTGAAGAGGTTAAATGTTACACCTTAGAAGTGTTTTTTATTATGCCTTACTCTATTGTCTATTCTTTACCTCTCTTTTCTGACTGATGCACCGAGACAAAGACATTTTCAAGTCTGTGACTCCCTGTTACTTACATGGCAATAAAAAGGATTCTGATTCTACTACTGGTGCTACTAGCACCAGTCTCCGCAGCAGTAGTAGTAGCAGTAGTAGCAGTAGCAGTAGCAGCAGTAGTAGTAGCAGCAGTAGCAGCAGTAGCAGTAGCAGTAGCAGCAGTAACAGCAGTAGCAGTAGCAGTAGCAGCAGTAACAGCAGTAGCAGTAGCAGTAGCAGCAGTAGCAGCAGTAACAGTAGCAGTAGCAGCAGTAGTAGCAGTAGTAGTAGCAGCAGTAGCAGTAGCAGTAGCAGCAGTAGCAGCAGTAGCAGCAGTAGCAGCAGTAGCAGTAGCAGCAGTAACAGCAGTAGCAGTAGCAGTAGCAGCAGTAGCAGCAGTAGTAGCAGTAGTAGTAGCAGCAGTAGCAGCAGTAGCAGTAGCAGTAGCAGCAGTAACAGTAGTAACAGTAGCAGTAGCAGCAGTAGTAGCAGTAGTAGCAGTAGCAGCAGTAGCAGTAGCAGTAGCAGCAGTAACAGCAGTAGCAGCAGCAGTAGCAGTAGCAGTAGCAGTAGCAGCAGTAGCAGCAGTAGCAGCAGTAGCAGTAGCAGCAGTAACAGCAGTAGCAGTAGCAGTAGCAGCAGTAGCAGCAGTAGTAGCAGTAGCAGCAGTAGCAGTAGCAGCAGTAACAGCAGTAGCAGTAGCAGTAGCAGCAGTAGCAGCAGTAGTAGCAGTAGCAGCAGTAGCAGTAGTAGTAGAGGTAGTACATACTTAAAGTCTTGTAGTCGTCGCGTGCCTTATTTGCTCGGATAAATGCCTGGATTTTTACAACGTCATCGATCTGAAACAAAAGGTGAAGTACTTTGTAAAAGTTCAGAGTCAAAGTACTGTAAGTACTGTAAGTACTGCATTCTTACGTGGTCTTTGAAGTACTTCAGTCGATCTTTGTACTTCTTACGAGCCTGCTGCATCCGGACCAATGACTGGATCTGACACAGACACAGACGAGGGAGTTGTAGTAGTGGTAGTAGTAGTAATAGTAGTATAGTCGTAGTAGTAGTAATATAGGTAGTAACACTGGTATTGATGGAGGTAGCCATAGTAATAGTAATACTAGTACCTTGACTGCCTGGTCGCCGTGCTCCTTCAGATACTGCTTTCGGTCCTTGTAGTTCTTTCTCTGTTTATATCCTTTCCAATGAGCCTGAGGTCACATGACGACACAGGAGTTTAGACTTTACCAAAGACAGAATCATCACAAAAACACAGGCGCAGAAAGCTGTGGATGAACTGTCCACAGCGGAAGGGAACAGAGAGAGAGAGAGAGAGAGTAGAGAGAGAGACCAGAGAGAGAGAGAAAAAGAGAGACCAGCGAGAGACCAATGAGAGACCAGAGGGAGAACAGAGAGAGAGAACAAAAAGACCAGAGAGAAAGAGAACAGAGAGAGACCAGAGCGAGACCAGCGAGAGAACAGAGAGAGACCAGCGAAAGACCAGCGAGAGACCAGAGAGAGACCAGAGAGAGAGACCAGAGAGACAGACCAGAGAGAGACTGTCACTTCCATACAGAGCTCCCCTTTGCCAGAGGTAGTTGGGGACACACTGGTAAATGTGTGAGTTGCTGGTTGTGGTCACCTGGATGGTGGTGACCGCTGGTTCCTGGCTCTCCATGAAGGCCTTTCTCTCCTTCAGGCCTCTCCGCACCAGGAACCCTCTGCAGTGCGCCTGTAGCCGGGCGATCAACGCCTCGTTAGCCACCCACAGCTGCTCACGGTTATAGGCCGAGGTCACACCGGAGACACACCCCTACAGAGAGACAGACTGCATTACACCGAGGACACGCCCCCAAGAAGAGAGACACACCCCCAAGGAGAGACAGACTGCATTACACCGAGGACACGCCCCCAAGAAGAGAGACACACCCCCAAGGAGAGACAGACTGCATTACACCGAGGACACGCCCCCAAGAAGAGAGACACACAACTACAGAGACAGACTGCATTACACCGAGGACACGCCCCCAAGAAGAGAGACACGCCACCAAGGAGAGAGACACGCCCCCAAGGAGAGAGACAGACCCCTACAGAGAGACAGACTGCATTACACCGAGGACACGCCCCCAAGAAGAGAGACACGCCCCCAAGAAGAGAGACACACCCCCAAGGAGAGAGACAGACCCCTACAGAGAGACAGACTGCATTACACCGAGGACACGCCCCCAAGAAGAGAGACACGCCCCCAAGGAGAGAGACAGACCCCTACAGAGAGACAGACTGCATTACACCGAGGACACGCCCCCAAGAAGAGAGACACGCTCCCAAGGAGAGAGACACACCCACATTGAATCAGTGACACGCCCCCACAAGGACAGAGAGACACACCCCTACAGAGAGACAGACTGCATTACACCAGGGACACGCCCCTAAGGAGAGAGACACACCCCCAAGGAGAGGGACACCCCCACATCAGCCCAGGGACACGCCCCTAAGGAGAGAGACAGACGCAAAATAGAGAACAGAGAGACACACCCACGATAGAGCTGGGACACGCCCCTACAGAGAGGGACACGCCCCTAAATAGAGACACGCCCACATTACAGAGACAGGCCTATATTACACACCCTGTACCTGTGCGTCTCGTACCTGTATGTCGTCTTTGCTCAGCTCACAGGTGTTTGGAGTGAAACCCTCGGGTTCGACCCAGGTACCGTGCCCTGACACCAGGTTGTAGAAGTAATGATGTCCGCCCTTCACCCAGTGCTGCACCCACTCACTGCCATCTGTAAGAGAGAGCAGCTTTAGAGCCCGTGTAAGGCTCATAATTTTAAAGATATATATACTAAAAGTGGTTAAAAACAGCTAAAATATAATTCACAAAATTCATAAGTATTTTCAGTCGTTAAAACCAGACACCCTACTATTTTTTTAAATAGTAAACTGTTCATATGGATAAACGTGCAGCTAACTGTATTATGCAATACTTCGACCCGCCACAAGGGGGCGCATGAGCAACATTAGATAGGAGAAAGGACAGAACGGCAGAATAAACCCTGCCGTTGATGAGACAAGACGAACTCATTTGGTCTCCTGTTTTCCTTTCTCAGGTTTGTTAAATGTTTGCAGAAGCATATAAAATCAGCACTGTTGTTTTGGTTAAAACCTTGTAAATGGACTTGTGTAAATATCAACACGTTGACATGTTCTGAGGTGAATGGACAGATAGTAAACTGTTGGTAGTTGAATGCTAACATGCTAAGCTAGCGGAGATGTTCAAGCTAACTTACTGAGTAGGAATATTAGGCAGAATGTTCAAAGGTAAATCACTAGAGAAACAGTGTACAAGCAGTAAGCATACAGAATGTAATAATACTTTTTTTTCAAGGACAAGCGTATTTGTGGCAGGTTACTGTTTGAGAAGGGCCGCCATGTTAAAGGTTATAATGGTGTTATTACATGTTAGGCAAATCTAAATGCTAATCGTTTTCTTAGATTTTCTGGTGAGAACAGAAACATTATAGGTTAATGCAGTCATAGTTTTGATAGATTTGCTATTTAATTGATTAAACAATGCATGTATAAATATGTTTAAAGTTGTAGAACGGGAGAATAAACCCTGCCGTTGATGAGACAAGACGAACTCATTTGGTCTCCTGTTTTCCTTTCTCAGGGTTTACAATTCTCACCCCTCTTGGGCTCAAGAGGGGCAACATTTTGGGGGCTCGTCCGGGATGATTTCTGTGTGAGAAAGTACAACAAATCATCAAACATTTAACCTATACGGAGATACCACTATAGCAGAGATGTCAACTCGTCGCGCCATGCAGCGCAGCATTCAAAAGAAGCTGCACCAGCTAATAAACTCTGCAGAGGAGGGCATGCTACGGCAGTTAGCAGCCAGCATCAAGGAGGAGGTGGAAGAGGAACCAGGAGACGATGCATCCGCAGTCGAGCTCTATGACTTCATCATGGAATTTGTGAGAAGCGACAAATTGATGAGTCTGGAGGACGAGGGCATGTCCAGTCTGTTAATTCTCAACGACCTCATACTAGAGCTGCAGCAACAACCGAAAGCCAACGAAGCAGAGCCAATACAGTCAGCAGAGGAGACAGCTGAACCTCAAGTGGGAGCCACAATGATTCAAATGGACAGTCAACAATCCATCAGTAGTCAGGGCTCTGACATTGTAAAGTTATCAGATGTTGCTGCTTTACTTCCCCGACGAGAATTTAAAGTTCACAGTGGACAAATATCTGACATAGAGTCTGACGTCAGCTATGGTGCACTTTGCAAACAGATTGATGAAGGTTTAGCTGAAAACTTTACTGAAAACGAGATTATCCGTGCTGTGCTAAGAATTATCAAACCCGGTGCATTCAAAGACATGCTTGTGACAAAACATGAGCTAAATGTAGTTGAGCTTAAGCGCTTCCTCAGAACACACTTAAAAGACAAGAGTAGCTCAGAGTTATTTCAGGAGCTCAGTACGGCCAAGCAGCTTGATCGTGAAAACCCACAACAGTTTATGTATCAATTAATGGGATTAAAACAGCGTGTTGTTTTTTCTTCACAGCAAAATAGCTCAGGATTTCAGTATGATAAAAAACTAGTCCAAGGTGTGTTTCTTCACTCACTCTTCCAAGGGATAAGTGAAAAATATGCATACGTTAGGAGAGATTTAAAAGGAATAATCAGCAATAGCCGTGTAACAGATGATTACATTCTAGAGGTAATGACTAAATCTGTTCAGGAGGAAGTAGAGAGACAATCACGCATAGGCCAAACACACAGGACCAAGATAGCCACTGTCAATGCCGCACACCCTGGTGAAAAAGACCAAATAGTCCAGCCAGCAGTCGAAGTGAAAGCTACAGTTCTACAGACCCAAGCAGAGGTGCAAGCCCAGCGCACAGCTATCCATGAACTGACCGCCCAGGTTTCAGCATTAACTAAAACCCTGGAAAAAGCTTTTCCACCCACAGCTAGAGGACCAGAGCCAATACAGACACAAAAGACGACCAAACCTCCCAGATGCCAAGCCTGCATCACTCAAGGACTGGATCGTTGCCATCACTGTTTTAAGTGTGGACAAGAGGGACACAGAGCTGTTGGGTGCCTACTCAAAAACAAGACATCGGGAAACGTGAAGAGGTCACTGGAGAGGGACCACCAGTGATCGTGACCACACCCAGACCAGCGTCCCACATGAAAGAACACCAAGAAAAGATTTTTCCCAGGGTCCACTCACGTATGAAAACTCAAAGAAGACAGGGAAGCAGAGTAGCCAAACTTATTGGTAAAAGATGTACACTTGAGTGTTATCTTAATGGTGTTCGGACAGACATGCTCTTAGACAGCGGGGCACAAGTAACCATAGTAACCAAATCTTGGCTAAATAGTAACCTACCAGACATTCAGATTCTGTCCCTCGACGATCTTTTACCTGATAATCCTCTTAGAGTTACAGCAGCTAATGGGACTAATGTACCGTTTGATGGATGGGTTGAACTGCTTGTTGAAATCAAAAGTCCTGACCATGGTGAAGTAGCCATTAAGGTACCGGTTTTAGTCAGTCAGAGCTGCGTTAGTGGACTTCTTTTAGGCTTCAATGTAATCGAGGAGATAATCTTGGAAAGTCTTGAAAGACCAGGTAGTGTTAACTTGAGTGATTTACTAGCCGAAGCATTAAAATTACAGAGACACACAGCAGAGACTATAGTATCTGTGATAAGAGGGAATACAGACAGAGACAACCTGATAAATGGTACTGTCAGAGTGGGAAAAAAAGGGGTGACTATTCATAGTGGCCAGACTGGTGAGAGTTAAGGTGTCACATAAAGTGTAGACCACTGTGTGACACAGTCTTATTTGAACCTACATTGGAACCAGCCATGCCAGAAGGTTTACAGTTGTTTCCTGCTTTAGTTAATGCACCTCATAGGGCATCCAAAGCTATTAGTATACCAGTCAGTAACCAAAGTAAGCATGACATTTTTCTGCCAGCAAGAATTATGTTGGGTCACATTGAGGAGATTACAGAGTGCAGGCCAGTAAAAATTGGTTCAGCTGTAGACATGGGGACCTGTGCATGTGCAGCTCAGGTGAATTCAACTAGCGACATAGAAGCCAGTACAGAACAGTCTAATGCCAAGGAAAAGTGGCATCCCCCTGTTAACTTAGAGCACCTGGATCCAGAACAGCAGAGGTTAGTGCGTCAAATGCTTTATGAGGAATCAGACATCTTTATTAAGAGCGCCTTTCATGCACAGGGCAACACAAAGCGCTTCACAGTCCACATCACAAATCATCACATAAAACAAACACCAGAATCACAATTAAAACATTAAAATCACACAAAAGATTAAAACACAATAAAAACAATAAAATCACACAAAAGAATAAAACCATTAACACATTCAAAGTTACACAAGAAATTTAAAAAAATAAATAAATAAATGACAGCAGTGCATTACAAATGGAGATAAAATCCTTCAGTTGTATGCACAGGCAAACAGAACAGTCTTTAACCTGGATTTGAACATTGACAGAGTAGACGCCTCCCTCACATTTTCAGGGAGATTGTTCCAGATCTTAGCTGCATAGATCTGAAACGCAGCCTCCCCATGTTTGGTTCTCACTCTGGGCACCAGCAGGAGGCCAGTCCCTGTGCTCCTCAGAGTCCGGGCTGGTTCATATGACACCAACATGTCACTAATGTATTCTGGTGCAAGGCCATGGAGAGACTTGTACACAAGCAGAGCTGTTTTAAAATCTATTCTTTGAGCCACAGGAAGCCAGTGCAGAGACCTGAGGACCGGACTAATATGGTCATACTTCCTGGTTCCTGTCAGGACTCTAGCTGCTGCATTTTGGATGTACTGCAGCTGCTTACAGGTCTGTTTGGACAGACCTGTAAGCAGGCCATTGCAGTAGTCTAGCCTGCTGGAGACAAATGCGTGGACAAGAATCTCCAAGTCTGCCCTGGACACTATATTTCTGACTTTGGCAATGTTCTTCAGATGGTAAAAAGCTGTTGATGTTATTGATTTTATGTGGCTATTGAAATTTAGGTCTGAGTCCAGTATTACCCCCAAATTTCTGACCTTGTCTGAAGGAAGTAGGGAGAGAGACTGAAGTTGACAGATGACGCCCTCTCTTTGTTTCTGGGGACCAAAGACAATGATTTCGGTTTTGTCTGCATTTAGCTGGAGGAAATTATTTTGCATCCACTCACTGATCTGTTGGATACAGTGAAGGAGCAAATCCAGTGGTCCATGTTCTCCTGCAGTCAGTGAGACATAGATCTGAGTGTCGTCGGCGTAATTGTGGTAGGACACTTTGTTTCTTTGTATTAACTGACCTAACGGCAGCATGTAGAGATTAAATAGGAGAGGTCCCAGGATCGACCCCTGTGGTACTCCACAGGTCAGGGCCACATGATCTGAGACGCAGTCTCCAATCTCCACAAAGTACTTCCTATCCTCCAGGTAAGACCTAAACCAGTCTAGGGCTGTGCCAGTGACACCAACCCAGTCCTCCAGTCTCTGCATGAGGATCTCATGGTCGACAGTGTCGAACGCAGCACTAAGATCTAACATGACCAAAACTGTGACTTTACCTGCATCAGTGTGAAGTCGAATGTCGTTTGTTACCTTCACTAGAGCGGTCTCAGTGCTGTGGTGGGGTCTAAACCCAGACTGGAACATATCAAAAGAATTATTCATTGTTAAAAATTCAGTGAGTTGTTGGGAGGCCACTTTTTCAAGAATTTTTCCAATGAATGGCAGATTCGATATGGGGCGATAATTTTGAAGTCCCGCAGGATCCAGACTGCTCTTTTTTAGGAGAGGTCTTATGACTGCTGTTTTTAGGGCCATAGGAAATGTTCCTGACGACAGAGACATGTTTACTATTTGTGTCAGTGAAGGTAACAAACTGCTCAGGACGGACTTCAGAAATTTAGAGGGCAATATATCCAGGCTACATGTGGAGGAGCTCAGACTCATGATTATCTTTTTGACAGTTTCAGTATCCACAGGTGCAAAGTGAGTTAGCTCAAAAAGCTTCTCTGGCTGTTGCATTGTTATACGTGCTGTGGAGGTGATAGTGTTTTTGATTCCTTGTACTTTGTCATCGAAAAACTGTGCGAACTCATTACACCTAGATTTAGAGGAAAATTCTAGGGGCAACTTTACAGGGGGGTTCGTTAATCTACCAACTGTTGAAAACATAACATGAAAATTGTTACTGCAACCTCCAATAATGTCAGAAAAATACATTTCTCTTGTTCTTCGTAGAACCCGGTTAAATTCACCCAACTCATCTTTAAAGATTTCATAATCGCCCTGGAAATTGGACTTTCGCCACTTCCGTTCGGCCCTCCGGCACTCTTGCTTCTGTGCCCTGACCGAGTCTGCCTTAGTCCATGGGGCCTTTTTCTTACTGGTAACTATTTTAACCGTCACAGGAGCAATGGCGTCCAGAACATTCAGAACACTGGTGGTGACAGAGTTATACAATTCATCAACAGTAGAGCATGGAGTTTTCTCAAAATTTAGCATTCCCATGAACAGTTCACCTGTGTTTTCATGTATGTGTCTTCTTCTAGCAATTGTAAATTCAGCTGGTGGTTTGCTAGCAAAACACATGTCAAAAAATACACAGAAATGATCTGACAAAGCAACATCAACTACATTAACATTTGATACATTAACCCCCTTTGTAATTAGCAGGTCAAGAGTGTGCCCCCTGCTGTGGGTGGGGCCACTCACGTGCTGAATGAAACCAAAGGTCTCAAGTACAGAAGCCAGCTCCTTTGCATTTCTGTCATCAACATTATCAACATGTACATTAAAATCACCTGTAATAACTAAACTATCAAAATCTGTGCACACGAATGAAAGTAGTTCAGTAAAATGGTCAATAAAATCGCAACATGACTGTGGTGGCCTGTACAGGACAATGAAAAGAGTAGAAGATTGCTTTTGTTCCATTTTAAAAGAAATATACTCAAACGATGAAAAATTTCCAAGGGGCATTCTATGGGAGACAAAGTGCTCTCTAAAAACTGCAGCTATGCCTCCCCCCCTTTTGTTTTCTCGTACTTCGGATTCGAATTTAAAATTGGGTGGTGTTGCTTCTATTAGAACTGCATTTCCTGTATTTTGGTCCAGCCATGTTTCAGCCATAAGCATAAAATCAAGATCATAAGAAGTGATAAAATTATTAATTAAAAATGATTTGTTACATAGAGATCTGACATTAAGCATAGCAAGTTTAAAAATAACGTCAGAGTCGATTAATGTGGTTGATTGATTTCTACAGGGAACAGAAATTAGATTTGCAGAGTTGGACCGTCTAACTGCTGTCCTGTTTTGATTTCGTTTTTTAGAATTTAAAAACATTTTTGAGCTGGTGCGAGGAACACACACAGTCTCAATTGGACTAAAATGTGAAAACCCTTGTTGTTCTTTAGCTCCCAGAGTCAGAAGGGAGTCAGCACAGTTCAGTGTTTGGACTGGTAATGCACTGCCAGACGGACAGGGAGCAGTGTTTGCACCGTTGTACTCACCCGGTGCTGGTGAGCAGGAGGCGGGGGAGTGCGGTGGGGTCCGAGGGGGCTCAGATGTAAACAGTCACGCCCCCCTCGGGGAACGCTGAACAACATAACGTATGTAGCCCATCAACAGGCTTTTACCTTATCTGTTTGGGTGTAATCCGTCTGGACGATAGGCTTCGTTACGTTTCCAGAAAAGGGCAAAGTTATTCACAAAGACAAAGGGACTACACCCTACCACCCACAGTGTAATCCGGTGGAGAGACTGAACCGCACAATATTGCAGATGCTGCGCACGTTGGAGGACGAGAAAAAAAGTAAATGGAAAGACCACCTCAACCATGTATTACATGCGTATAATTGTGCAAGGCATGAATCCACTGGTTTCTCTCCATTTTTTCTGTTATATGGACGACATCCACGCTTACCTATAGACTTACTGTTTCCTTCTCAGAAAGACACAGATACAAATGACAGACAGGCATATGCACAGAAATGGGCAGAGAGGATGCGGACTGCTTATGACATTGCTGAAAGAAATAGCGAAAAGTCCTCGGCCAAAGGAAAAAAACAATATGACAAATCGGTCAGGGGTGTAGTTCTCCAGCCAGGGGACAGAGTGTTAGTCAGGAACCTATCAGAGAGAGGGGGGCCTGGCAAGCTACGCTCGTACTGGGAACAGGTAGTGCACAGGGTAGTGGAAAGACTTGATGATGGACCTGTGTACAAGGTGCGAGCAGAAAAGGGCTCCAATACGCTGCGTGTGCTCCACAGAAACTTGCTGCTTCCTGTCAACGACCTACCTATTGAGGTGGACATTCCAGCTTTTAGTCCAAAGAAAAAGAAATGCGAACAACAAACTAAAATCAAGATGCTTGAAAACACCAAAGAGACCTCTGATTCAGAGGAGGAAAACTACACATATACAAGTGTTCCTTGCTACAGACTCAGAAGGAGAGGGCAGGCTGAGCAAAGCCATCCAACTGATGAGAGACTAAATGCTACTGCTCGAGAATTCCATTCGACACTGCCACAAGACAAGCAGGTCCAAAGAGACGATACATTGCAGGTGATGGACAATGTACAAGACCCTGTTGATCCAGAACATCAAGTAGAGGAACAACCACGAGAGAGATCACCGGAAGAGCTGGTGCCACAAGAGGAGGAACATCCTGGGATCAGCCTCAGGAGATCCCAGCGGAACATCAGGACCAGAGAGATGTTTACCTATGATGCATTGGGACAACCAACTTATCACCAGTGGAATCCAGGAGTGAACTCTTTGATACCAGGTTATCCCATTACAAGCACTGTTGTCCTTCCTTATGTGGGCCAGCCATATTTATGTTATTCACAAGTGTATTGAACATGCTTTGTTGACAAATGTCAGGAGACATTTATTTAAGCAGGGGAGAGTGTAAGGCTCATAATTTTAAAGATATATATACTAAAAGTGGTTAAAAACAGCTAAAATATAATTCACAAAATTCATAAGTATTTTCAGTCGTTAAAACCAGACACCCTACTATTTTTTTAAATAGTAAACTGTTCATATGGATAAACGTGCAGCTAACTGTATTATGCAATACTTCGACCCGCCACAAGGGGGCGCATGAGCAACATTAGATAGGAGAAAGGACAGAACGGCAGAATAAACCCTGCCGTTGATGAGACAAGACGAACTCATTTGGTCTCCTGTTTTCCTTTCTCAGGTTTGTTAAATGTTTGCAGAAGCATATAAAATCAGCACTGTTGTTTTGGTTAAAACCTTGTAAATGGACTTGTGTAAATATCAACACGTTGACATGTTCTGAGGTGAATGGACAGATAGTAAACTGTTGGTAGTTGAATGCTAACATGCTAAGCTAGCGGAGATGTTCAAGCTAACTTACTGAGTAGGAATATTAGGCAGAATGTTCAAAGGTAAATGTCACTAGAGAAACAGTGTACAAGCAGTAAGCATACAGAATGTAATAATACTTTTTTTTCAAGGACAAGCGTATTTGTGGCAGGTTACTGTTTGAGAAGGGCCGCCATGTTAAAGGTTATAATGGTGTTATTACATGTTAGGCAAATCTAAATGCTAATCGTTTTCTTAGATTTTCTGGTGAGAACAGAAACATTATAGGTTAATGCAGTCATAGTTTTGATAGATTTGCTATTTAATTGATTAAACAATGCATGTATAAATATGTTTAAAGTTGTAGAACGGGAGAATAAACCCTGCCGTTGATGAGACAAGACGAACTCATTTGGTCTCCTGTTTTCCTTTCTCAGGGTTTACAATTCTCACCCCTCTTGGGCTCAAGAGGGGCAAGAGCCCGCTCTGAGAGAGAGCAGCTTTAGAGCCCACTCAGAGAGAGAGAGAGAGCAGCTTTAGAGCCCACTCAGAGAGAGAGAGAGAGCAGCTTTAGAGCCCACTCAGAGAGAGAGAGAGCAGCTTTAGAGCCCACTCAGAGAGAGAGAGAGCAGCTTTAGAGCCCACTCTGAGAGAGAGCAGCTTTAGAGCCCACTCAGAGAGAGAGAGAGCAGCTTTAGAGCCCACTCAGAGAGAGAGCAGCTTTAGAGCCCACTCAGAGAGAGAGAGAGAGCAGCTTTAGAGCCCGCTCTGAGAGAGAGCAGCTTTAGAGCCCACTTTTTGTAACTGGCTCTGATGAAGCAAAGCATCATGGGAAAGAATAACTGTATATATGACTGGATCAAAACATGTCTCCTCTCTCGTCTGGTTCTCCCCACACTCACACTCACCTCCTCCTTCTCCTCCTTCTCCTCCTCCTCCTTCTCCTCCTCCTCCTTCTCCTCCTCCTCCTCTCCCCTCCTTCGCCTCCTTCAGGCTCCTCTGGTACTCCTCTGCACACTCTGAGGTGACCCCGTACAGACCGGCCCCCGGCTGCTTGAGAGCTGACAGTGTGGGCCCCGGGTCTCCCTGGTCTACGGCCCGATTTATGTTCTGGATACACTGAGAGACTACGCACACACACACACACACACACACACAGACACACACACACATAATCAGCAGCAGTAGTAGTAGTAGTAGTAGTAGTAGTAGTAGTAGTAGTAGTAGTAGTAGTAGTAGTAGTAGTAGTAGTAGTTGTAGTAGTAGTAATTAAGTAATGTCAGGTGACTCACAAAGTAGAGCATCAGCTGTGTTCTGATTGGCTCGCAAAACTGCTTCCTGGATCTCATCCAACCACAGCACAGCGGAGGGGTCCTGGGTTTCCTGAGGGGAAGTAGACAAAGAGATGAAGAGGAGCTGGCGTGAGCCCTGTGTGATGATGCGGCTGCAGCAGCGTGAGCCCTGTGTGCTGATGCGGCTGCAGCAGCGTGAGCCCTGTGTGCTGATGCGGCTGCAGCAGCGCGAGCCCTGTGTGATGATGCGACTGCAGCAGCGTGAGCCCTGTGTGATGATGCGGCTGCAGCAGCGTGAGCCCTGTGTGCTGATGCGGCTGCAGCAGCGTGAGCCCTGTGTGCTGATGCGGCTGCAGCAGCGCGAGCCCTGTGTGCTGATGCGGCTGCAGCAGCGCGAGCCCTGTGTGCTGATGCGGCTGCAGCAGCGCGAGCCCTGTGTGCTGATGCGGCTGCAGCAGCGCGAGCCCTGTGTGCTGATGCGGCTGCAGCAGCGCGAGCCCTGTGTGCTGATGCGGCTGCAGCAGCGCGAGCCCTGTGTGCTGATGCGGCTGCAGCAGCGCGAGCCCTGTGTGCTGATGCGGCTGCAGCAGCGCGAGCCCTGTGTGCTGATGCGGCTGCAGCAGCGTGAGCCCTGTGTGCTGATGCGGCTGCAGCAGCGTGAGCCCTGTGTGCTAATGCGGCTGCAGCAGCGTGAGCCCTGTGTGCTGATGCGGCTGCAGCAGCGCGAGCCCTGTGTGCTGATGCGGCTGCAGCAGCGTGAGCCCTGTGTGCTGATGCGGCTGCAGCAGCGTGAGCCCTGTGTGCTAATGCGGCTGCAGCAGCGCGAGCCCTGTGTGCTGATGCGGCTGCAGCAGCGTGAGCCCTGTGTGCTGTTATAGCATTTACACCGTGATTGGATCGACCCAAACTTGGCCAAATGTCTGAGGCCTGATGTTGTTTACTGACCAGTTTTTAATTGAGAACCTCTGCTCTGGACCAAAGACTGAACGTCTACACACTCCCTGCAGGGGGCGCCATATGTGTCATTTTTATTTACAATGCATGATTACATGATCACACTGTTATACAAACTCCAAAGGAGCAGCCAAACCAAAAAGGCTTATATTACATCACAGGCTATTGTTTGTTGTGAGAGGTTTGTTTCCTGAGTGGGCAGAGCTTCCTGTTTGTTCAGGTTTATCTGACGGAAGCCGGGCCCGACTAATGCACTGGAGACCGGACTAATGCACTGGAGACCGGACTAATGCACTGGAGACCGGACTAATGCACTGGAGACCGGACTAATGCACTGGAGACCGGACTCTGTCATCATGAGCCGGTTCCGGAACAGCCTTCATCAGAACATTTCTACAGACGTCATGTGACACAAATCCCCCAGACTCCAGAGCACTCCTCATAGACCTGGGATTAGTATATGGTAGTAGTAAAGTAGTACCTGTAGTACTTGTAATACCATAGTAGTAGTACTCACATGGGCCTTCTCTCGCCGCGCCCCTTGCAGGACGTCATGGTAGTGCACTGCCAGGTCCGGATCCACATTCTCCAGTTTGGCCGAAGGATTCTGCAGAGATTCCAACGTCCTGTTGGCGTTCCCCTCGTCCAGCGCCTCGTTTATCTGACCAATGGCAGCGATCCCTGAGAGATGATCAGGAAGAGACTGTTACTGACTGAGAGTGACCAGAGTGTGTTACAGACAGTACTGAGAGTGACCAGAGTGTGTTACAGACAGTACTGAGAGTGACCAGAGGGGGCAGTATTACAGACAGTACTGAGAGTGACCAGAGGGGGCAGTATTACAGACAGTACTGAGAGCATGGATCTATTATATTAACTGGATAGGGTATTACTAGCTTGTAGCTGAATAACTCACATGCTCAGGGGATTCTCGCGGTACTGCAGACTGAACCAGACTAAATTCACGTGGGCTACCCAGAAATTTTCCCCATAGAACTCAATGCATATTAAAACAGCTCAACCTCAGCAGACAGAGAACCTACAGCTTTAATAAAGATAGGATTTTGTGGGGATTTTAGTGTCCCTTGTCATCCTGAACTTTTTTTCTTCTTAAATCCTTCGGTTTTGTTTAAATCCACACTTTAGTGCCACAAACTCTGCTCGTCTGGCTCTCGCTCTAACTCCTGCTCTGATGAACTGCTCTGATTGGTCGAAGCGCGGCCGAGCCCCTCTGTGCACGTGCGTGAGACCCGGTGTGAGACCCACACACGCGTGTTTGACGCAACGCATTATGGGAGATCATCCACTGCACAGAAACGGGAGGACCAGACGATGCCCAAATACAGGCGAGTTTCCCATAGATCTTTGCGAGTTTCCCAAAGTTCGTTGCGAGTTTCAGGCAACTTCCGCTAATCTTTTAACCCCCCTACCGTCACAAAGCGCCACTGAGCACAACCATTCATTTGAATAGGGCGCCATCTTGGATCGCCGGGGCTTGGCTGAGAGTGACCAGTGTGTTACTGACAGTACTGAGAGTGACCAGAGGGGGCAGTGTTACTGACAGTACTGAGAGTGACCAGAGGGGGGAGTGTGTTAAAGACAGTACTGAGAGTGACCAGAGGGGGGCAGTGTGTTACAGACAGTACTGAGAGTGACCAGAGGGGGCAGTGTTACAGACAGTACTGAGAGTGACCAGAGGGGGCAGTGTGCTACAGACAGTACTGAGAGTGACCAGAGGGGGGCAGTGTGTTACAGACAGTACTGAGAGTGACCAGAGGGGGCAGTGTTACAGACAGTACTGAGAGTGACCAGAGGGGGCAGTGTGCTACAGACAGTACTGAGAGTGACCAGAGGGGGGCAGTGTGTTACAGACAGTACTGAGAGTGACCAGAGGGGGCAGTGTTACAGACAGTACTGAGAGTGACCAGAGGGGGGAGTGTGTTAAAGACAGTACTGAGAGTGACCAGAGGGGGGCAGTGTGTTACAGACAGTACTGAGAGTGACCAGAGGGGGCAGTGTTACAGACAGTACTGAGAGTGACCAGAGGGGGGCAGTGTTACAGACAGTACTGAGAGTGACCAGAGGGGGCAGTGTTACAGACAGTACTGAGAGTGACCAGAGGGGGCAGTGTTACAGACAGTACTGAGAGTGACCAGAGGGGGCAGTGTGCTACAGACAGTACTGAGAGTGACCAGAGGGGGGCAGTGTGCTACAGACAGTACTGAGAGTGACCAGAGTGTGTTACAGACAGTACTGAGAGTGACCAGAGGGGGCAGTGTTACAGACAGTACTGAGAGTGACCAGAGGGGGTAGTGTTACAGACAGTACTGAGAGTGACCAGAGGGGGGCAGTGTTACAGACAGTACTGAGAGTGACCAGAGGGGGCAGTGTTACAGACAGTACTGAGAGTGACCAGAGGGGGGCAGTGTTACAGACAGTACTGAGAGTGACCAGAGGGGGCAGTGTTACAGACAGTACTGAGAGTGACCAGAGGGGGCAGTGTTACAGACAGTACTGAGAGTGACCAGAGTGTGTTACAGACAGTACTGAGAGTGACCAGAGGGGGCGTGTTCTCACTCAGGTGCTCGTCGCTCACGGTCTGGTTGACTTGGTCGATACACGCCTGGATGTCGTTCCACGTCAGAAAATCACTTCCTGCTTCAGCTTTGAGGCGTAGCAGCTCCTCCATGTATCTGGAAATATGATGTTTGGAAATGATCATGTGACCTACAGTTATATAGAACAACCTCTGGGTCTCCTCTCCTCTGGGTCTCCTCCTGCACCGCCTCCCAGCCTTGGTCTCCTCACCTCTGTACCTCCTCAGAGCCCTGCTCCCCTCTCCTCTGCACCTCCTCACCTCTGCACCTCCTCACCTCTGAGCACTTTCTGGGTCCACGTTGCTCAGTCCGGTCTCCAGACTCGACAGGAGGTTCCAGAGAGCAGCTTTATCTCCTCGGTCCAACGCTGAGTTCATGAGGACCACCGCAGACAGCATCTCCACCGCCACCATGAGCTCGGGGTGAGACAGCGCCCCCTGTGGAGAGGGACACCCCACACTCTTAATGAGGAAGAGGCCGGTTTGAACATAAGCTAGCTGGAGCCGATTTCCTTATATGGGCATTTCTTCCACAGCGTTAAATATTTGCAGGAACAGAAGAGATGCTAAGAATAAACGAAGGCCTCTGATTGGTCGGTCCTTATTTGGCTCATATCTGGATTTACAAAGACAAAATCACATACACACCAGAAGCACAGAGAGCGATAAACCCCGGATTTGAGGACAAAATGGTGAGTGTGTGGGGCCTTTGAGCCTGAAGGTCATGGGTTCCTTCTCCACTGATGTCTGCTGTTGTTGTGTCCTTGGGCAAGATACTTAACCCCACTATGGTTGAATCATCGGCAAACATTGCTATTTTGGATATTTGTAGCACTAGTGGCAAGTCATTTATATATAGACAATGAGAAGTCCAAGGCATCTTTCTTGAGGTATACCACAGATAATTGTTATTAAAAAATCCTACACAGAGCACATTACACAGGCCATAGAATGTTTAGGATGGGTTTCTCACCGGACACTCGCATCAATTGCACTCAAAACACATCTGACACCTATTTTCATGCCCTCTGGCAATGCCCACCCATTTTAGAATTCTGGAAAGCAGTCACATCTTCCATCTCCTCACTTCTAGGTTGCCACATACTGTCCCCATCACTTTGCTTATTAGGCGATCTCACTCAGCTAAACTTCAGCTAAACTTCACACAACCAAACATAAACATCCTCCTGGTGGCGCCAACCATCGCCAAGAAAACCATCCTCATGAACTGGAAATCAACGAAAAAAATAAACATTTGAATATGGAAAAACATGCTGAATGATCACATCCATCCCAAAACCATCCCACAGCAGAGCCTCTCTGTCCACCCCACTGCCGTGTAATTCTAAATACTTATTTGTAAAAAATCCATTTGTGTTTATAAATATATATTATATATATATATATACACATATATATACACATATATCGGTGTTCATATGATTATATTACTAATTGACTATGTATATGTTTGTGTTTTTATATAAATGTGTATATATCTATCATGCAGTGTTCATAACATCGTAGTATCAATAGCCAAACATTATAATACATCTATTACTATTATTCTTATCATAATTCTATAAGTTTTAATATATAATATAGTTAAAATTATATAACAATGATGATATTTACATACCAAAGTTATTATAAATATTGTTATTCGTAAAAACTAACAAAGCACTTGTTATTATTGTTAATATTATTATTAGTAGCAGTAGTAATTAAAAAGTAAGGGAAGAATAATGGTAATAATGAATATAATATATATATATGACATATTTTATTTTTTATTCTTATTTTTATAAAAATTGGGCTCTCTCATCTGCACCTTGCTCCACCCCTCGGGTTTTTATTGCACCGCACAAGAGCACAGCTGCAGATTGGGGCTCTGACATCTCAACAAGTGCATTACTGTTTATACATCATTTTATAGTGAGTAATTTATATACATATATATATATATTTATCATATACTACATTGATGTGTATATAAATTACAAAAATATACACCAAGAATAATAGATTTAGTAAAGCTGCTGCTGTGATGCTCCTGTTTATCTATTTTTATTTGTATGATTATCCTTTTGTTGTTGTCAATATGAATCCTGTCACTGCTTCACCTGTGTGTCCTCACTATTATACTCTTAGCACCACTATACTATCATGTTGTTATTATCATTAACTCATATTATTATTGTCATTATCATTAATTGTTAATATGTCACTTTCTATCCTTGTTCATTTTACTTTATTTTTCCACTTCGATTTATATCCTTCTCACCGAAGCTAATCTAAGAACTGACTCATGTAACTTACACCTGAACACACTACACTACACACACTACACACACTACACTACACACACTACACACACTACACACACTACACACACTACACTACACACACTACACACACTGCACAACCACCGCCTCAAGAACCATTTTGTATCTGTCTAGCCCCCTGCCCTTCCGTATCGCTCCACAGTATGTGTGTTATGTAAAAGCTTTGGTTGTCTGTATGTATGTATGTACTGTATGTATGAATAATAATAAAAAATAAAAAAAATAAAAAAATACAGTTTGCTTCCTGTTTTCTAAATAATCTTTAAGCCACAGTGATGCTGCTGGACTGGACCCACAACATTGCATTACACTCAGCAGAAGGTTTATTTATTTATTTATTTGTTTATTTGACAGGGACAGTACAAGAAAACATTGCCAGCTCAGTGGCCGATGTTATGTACATAAGGCGTCTAGCCATAGGCTAATTTGCAGCCCCCGTCCCTGGTTAGGCTTTTCAAAGGGGTTTAAAACAGAACAGAAAGATGAAAAATCAGTAAAAGGCATCAAACAATACAACAATAAAAAGAAAGAGGAGAAGACATATCTGACCACTTCCCATCCCAAGTCCAGTCAAACTGTTCAGTGCTCACACTTTTGTTTGTTCTTTAGCCACAGCTTCAGCTTTTGTGAGAAAAGTCTCAGGTCCATTTGGGACTTTAGCTCCAGTGGCAAAGAGTTCCATAACTGTGTCCCTTTTACTGAGAACGCAGACTGACCCAGAGCAGTTTTACAAAACTTCACTCTGCAGTTCCCGCTGACTCCAGCTCTGGTGCTCACTCCTTGATTAGTGTATTTTTGTACTAACTGACACATTACAGACGGAGCAAGACCATTAAGACACTTGAATATATTTTTTATAAAAGAGAAACTGATGAAGCTATCGAATGTCATCATTTTATATTTTTGAATGATAGTGCAGTGATGCCACTTCATTGGTTTTTGATCAAACACTTTAAGTGTTTGCTTGTAGAGTGATGTTAAAGGTCAGATTGTGAGGCCTGGCCCCAAACGATTGAACAATACGACATATGAGATAAAATCATAGCATGTAGATATACTCGTGCCGCCTGAGTTGATACACAAGACCTAATTATACAGAAACAATTTAAATTTGTCTTGATGGTCTTAGACATTTTTCTGACATGGGCATCAAACTTAGTTTAGAATCTACAATAACCCCCAAATACTTAAACTCATCAACCTGCTCGATTTTATTTTTGTCAATATTAATGTTTAGATCATTTGGTGAATTTCTCTTTAGAGAGAAACACATGGCAACAGTTTTAGTATAATTTAAGGTCAGACAGTTGTCCCGCAGCCACTGAGATGTGCTGACAAGCTGTCTGTTCAACAAGTCTGAAGCCTGTTTAGGGGAATCTGCAGCTACATAAATGATTGTGTCATCTGCATACAATTGGCAGCTGGTATTTTTGCAGATTTCCTGTAAATCATTTATGTATAGACAGAACAACAAGGGGCCCAATATCGACCCTTGTGGTACACCTAAATTACATTTTTGGATGGTTGATTTAACACCATTTATTTTTACACACTGTTGTCTTGATGCAAGGTATGATTTAAACCAATTTAAAGCTTGTTTGGAAAAGTTTAGTTGTTTCAGTTTTCTCAAGAGTACTTGGTGGTTTACAGTATCAAAAGCTTTTTTTAAATCGAGAAATACTGCTCCCACACATTTACCTTTATCCAAACTAGTTTTGATTGTTTCTGTAAAGTGACATACAGCCATCTCAGTGGAGTGCTTTGGTCGAAATCCAAATTGTTTAGGGTTTAGTAGACTATGTTCCTCCAAGTAGTTCATCAACTGTTCAGCCACAAGCTTTTCTAACACTTTGGAAATCACAGGTAAAATTGAGATCGGTCGGTAATTGCAAGCTTTATCTGTAGCTCCTGATTTAAAAATTGGAGTCACAACAGCCGTTTTGAGATTTTCAGGAAATTCATTATTTTTGATTGATAAATTCACTAAATGTGATACTGGTTTTAACAATTCGTTACTATACTTTTTGATTAAATGTGTATCTAAATCAAAAAGGTCTTTGGCTTTTGAACTATTTAATTGATTAATAATTGTATGGATCTTTTTTTGATCAGCTTGTGTGACATTAAAGGATGAATTTGAATCTTTCACATCATGACATGCGACAGAAATTGAATTGAAACTTGCAGCAAGCTTCTCCACTGAATCAACAAAATAGAAGTTAAATTCATTTGCAATTTCCAAAGCATTACTACTGATCGTTCCATTTACATCCAGTTTAGTTATGCATTTACTCTGACTCGAATTACGATTGGTCAATTTATTAATGTGCTTCCATATAAGCGAACTGTTTCCATGTGATTCAGCAAACAGATGCATGAAATAAGAGGACTTGGCTTTTCTTAATTCACTAACAACTTTATTCCTTAGTCCCTTAAAGACCAGTATATCTGTCTGTAATTTAGTTTTGATCGATTTTTTCAGTGCTAGATCCCTCTTTTTCATAAGTTGATAAATATGATCAGATATCCATGGCAGGGTCACTTTCCTCCTGTTGGTTTTTGAAACGCGAGCAAATTTCTGAATTACATTTTTCAGTTTCTCTGTTAAAAAAGTAGAGCACTGATTTACATTTTCCATTTGTGTCACATCGTTCCAGTTTATGTTTTTCAATTCAAGTTCAAATAAGGGCTGTTTATGTTTTGGAATTATTTTTTCATTTTTAATAACGGACACAGGGTGAATTCCCTCCAGTCGCTTCTTGGTTAGTTTTCGCACAATCAACGTCAAATTATGATCAGATAGACCTGTCACAAAGTTGTAAGTTTTAGTAACTCGTTCTGATTTGTTGTTGATGTGTAACCAGGAACATCAATCATGTTTGTTGAGATGTTACTATGTAGCCAAGTTTCACTCATGGCTAAGAAATCTAAATTTGAATTACTCAATAAATGGTGAACTTCATTTAGTTTTGACAGAACACTTTGAATATTAAGATGACCTCCAAATATACCTTTAGGTTTAGCTTTTGCATCCCAAATCACCTTTGCATGATTCACAGTTTGAAAATATTTCAGTTCTTTTTGCTTGTTGGACGCATATCCAGAAATCTTTTTAGCACTTGAATTTGCTTGATTTTCAAGGTGAAAAGCAAAAAAGTGAAGTGAAAAGAGAGACTGGATGGTAGCTGCATTTTCCATTTCAGGGTTTGCAACATTTCCAACAACTTTTGCTGCCGCATCCAAAGGGCTCCCATTTAACTTCAATGAAAAATCTTCATCTTGTGCAGCAGTAGTAAGGGTCCTCGCAATTGCAGAACTAGGCATGTCCACAAGATGGTGCTGTAGACACTCTTCAGTGTGTAATTCCACAATTAAACTTGAGCAAATGTTCTTTAAAGGACCTGGATTTAGTTGTATGTCACCACTTAACAGGAGCAAAAGGAGAAGCAATGTACAGAAGGATCCCTTCTTCCTGCTCCTCAGTTGTTTAGACTTGCTTGTGGTGCAAAGTTCGTGTTTATTTTGCCAGCATGTTGAATACAAAACATGAAATCCATATCCAAAAAAGCCTAGAGATGGTTTCACAATAATTGGTACAGCATGAGTTGGCCTGCATGTTATTTCCTGTTTAGTCCAGCATGGTCCCAGTAGAACACAGAGATACCAACAGCAAACTAGCCACACAAAGACATACCTTCCCTAGCTTTTTGCTTTCTCTTTGGAATTGTATTGGTGTTTACTCCTTCTTGAACTGGGGTGTAGTGGTGTCCAGATATAGTCCATGAAAGACCAGAGATGCTGCCAACATAATTGCCATGTGCAGTTGTATCCTTTGTCTCTTGTGCTACAGTTTGGACTTGGTTCTTTTGTCCAGTTTAAGACTTCTGTTCCACACAAGTAGAGATGTTGAATAGTGTGGACAAGTCCAACCAAATCGAGCACACAAAACTTAAGCAACAATGGAAATACAAAAGCAATAGTGGAGCCCAACAAACCACCACTGCTCATGGCAGCCATCTTGGAGTGTTTGTGATCTAAAAGAAAATGCTGAGCTGAAATCCAGCAACACAGCTCCTGCTAACCTTTTGTTGTCTAATGCGGTCACCAACTGTAGCTGTAGCTCTGTCCAGTGACCTGCTCTGTGCGCATGTTGGAACTCTGTATTTAGGTTGTTATTGGAAACATATTTATGGATTTGATCAAACACAATCCCCTCCATGATTTTGCTCCGAGCAGGAAACAGTCTCCATCATTTCTTCTTATCATGTAGATTATCATTTCAGGGGCTGAGTCTGACCATGAGTCTTTCCCGATTGGTCTGCACTGAGCGCTACCACAGGGCCTTCATCCCCACCGCTGTCAGACTGTACAATAAGTCACTTTAAGTCACTAATGACCTGCACTAGGGCTGAAGAACCAGCTGCTATTGCCACTTTTTATTGTACATAATTATATCCTGAACAGACTATATTTTTAACCTTTAACATGTTTCACACTTCTGTCTTTTGCTCAATTCTATCTGTGCTAATGTGAGATCAATGAAGTCTATCTTATCTTAACATGTTAGCATTGTCCAAGCTAACTCTAGTGGCCGGTCCTCACCTCAGGGCTCTGCTGCTGGAGACTGCTCAGTTCTCTCTGGTAAAGTTCTGCAGCTTCAGGAAACACCGTTGGAAGTTGGGCGTCCGGATTCATCAGCTCCTCCACCGTCTGCGCCGCCACGCCCTCTTTGATCGCCGTGTTTATCCGGGCGACTGCGGCCAGCACTGAGGAGACATTTAGCCGTCAGAGCAGCTCTTCAATCAGCTTTTCCTTTACTCGTTGTGAAAGACAGTCTCACTTTTGTTGTATCCGTCGCTGAACTCGTTGGCAGCGTTGACTCCGTTCTGCAGCTCGTCTTTGGTTAGAGCTTTACCTGGAGACACCTGTGACACAACAGCCAATCAGAACAGCTCTAGGAAGACGGCTACAACAACAGCCAATCAGAACAGCTCTAGGAAGACGGCTACAACAACAGCCAATCAGAGCAGCTCTAGGAAGACGGCTACAACAACAGCCAATCAGAACAGCTCTAGGAAGACACTTTTGACATAACAGCCAATCACAGCAGCCATAAGAAGACACCTCTGGCACAGCAGCCAATCAGAACCGCTCTAGGAAGACATCTACGACGACAGCCAATCAGAACAGCTCATGGAAGACACTTTTGACAACAGCCAATCAGAACAGCTATAAGAAGACACTTTTGACAACAGCCAATCAGAGCAGCTCTAGGAAGACAAGTACAACAACAGCCAATCAGAACAGCTCTAAGAAGATAGCCATGACATTACAGCCAATAAAAACAGCTCTAAGACAACACTTCTGGCACAACAGCCAATCAGAACAGCTCTAGGAAGACACCTACGAAAACAGCCAATCACACCATTGACCACAAACTCTTATTTACCAAATGATCTCAGTGTATCTGTATAAAATGCAGTCAGTTTTGCTCAGAGTTCTGTGGGAGTTCCGCAAGGCTTCATACTTGGACCAGTCATAGAGAACGCCACACCACCGATATCTGAGCTTTACATATGGAGCTTTCGCGAAAGTTCACTGTGGTAGACCCGGCTGCTGCTTGCCCAGATCTACAAGCCTGCTCATCCTCGACTCATCATACCAGCAACGCCCACATCTAATCATCCAATAACCACCAGGACAGCAAGTTAAAAGCCAGAGAGGCCCACTTCCCGGCCTTCTGAAGTCTGCAAGCTTCTGAAGTCTGCAAGCCTCCGCCGCCCCACCTCCTCCTTCTCTCATCGAAGCGTGCTTGCCTACTGCCTCTGCCGTCACCAGTGCCTAGGCCCCGGGGGGGATTATGCGCGCGATCAAGCGCCGCGCTCAACAGCATCTCTCCCGGGCCTAGGGCGCCAAACATGCTTAATCCTAAACTTCTAACTGCATTTTCCCTCATGGGTCTCTCCAAGGTGAAGTAAGTCTATAGGAGCCATAGAAATTTGGATCAAAGCTTCGTCCATGAGCACTTCCCTATTGGGTTGCATTGAGTTAGCATTGCCCATCTTTATACTGTCTATGGACGGGATTATACTCCACTTTGCTTTTACAGGCCTCACTCCCACCTGCTCATCAGCCTCTCTCTCCCCTTGTCCCATGAGCTCCTCGCCACCCCACCTGGTGCCCACCTGGTCCCCCCCTGGTCCCCACCTGCTCCTTGGCCTCCCGGTCTCCTTGCAGTTGCTTCAGGTACCAGCTCTTGTTGTTTGGCTCAAGGTGTTTCAGCCCCAGGGCCCGGAGCGCCTCCAGGAGCTGGTCCTCATCCCCCGCGAGGAGAGCGGCCTCTACACCACGCAGGTATGTGGAGGCTGCAAAGGAGAGAGTACAGGTCAGTGAGAGAGAGACCAGAGAGAGACCAGAGAGAGACCAGAGAGAGACCAGAGAGAGACCAGAGAGAGAGACCAGAGAGAGACCAGAGAGAGACCAGAGAGAGACCAGAGAGAGACCAGAGAGAGACCAGAGAGAGACCAGAGAGAGACCAGAAACAGACCAGAGAGAGAGACCAGAGAGAGAGACCAGAGAGAGAGACCAGAGAGAGACCAGAGAGAGACCAGAGAGAGACCAGAGAGAGACCAGAGAGAGACCAGAGAGAGACCAGAGAGAGACCAGAAACAGACCAGAGAGAGACCAGAGAGAGACCAGAGAGAGAGACCAGAGAGAGAGACCAGAGCGAGAGACCAGAGAGAGACCAGAGAGAGACCAGAGAGAGACCAGAGAGAGAGATCAGAGAGAGAGACCAGAGAGAGAGACCAGAGAGAGAGACCAGAGAGAGATCAGGGAGAGATCAGGGAGAGAGAGACCAGAGAGAGAGGGAGACCAGAGGGAGAGAGAGACCAGAGAGAGTGAGACCAGAAAGAGACCAGAGAGAGATCAGGGAGCGAAAGACCAAAGAGAGAGACCAGAGAGAGAGACCACAGAGAGTGAGACCAGAGAGAGTAAGACCAGAGAGAGACTAGAGAGAGACCAGAGAGAGAAAGAGACCAGAGAGAGAGAAAGACCAGAGAGAGAGTGAGAGACCAGAGAGAGTGAGACCAGAAAGAGACCAGAGACCAGAGAGAGACCAGAGACCAGAGAGAGACTAGAGAGAGACCAGAGAGAGTGAGACCAGAGAGAGACCAGAGAGAGAGAGAGACATGTTATACTAGTGGTTATATGTATCTGTCTTAAAAGCGATGGTGTAGGTATAAATGTAACTCACTGTTGACTTGGTTGACGTTGCCCTGAATCTCCGCTTGCGTCAGCAACTCGTCGTAAACGTCTCGTTCTGCATCAGGGTTTTCCATCTGCTGCAACAAAACATGGCCGCCGGCAACACAGCAGCTTTAGTGCCTCATCAGAGACCAGAGAGAGACCAGAGAGAGACCAGAGAGAGACCAGAGAGAGATCAGAGAGACCAGAGAGAGACCAGAGAGAGACCAGAGAGAGACCAGAGAGAGACCAGAGAGAGACCAGAGAGAGACCAGAGAGAGACCAGAGGGAACGACCAGAGAGAGACCAGAAAGGGAGAATAGCATAAAAACCGATGTGTAATTAGGGCCCTCAGGGGTCGGTCAGTCAGGACCCCTGCTCTGGACTTTAGTGCATGAAGAGCTTTGGCCTGATGGACTTTTCTCATTTCATTATTTATAGTTTCAAATCAGTGGTTTTTATTGTAGATCAATGTTTATGTGAGGATTCTATCACAGCAGTATAAGTGCAGTTACAGTAGCAGCAGCAGTAGCAGTAGTTGATCCTGGTCTTTCATGGTCTGGTCTGGTCTGGTCCTGGTCACACCCGGGCCTTGAACCACTAGACTTTTCAGTCTTCTGTTCTGGTTTGGTCCTGGTCTTTCACAGTCTGGTTTAGTCTAGTTCTGATCTCTCACCCGGGTCTTGGAGCTCTGGACTTTCCGGTCTTTGGCCTGGGACAGCGTGGCCTGGTAGGCGTCGGCACAGTCCGGCTCCAGTTTGAGTAACATGGCGTTGGGATTCTGCAGTGCCACAAACGTACCCTGAGGGTCACCTGCGTCTACGGCCTCGTTTATGGCAATGACAGCGGCGTGTACTGCAGGAAGAGAAGGACTCAGGCATTTTGGCACACATGGACACACATTTTGGCACACGAGGACACACATGGACAGACATTTTGGCACACATGGACACACATAAACAGACATTTTGGCACACATGGACACTCACGGGCGGCCTCGTCCACCGACAGCTCGTTTGCCAGGATTCCTCCGATCTTACTGAACGCCGGCATCTGGATCCCGTACTTCTCCAACTCAGACTTCATGTTGTTGATCTCCTCCTCTGTTCACAAACCGGTCAGAGCTGGATCTAGCGCTGGGTCTGGGTCTTGTCCAGGTCTGGGTCTGGGTCTGGTTGTAGTCTGGATCAGGGTCCGGTTGTCGTCCAGGTCTGGGTCAGGTTGTAGTCCAGGTCTGAGTCCAGGTCTGGGTCTGGGTCTCCACTCACCGGTGAAGTCCACTTTCCCGTACAGGTCCTGGATCTGTGGGGCCAGTCCCAGTTTGAACAGGTACAGACTGAAACAGAGCAGAGTGTGAGTCCGCGGTGGGCAGACAGGGGGCGCTGCAGTCCTCACCTGAGGGCGTGGATGCAGTAGATGCAGCGCGGCATGTTCTTCCGGTCGTAGATGTCCGTCGTCTCTGGGTAAAAAATCTAAAACACAAAACTTTTATCACATTCAGAATATAATACAGCATGATCCACCCCCCCATCTGAACCACAGACTGCAAATATTAACCATCTTAACCACTTTTGCCTCCTGGGGGCTTTTCCAAAATGGCAGCGGAGCAGGAAAATGTGAAACGTGCGCTAACATGCGGCAATCTCACTCCTTGGTGGTGGGGGTGTACCCGGAAAGAGAATTACCCAATGCTTTTGTATTGTGTCTTCTTTCCTCTAGAAAACCTCTTTACAGGATGGTCCAAAAGTGGCTCTTGGACCAAAAGTGGCTCTTGGACCAAAAGTGGCTACATTCCAGATGCTGTCTGAGGAGAGTATATATTTTTGGACCAGTCTAGTTCAGCCGCTGTGGGCTTTTGAAGTAGTGCAGCTAACACATGCACAAATGTAACACGTTCTTCTTGCATAAAGAACAGATCTGTTGAGAGTACGACTCATATGTCCCTTCTACAGATTCTCCCATGGGACCTGTAACCATGGGCCTCTTGTCCGCATCTTGGTTTAGGTGGTCGGCCATGTCTTGGTAAGTTTGCAGTGATCTATAGTCGTTCATGATGTTGTTTAGTGATGTATGTCGCTTGTCACATCGTCTTTTGAGCTACAGAGGGCGCTGTCGAGTTGCAGGGACAGTCCATTTAAAGCTCGGGTATGTAACTTTTGTCTCATAAATAACACAGTTTGTCCAAAAGAGTCAAGACCACAACATGTTTTCTTCTGTCTTCACCTGTTTCAGAGCAAAGAACTAGAGACATGGGTTTAATGGGTCTATTGTTGTGGACTGAAAGTTACATCCCCAGCTTTCAAGTTGCGTCCCCCAGCTTTAAAGTTACGTCCCCCAGCTTTAAAGTTATGTACCCCAGTTTTAAAGTCAGACTCCGTTGTGTATCGTGTTGGTGTTACTACAGTATATCATGTGACAACTTGTTTCATGTGAATCATAAGGATTTCCCAAGAACCGCTCCCAGAACCAGGACCTAAATTATGGGTTTCTACAGGATTACACAGAGACACACACACAGACACAGAGACACACACAGAGACAGACACACACACACAGAGACACACACACACAGAGACACACACAGAGACAGACACACACACACAGAGACACACACACACAGACACAGAGACACACACACAGAGACACACACACGGACAGAGAGAGAGAAATGGAGTGAGAGAGAGAGAGAAAGATACATAGAGAGAGACCAGAGAGAGAGAGACCCCGACTTTAATTCAGACCATGTGAATGAGGAGAGAGTCTGCAGTGACCCCTGACCCCTGACCTTGGGCAGCCCTTTGGCCGACATGGCGTTGAGCCACTGGATCACGTTGTCTGTGTGTCTGAAGTGAAGACCTGTCGCCTGAAACACAAACACATTAGAATGAGGCGTGTTGTTTAGACCTGTGTCGACTTCTCACCACAAGGAAGACAGGAAGAGACCAGAGAGAGACCAGAGAGGGACCAGAGAGAGACCAGAGAGAGACCAGAGGGAGAGACCAGAGAGAGAGACCAGAGGGAGAAGCCGAGAGAGACCAGAGGGAGACCAGAGAGAGACCAGAGGGAAAGCCGAGAGAGACCAGAGAGAGACCAGAGAGAGACCAGAGAGAGACCAGAGAGAGACCAGAGAGAGACCAGAGAGAGACCAGAGAGAGAGACCAGAGAGAGAGACCAGAGAGAGACCAGAGAGAGACCGGTAAGAGACCAGAGACAAAGCAGAGAGAGAGACCAGAGAGGGTCCGGAAAGAGACCAGAGAGACCAGAGAGATCAGTGAGAGGGACCAGAGACAGGGACCAGAGGGAGAAACCAGAGAGAGACCAGAGAGACCCCAGTGGTCCTCAGTACGTACCGTGTAGCGCGCCTGCTCTCTGTCGTAGATCTTCTTCAGTGAAACCGTTTGAGGAGCAAAGAAGTGTCCGAGCTTGGCCAGGTAAACGCCGTTCCTTAGCCCCTCCTCCAGCTCCGTGGTGGGCGGGAGCTCCTCGTCCAGACACGCCTCCATCCACCTGACGGACACAGCAACACTTAGCATCTGCAGCGCTAAAGGCCGCTAGCAACCAACCGCTAACAACGAACCCAAAACCTAATAAAGAAGAAAGTTTGAAGCTTTCTGTTCAGCATGAAGGAGAAACTTTACCTTTTTCTTTCCTTCTTGGGCACTTTCTCAGCATTTATACATTACTAGAGTTCTCATGAAATGGGCTAGAGTACAAAAACAACTAAGAGACCAGAGAGAGACCAGAGAGAGACCAGAGAGAGAGACCAGAGAGAGAGACCAGAGAGAGAGACCAGAGAGAGACCAGAGAGAGACCAGAGAGAGACCAGAGAGAGACCAGAGAGAGAGACCAGAGAGAGACCAGAGAGAGACCAGAGAGAGAGACCAGAGAGAGACCAGAGAGAGAGACCAGACAGAGAGACCAGAGAGAGAGACCAGAGAGAGACCAGAGAGAGAGACCAGAGAGAGACCAGAGAGAGAGACCAGAGAGAGACCAGAGAGAGACCAGAGATAGACCAGAGAGAAAGACCAGAGAGAGAGACCAGAGAGAGAGACCAGAGAGACCAGAGAGAGACCAGAGAGAGAGACCAGAGAGAGACCAGAGAGAGAGAATAGAGAGACCAGAGAGAGAGACCAGAGAGAGAGACCAGAGAGAGAGACCAGAGAGAGACCAGAGAGAGAGAATAGAGAGACCAGAGAGAGAGACCAGAGAGAGAGACCAGAGAGACCTGAGAGAGACCAGAGAGAGACCAGAGAGAGACCAGAGAGAGAGACCAGAGAGAGACCAGAGAGAGAGACCAGAGAGAGACCAGAGAGAGACGACAGAGAGAGAGACCAGAGAGAGACCAGAGAGAGACCAGAGAGAGAGACCAGAGAGAGACCAGAGAGAGACGACAGAGAGAGAGACCAGAGAGAGACCAGAGCGAGAGACCAGAGAGAGACCAGAGAGAGAGACCAGAGAGAGATAGACCAGAGAGAGAGAGACCAGAGAGAGACCAGAGAGAAATCAGAGAGACCAGAGAAAGACCAGAGAGAGAGAGAGAGAGATGGACCAGGATTCAGGCTGAGACAGGACCAAAACCAGGCCGAGGAATGAGACCAGGACCCTTATCAGGACCCTGACCCATACCAGGATCAAGACCAGGATTCAGACCAAGACCAGGATAAGACCAGCCTGAGGACCCAGACCAGGACCCAGACCAGCACCCAGACCAGGACCCAGACCAGGACTGAAAAGCCTCTGTGTTTGGACCAGAGACGGCAGTGTTTTCTGAAAGCAGCAAACACACCACACCCAGGACCAAACAGGGAACAGGTCTGAGTCTGGAACTGGTCCAGGTCTGAGTCTGGAACCGGTCCAGGACTCTGCAACAGAACAGCAGTGTTTGTGTTGTTGTGCCTTTGGGCAGGACACTCCAACACTCTGAGGTGAAAGTGATTTACAGTGAGTCTGGAGAAATGCGAGGAATGTGACGAAGTAAGTAAGTAAGTAAGTTTTTATTTATATACCGCCTTTTCACTGCGGATCTGAGTCTCAAAGCGGTTTACAATTGTTAATTTTGGGCATTTGTCTCTCACTCCACACAGAGATGGGAGCGGGGCCAGTACAGGAAGCGCATGCCAGACCTATTGGACATATTTTTAGTGGTAGGGGAAACCGGAGTACCCGGAGGAAACCTACGCAGACACGGGGAGAACATGCAAACTCCACTCAGAAAGGCCCTGGTCCGACCGGGATTCGAACCCAGGACCTTCTTGCTGAGAGGCGAGAGTGCTATCCACTCAGCCACCGTGCCGAAGCAAAGAGACCAGACCTGGACCAGACCTGGACCAGACCAAGACCAGGACCGAGACCAGAACCAGGAAAAGGACACCAGGGTCAAGACTAGGACTGAGACCAAGACTGAGACCAGACCTGGACCAGGACCAGGACCAGGCCCAAAACCAGGTCACCAGGGCCGAGACTACGACTGAGACCAGGACCAGGACACCAGGGCCGAGACTAGGACTGAGACCAGACCCGGGACCAGGACCAGGATACCAAGGCCAAGACTAGGAGTGAGACCAGAATCAGGACCAGAACCAGGACCAGATCTAGACAAGGACAGGGACCTGAACCCGAACAGGGACCCAGATAGGGACCAGGACCAAGATCAGGACCGACACCAGGCCCGACACCAGGCCCAACACCAGACCTGGACGAACCGAGACAAGGGCCAAGTCCAGGATCAGGACTGAGACCAGGGCCGACACAGAGACCAGGCCCAGTTTGTTTCCTCTCTGGTGCAGACAGAACAGAGACCTCCGTGGATCCTTTTGACTGAGACTTTTCCTCCTTCCTTCCCAAAGGAAGTACTGGTCAGAGGCCGAACTCATCAGGATACGGACTGGACCTGCGCCAAAGTCTAGGTCCTGCTCAGTGTATCAAGCCTGGCTCAGTCCCGTGGTTCAGGGTTTTAGACCTGCTTTAGACCTGCTTTAGACCTGCTTTAGACCTGCTTTAGACCTGCTTTAGACCTGCTTTAGACCTGCTTTAGACCTGCTTTAGTCCTGCTTTAGTCCTGCTTTAGTCCTGCTTTAGTCCTGCTTTAGTCCTGCTTTAGTCCTGCTTTAGACCTGCTTTAAACCTGCTTTAGTCCGGCTTAAGACCTGCTTCAGACCTGCTTCAGACCCGCTTTAGTCCTGCTTCAGACCTGCTTTAGGGTAAGAAGGTAACACTCGGGACAATACTTCCATAATGACAGCGTAACAAGCCGTGGAGCTGTGTTTAGGTGAAAGTGTGCCGCAGCCCTGTGTGTTTCCACGGCAACAAAGAAGAAAGCACAGAGAGGGTTTGTATCAGGAGGGGGAGGGGCCACAGGAAACAACTATGGACCAGGTCTGGACCAGGTCTGTCCCAGGACTGAACCAGGTCTGGAGCAGGACAGAACCAGGACTGAACCAGGTCTGAACCAGGTCTGAACCAGGACAGAACTAAGTCTGAACCAGGACTGAACCAGGTCTGAACCAGGTCTGAACCAGGACAGAACTAAGTCTGAACCAGGACAGAACCAGGTCTGAACCAGGACTGAACTAAGTCTAAACCAGGACTGAACCAGGTCTGAACCAGGTCTGAACCATGTCTGAACCAGGTCTGAACCAGGACAGAACTAAGTCTGAACCAGGTCTGAACCAGTACTGAACCAGGTCTGAACCAGGACTGAACCAGGACTGAACCAGGACTGAACCAGGACTGAACCAGGACTGAACCAGGACTGAACCAGGTCAAAACCAAGACTGAACCAGGACAGAACTAAGTCTGAACCAGGATTGAACCGGGACTGAACTGGGACTGAACCGGGACTGAACCGGGACTGAACCGGGACTGAACCGGGACTGAACCCGGGACTGAACTGGGACAGAACTGGGACAGAACCGGGACTGAACTGGGACAAAACCGGGACTGAACCAGGACAGAACTAGGACAGAACTAGGACAGAACCAGGACTGAACCGAGACTGAACCGGGACTGAACTGGGCCTGAACCGGGACAGAACCAGGACAGGGCCAGGACAGAACCAGGACAGAACCAGGACAGGGCCAGGTCTGCACCAGGACTGAGTGTAGACTGGTCCAGCAGCATTCAGTCTGGTCCTCAGTTTCTCTCTGACCTCAAACAGTGACATCACACATTCTGATCATTTCACACGGATCGAGGTGAAGAGCGGCTGAAACATGTTTACTGGTTACTATGGCAACTGCGGCAGAGGTCTTGTTAATTTCGCTCAGGTCTCTCGCTCTGGTCTCTCTCTCTGGTCTCTCTCACTAGTCTCTCTGGTCTCTCTCTTTCTGGTCCCTCTCTCTGGTGTCTCTCTCTCTCTGGTCTCTCTCTCTATATATAGTCTCTCTCTGGTCTCTCTCTCTCTGGTCTCTCGCTCTGGTCTCTCCCGTTGTCTCTCTCACTAGTCTCTCTGGTGTCTCTCTCTCTCTGCTCTCTCTCTCTGGTGTCTCTCTCTCTCTCTGCTCTCTCTCTATATATAGTCTCTCTCTGGTCTCGCGCTGGTCTCTCTCTCTCGGTCTCTTTCTGGTCTCTCTATCTCTGGTCTCTCTCTCTGGTGTCTCTCTCTCTCTGCTCTCTCTCTATATATAGTCTCTCTCTGGTCTTTCTCGCGCTGGTCTCTCTCTCTCTGGTCTCTCTCTCTGGCCTCTCTCTCTCTGGCCTCTCTCTCTCTGGCCTCTCTCTCTCTGGTCTCTCTCTCTGGTCTCTCTCTCTGGTCTCTCTCTCTGGTCTCTCTCTCTGGTCACTCTCTCTGGTCACTCTCTCTGGTCTCTCTCTCTGGTCTCTCTCTCTGGTCTCTCTCTCTGGTCTCTCTCTCTGGTCTCTCTCTCTGGTCTCTCGCTCTGGTCTCTCTCTCTGGTCTCTCTCTCTGGTCTCTCTCTCTCTGGTCTCTCTCTCTCTGGTCTCTCTCTCTCTGGTCTCTCTCTCTCTGGTCTCTCTCTCTCTGGTCTCTCTCTCTGGTCTCTCTCTCTGGTCTCTCTCTCTCTGGTCTCTCTCTCTCTGGTCTCTCTCTCTCTGGTCTCTCTCTCTCTGGTCTCTCTCTCTGGTCTCTCTCTCTGGTCTCTCTCTCTGGTCTCTCTCTCTCTGGTCTCTCTCTCTCTGGTCTCTCTCTCTGGTCTCTCTCTCTGGTCTCTCTCTCTCTGGTCTCTCTCTCTCTGGTCTCTCTCTCTCTCTGGTCTCTCTCTCTCTGGTCTCTCTCTCTCTGGTCTCTCTCTCTCTGGTCTCTCTCTCTCTGGTCTCTCTCTGGTCTCTCTCTGGTCTCTCTCTGGTCTCTCTCTGGTCTCTCTCTGGTCTCTCTCTCTCTGGTCTCTCTCTCTCTGGTCTCTCTCTCTCTGGTCTCTCTCTCTCTGGTCTCTCTCTGGTCTCTCTCTCTGGTCTCTCTCTCTGGTGTCTCTCTCTCTCTGCTCTCTCTCTATATATAGTCTCTCTCTGGTCTTTCTCGCGCTGGTCTCTCTCTCTGGTCTCTCTCTCTGGTCTCTCTCTCTCTGGTCTCTCTCTCTCTGGTCTCTCTCTCTCTGGTCTCTCTCTCTGGTCTCTCTCTCTGGTCTCTCTCTCTCTGGTCTCTCTCTCTCTGGTCTCTCTCTCTCTGGTCTCTCTCTCTGGTAGGCACCTCTGAGTTTGGACTTGGTCTGATTTAGACAGAAAAGACAGAGACTAAAGGGAAGTATTTAAAACGCTGCAGAAATCCTGGCTAACAAGCTCAGTAAAGCCGTTTTCACTAGCACAACTTGGCCCTGCTCTACTCGGCTCTACTCAACCTGGTATCTGTTATCCAACCAACTTACAACAAGCCAGTATCCAGGGAACTTCCTTGGTAACCTCATGGCTTCCAGCAGCATTCTGGCCAATCTCTGTCAGTAAAGAGACTGACAGAGTCTCTTTACCAACCAACGCCAAGAGGGACTAAAGAAGGACCAGTGGAAACACTCTCAATCAGGAGAGAGTAGAGTAGAATAGGCTAGAGCTGAGTAGAGTAAAGTAGAGTAGAGTAGAGTAAAGTAGAGTAAAGTAGGTTAGGGTAGGGTAGGGTAGAGGAGAGTAGGGTAGGGTAGGGTACGGTAGGGTAGGGTAAGGCCAGTGGAAACAGGGCTCTTGTCTGTGTGTAATCATCATTAATAGAAAGTGTAATGAGAAAAGTTTTAGCACTGGATTTAACTTCTAACACATTTATCTTGCTGAAAACGCGGCGATAGAAGTATTCTGCAGACTGGAGCGTGTGGACCTGGACTCAAACCGGATTTGACTTTTCTAACGCATCCTCCATCTTGGTTTGGCTTCTGCAGTTTCCAAAAGCACAAAACTGTTCTGTTATTGTCATTATTATTATTATTATAAGGAACATGACGCGTGTTGATGATGTCACCGCCGCGCCTAGACTGAGAGCCGGGCTCCGTCACAGGGACCAGATCCAGACCCAGATCCAGACCCATACCCATAAGTTTGAAATGTTTTTTTCTCAGGGGTCGAGATCATGTGTTGATAAAAAGGCCCTCTACAAGTGTTGCTGGGAGTTGAATTACAGCTGTGTGTGTGTGTGTGTGTGTGTATGTGTGTGTCTGTATGTGTATGTATGTATGTGTGTGTGTGTGTGTCTGTATGTGTATGTATGTATGTGTGTGTGTGTGTGTGTCTGTATGTGTATGTGTGCGTGTGCGTGTGTGTTGTGAAACGCCCTCTCGGCCTCATGAGAAAAACATCTGAACCTTGCGTTACTCTAGATGCCTCCCGTTATCACGGTTACAGAATGCCCCGTTGTCACGGTTACAGATTGTGGACGCACCGATCAAAAGATTGTGTTTATTAGAATTATGCAAATTTATTTAGTTTTGCATCGTCATGACGATGGCTGCTGCACGAAAGCATGAGTCACTTTATCCAGACGCTTAAAGGGAAAGTGACGGTTTCAGAGTAAAATATACATTTAAATATTATACTGTATAAAGAGAGAGATGCATGATGACATCACAGCAGGGAGACACAGATCGACAGTTTATGACTTTAATGTTCCTCTTGGAAAAGTGTAGGTGTCAGCAGCAGAAACACATCCAAAGGAAATGTAAATATAGAATTCTAAAAGTTACTAACAATAGTATTAAAATGCAACAGCACTTTAGGTCACTGCGAGATGGAGTAGCCTCTGGAGCAGGACGGGCCACAGCAGCAGAGGAGAGAGCTGAGGGAGAGACCAGAGCGAGAGAGACCAGAGGGAGACCAGAGAGAGACCAGAGAGAGAGACCAGAGGGAGACCAGAGAGAGACCAGAGAGAGAGACCAGAGCGAGAGAGGCCGGAGAGAGACCAGAAAGAGACCAGACAGAGGCCAAAGAGAGAGACCAGAGACAGATCAGAGAGAGAGACCGGAGGGAGACCGGAGAGAGAGACCTGAGAAGGACATATGGATTTAGGCTGCAAAACCCTATCCACATACAGTAATACAATACACCCATGGTTGTACCCCAGTGTGATGTCATCATTGTGCGACTCTGAATGTGCTTGAGTATTTGACCTGTCACGTTTCTTTGACCTCCCTCCCTCCCTCTGTGACCTCCCTTCCTCCCTCCCTCCGTGACCTCCCTCCCTCCCTCTGTGACCGAGCCTCCCTTTGTGACCGAGCCCGCCTCCGTAATCCGTAAGAGTGAAACTTCTGCAGCGGAACCAGCAATTTATAACGAACCAATCAAACGACTGCCTTTGACCTAATGCTAATGATATACATCATTAGCATAATCTTGTTAACCTGCTCTCCTGGTTCGGTCCCTCTTCCTCACACTTGTCTGCAGATTTTAGGACGTCCCTGCACCCGAATCTGGACTGTCATAGTGTTACTCAACTGAATTTTATGTTGCTGATTATGCTAACTCGGGCTAACGTCGGCTAAAAGGGGCTAACTCTTGCTAATTTAGACTAACTTTAGAAAACTCCTGCAAACTTGGACTGACTCGCTAACGTGGCTAACTCTTGCTAACGTGGCTAAAACTTGCTAACCTAACTAATTGCCTAGGTTGACAATAAAAACAGGACTTAATTGTGTTTTTGTAGATTTCAGCCTGTTTTAATGTAAGTAAACGGTGTGTGGGAGAGTTCACCCCTGTAGCCAGCAGAGGGGGCTGATGAGGTAGAGGCCTGGTTCTGGCGCTGGTTCTGGCGCTGGTTCTGCTGCTGGTTCAATGTTCCGCTGCTGCTGCTGTTTCTGCGTCTGCGTCAGAAGTGCACAGTTTTACCCTCTGCACTTTCTCCATTCTCTCCTGTCCCCGAGTCCCGCCCCTCGCCCTAAGCCCCGCCCCCGCTCCTATAGTGGAATATTATAAAGAATGTAACGTACTCATAGCCTTTCATCTTAAACTAATATTAAACATATGAATGAACTTCTCGCCTCTTTATTTCAGGTGTTATTTGTGCACAATCAGGAGATGTGGGAATGTGGGAGTAAAGGGTCAAGGAAGGGGGCGTGTCCCAGAGAGTTACCATGAGCGAACACAAGGAGAAAGTCAGGTGACCTACAGTCACTGATACAGACCAATCAGACAGGAGACATTAACATAACGTCATTCTAAAGTCCTCTAAACTGCCTTGATGTTAGCAGTCTGTACTGAGCATCGGCCTTTGTGGGTTCGATTCCACCACGAGACCTTCTCCACTGATGTCTGCTGTCGTTGTGTCCTTGGGCAAGAAACTTAACCCCACTTTGCCCGAAGCTTCCGCTGAAAAATTGCTATAAAGTTTATGAGTCTTGTGCCCCGTTTCTCCAAAGTAGCACAAAAAAGTTGATTTGGAACTAATCTTGGGGCGCAAGGCTCATGTGAAATATCTAAAATACCATAGTGGCACAAATTTCAATTTCTGCAGCACAAATTCAGCACTAAAAGATTACTTCTTTTTTAACAAGTTTTAAAAGAGCGAGGTGCCCACATCACACAGGTGTCGCCCTCCTGTGGACTCACCTCTTGACGAGCAGTAAGAGGCTGGTGCTTTCTAGTGAGTCGAGTTTCATGGTACTTCTGGAACAATTTTTGTTGAAGTGTCGCTCACAGAAAAACAGATCTGTTGCAGATTTCAGAAGCAGATTCCGTGAATAAAGTCGAGACACATTCACTGCATTCTTTTCTCCAAGTCACAAGAAGCTGTCGATGTGAAGGCAACACAGTGGGAGACTATACAGGCTGTTTTCTGATTCGCTGTTTTGATTTCTCCCGCTGTCAATCACCTCCTGGAGACGGGCTTCAGTGTCACAAAGTGAAAGGAGGCGTTTTGACCAGAGCCTGAGGAAATCAGTACAAAAACTACTTTGGGCCAAACAGCAGTAATGATGGTTAAAGCAGAGGACTATATGGGACCTTTAAGGTCAAGTACGTACTATCCCACGTCTCAACAGTCTATGGTCCCTACAGTCTATGGTCCCCACAGTCTATGGTCTCAACAGTCTATGGTCCCTACAGTCTATGGTCCCCACAGTCTATGGTCCCTACAGTCTATGGTCCCCACAGTCTATGGTCCATGGACAGTCTATGGTCCCTACAGTCTATGGTTCCAACAGTCTATGGTCCCAACAGTCTATGGTCCCTACAGTCTATGGTCCCAACAGTCTATGGTCCCTACAGTCTATTGTCTCAACAGTCTATGGTCCCTACAGTCTATGGTCCCCACAGTCTATGGTCCCTACAGTCTATGGTCCCTACAGTCTATGGTCCCCACAGTCTATGGTCCATGGACGGTCTATGGTCCCTACAGTCTATGGTTCCAACAGTCTATGGTCCCTACAGTCTATGGTTCCAACAGTCTATGGTCCCTACAGTCTATGGTCCCTACAGTCTATGGTTCCAACAGTCTATGGTCCCTACAAACCAGTCTTAAACAGGTCTAAAGCAGGACTAAAACTGGCTTCCACTTGTGCATGTTGTCCACTTGTACAGAGTCCTTTGGTTATAGTAAAATACAGACGGAACACAAGGAAAACTTTGAACATCTGCAGCATCACAGTCACAGATATAACCATCATATGCGCATGCGTGAGGGGCGTGCGCGTGCATGTTTATGCACGTGCGCAGATCCACGCCCAAGGAATCTGAACCTGAACCAGAACCAGGCCTGAGCCAGGACCGAGACCAGACCCAAGACCGCAGAGACCGGCACGGATCCAGGTATGTCCCGACGGGCACGCGCACTAGGGACGCGCGCGCACGTACATAAAGGCAGGACTAAACCAGGTCTAAAGCAGGTCTATAGCAGGTCTATAGCAGGTCTACAGCAGGTCTAAAGCAGGACTAGATCAGGTCTAAAGCAGATCTATAGCAAGTCTAATGTAGGACTAAAGCAGGTCTATCGCAGGTCTGAAGCAGATCAGGACTAAAGCAGGTCTAAAGCAGGTCCAAAGCAGGTCTAAAGCAGGTCCAAAACAGGTCCAACTCAGGTCTAAAGCAGGTCCAAAGCAGGTCCAAAGCAGGTCTAAAGCAGGTCTAAAGCAGGTCCAAAGCAGGTCTAAAGCAGGTCTAAAGCAGGTCCAAAGCAGGTCTAAAGCAGGTCCAAAGCAGGTCTAAAGCAGGTCTAAAGCAGGTCCAAAGCAGGTCTAAAGCAGGTCCAAAGCAGGTCTAAAGCAGGTCCAAAGCAGGTCTAAAGCAGGTCTATCCACATGTGAATAATGATGTGGTTTTGAAAAAGGCAAATAGGTGAGTTTGAATGACACAGGGCAGACTGCATTGCTCCTAGAGGTCTCCCATCGCAGTACTAACCAGACCTTGCCCTGTTGAGCGGTCTGACAGGAACAGGCTGTTACCAGCAGGTGGCGCCACAACATACTACATGTCTGACTACTTCATGTCGTTGTTTTCCTCTCCTCTCCTCCTTGCCTTCAAACCATCAAACCACATACTGTTTATTGATAGACAATGCAAACCTAATAGGAAAGTGCTCATGGTGAAGTTTGCCTCCAACTTGCTCTGGCTAGATTTGACCTGAAAAAGTAAAAGTAAACTCCTAAGCACACACTCTGTGATCCTTATTTATATAGTGATCCAGCTAGCTTATGTTGAAATCGGCAACTGCAGCACTTAGGCTAACACACTTGGTCGTCTAATGTACGCTCTATGCTTCAAACCATGTTGCACTTTTTGAGCTTTTACACCGATAATAACACACGGTAAACACAAGATGGCTGCTGCGGTTTCCATGGTAACAGAACCACGGGCGCTCTCTACTTTCTGGCTCTTTAATCCGGTCCACCAATCAGCAGCGTCCGTCCCGCCAACCAGCACACCACAGACCAATGAAAGCGCCCCGTGTGGCTTTTGCCGGGAATTCTGGAAGAAAGAGGCGGAAACAAAGATGGCGCCGGTCGGAGGACACAGGCGCCGTCTCAATCTGAAAAATCCTAGTTCATCTCCTTAATCGATTTAATCAGCCGTTCATAAGACACTTTTAGCGCTCTGAAATGTACAATAATCAAGGGTTTTTCAAATGTCACACAATTTAAAAAAGCATGACTTAAATCAAGGGCAATATAACAGAAGTAATTAGGGAAAAGGAGGCATTTTTCTGATTTCGGACGCACCCACAATCGCGCCTCGTCACAGGCGCAGGCTGCATGTGGTTATTACGCAGTTACACTGGATTTTATGTTATTTTAGTTGGGTCTGCAGGGCCGGGGGCATCTAGACTTTACCCTGTTTTTTGTTTTAAATTCATGTTAAATCTGTTCAAAATAGTTTTATTCTCCCACAAATCTGCCGAGCACATGCACATCTGTACCCGCCCCCCTGGCTCTCTCTCCCCGGGCATGGACCAGAGCGAGCCTCGGTGTGTCTCGGGAGAATATTAACGTCTTTTAAAGCCTTTTAACACTGGAATCTTTTAACACATTTTTAACGTGCTGATCGTCCTGGAGCCACCACTGTTAGAGCGGAGGCAGCTGTAAATGTGACCCGCCTGTGAAGACACGTTTTCGGCTGTGGTTTCTCAGATCAACGCTCTCTGTCCTGGAGGTAAACACAAAAGCACTGATCTGATCCACGGACTAAGAACACTGGTTTAAGACTCGAAATCGATATTCTCCGAGCAGAGTTTGCTTCGGAGGTATCGTGCTAACAGCGGATGAGCTAGCACTGCAGTGGCCGACTCAGAGACACTTTTTTCGGCTGCGTTTTGTGTCCGCTCCGCTGGGCTCTGGAACAGCAGTGGAGTAAGTGTCGACGTGAAACTACTATTATTATTATCACTGTTTCTAAATATGTCAAAAACCAAACACGTTGTGAATTATGATGCCTTGATGTCTACTGCAGTTTGCATGTTCTCCCCGTGTCTGCGTAGTTTACCTCCGAGTGTTCCGGTTTCCACCACCACTAAAATTATGTACGGTAGGTCTGGCATGCATCCATCTCTTTGTGGAGTGAGAGACAGATGCCCACAATTGTAAAGTGCTTTGTGACTCTGGTTTGTGAAAAGTGCTATGTAAATAAAGATTACTTTATTGTACTTACATGATAATAACATATGAATATTGTCTGGTGCAGCGAGGAGACTCCTGCTTCATTCACACAGTAACACGAAGCACCTCTGTCTCAGCACTCCTCCGGTGAGACTCCAGCCTCATGGACCCTGGACCCTGTGGAGTCCCCAGTGCAGTCTCAGGTCTGAGCGGTCTGAGTGATCCGGAGTCCCAAGACCGGCCCTGTCTCATCGTGGAGGACTCTCAGCCCGACAGCAGTGCAATAGAAGACGATCCAGAGAGCAGCTACAGAGCCCTGCTGACGAGGAGGTTAAGCAGCCTGAGGACCACAGGGGGACTGGTGAGTGAGAGAGACCAGAGAGCGAGAGAGACCAGAGAGCGAGAGAGACCAGAGAGCGGGAGAGACCGGAGAGCGGGAGAGACCGGAGAGCGGGAGAGACCAGAGAGGGAGAGGGAGAGAGACCAGAGAGGGAGGGGAGAGAGACCAGAGAGGGAGGGGAGAGAGACCAGAGAGGGAGAGGGAGAGACCAGAGAGGGAGAGACCAGAGAGGGAGAGGGAGAGACCAGAGAGGGAGAGGGAGAGACCAGAGAGGGAGAGACCAGAGAGGGGTTTCAGGAAGTGGAATTAACTTAAACCTTGTATTTGTTTTAAGGAGCTGATCTCCGGTTCTCAGAACGCTGACCAATCACAGCCTCCGATTTTTGGTGAATATGCAAATGAGCTTGTTTTAACAAGGCCTGAAAGCAATGACGTCATGTTCTTAATCGTGTGTTTGTTTTAATCAGAAATGAACCCGAGTTTAGAGGAGAGTGAAGTTCTGGACGTCTCTGAGGGAAGGTACGAGAAACACACACGTGACACACACTAGATCCAGTGGTATGAAAAAGCCTGGGCACCCCTCTCAATCTTTTGAATTTTCAGATAAATATATCAAATCGGAGGCAGTGATATTTGAGAAAAAGGTTTGTGTGAAAGAGTGAGTGAGAGACCAGAGCGAGTGAGAGACCAGAGCGAGTGAGAGACCAGAGCGAGTGAGAGACCAGAGCATAATATACACGTGTTAAACACATGTAACTCCTGCTCTGTGCTGCAGGGGGCGCTGTGAGCAGATGGACTCCAGAGGAGAATCTCAGAGTCTGCAACACGAAGGTAAAGTCTACACAAGTCTGAAACTCTTTTTTACTGTTAGTAAGTTTGTTGTTAAAGCCTTGGTCTCTTTTAGAAAGCGTCTCTCAGTTCGGCTTTTTGGAGCTGAGCCAGAGCCAGGACTTCGGCCCTGAACCAGTCCAGGACCAGATCAGGACCAGACCCAATGGTAACAGCACTGTTCATGAGCCTGAATATTACAATTTGCAGTTCTCTTGCAGAGAAACCCCAGAAGTTTGTTCTAGTCGTAATCTTTCTGTTTCAGATGAGTCTTTGAGGACTCAGTCCAGACCAAGTCCTCCAGTCCCAGCACAGGCCCTGCCACATTCACAAGACCGAGTTCTGAACCAGGACCAGGATCAGCTGCTGTTGTCCCAGGAGGACCTCTTTGATAAAATTGGTTAAAACAATAAAAACATCTGTATATCTCTGGTCTCGCTCTCTGGTCTCGCTCTCTGGTCTCGCCCTCTGGTCTCGCCCTCTGGTCTCGCTCTCTGGTCTCGCCCTCTGGTCTCGCCCTCTGGTCTCGCCCTCTGGTCTCTCTCTCTTGTCTCTCTCTCTTGTCTCTCTCTCTTGTCTCTCTCTCTGGTCTCTCTCATTGTTTGTTGTTGTTCAGGTCCTGTGGTGCGTAGCTCCTCCCCTTCACGCCTCGCGCTGCTGCAGCTTTCAGGATGTGCTCCAGGGACACTAGTGCACAACAGCCTGTCCCAGTGAGTTGTGTGTCTGTCTGTCAGTGTGTGTCCGTGTGTGTGTAACTTGTGTGTCTCTTGTGTGGACAGGAGCTCCGTGGACTTTGTGGCTCCAACTCCAGAAAACTTGACTCCAATGATTGTGCCCTCGTCACCCACAGAGCATGGTACACACACACACACACACGCTCACGCTCGCACGCATTCACACACACACACACTTACACAAACTGCTTCTGTTTCCTGTTTCTGCAGATGAGCCCATGGACCAATCAGAGCACAGAGACCCGTCCACTGCTGTGTGTGATCTGCAGCGCCCCCTGTCTGTGCCGTCGCAGCTAGAGCTCTCACATGTAGGTGACCCCCACCCCTTCTGTCCAAAGGCTCTGTTTTCAAACATGATACACATGAGCTTTTGTAGGTCCCCTCTCTGACCACCAGAAGGAGCTGTTGAGTTACTATGAAGAGGAGATGTTGGTGCTCCAAGTTTTGAGTTTTCTGGTCTCCCTGTTGTCTCCATCTCTGGTCTCTCTCTCTCTCTCCCTCTTAACTATCGCTTGTCTCTCTCTCTGGTTTCTCTCTCTCTCTGGTCTCCTTTCTGGTTTCTCTCCCTGTGGTCTCTCTCACGCCCGCCCTTTATTCTCACCTGAGGCTTGTGTTTGTGTTTCCAGGATGTGTTTGTTCCGACTCAAAGCCAAAAAGAGACCTCCTCTCCTGCCCCACAGACCTCCTCCCCTGCCCCACAGACCTCCTCCCCTGCCCCACAGACCTCCTCCCCTGCCCCACAGACCTCCTCCCCTGCCCCACAGACATCCTCCCCTGCCCCACAGACATCCTCCCCTGCCCCACAGACCTCCTCCCCCGCTCCACAGACCTGCTCCTTAAACCTCTGCATAAACACTGAAGTCGATGATGAAGAGGCCACACAGATTGAGGCGCTGGACCAGGACACGGACTCTCACAAGTCCCAGCAGTCTCAGCAGTCCCAACAGTCCCAACAGTCCCAGAGCCTCCATCCGTCCGCTGACAGCCAAAACAGAATCTCCAGGTTCAGTCAAGAAGCGAAAAACCACAACTCCCGCCCCAGCAGCCAAGAAAATCAGAATAAGAATGCTACCAGTGCAAAAGCTAACAGCCAGCCTCCCGAATTTGCACCTGACTTTTCATCATCGTCCCAAATGAAGGCTTTAAACAAAGATCATGAGAAAATGACAAATCCTTATAGCCAAAAAGTTCAAGCTAACAGCCAGCCTGCCGGATCTGCAGGAGTCAGGATTGTTCCGGAGTCTCAGCCTGAAATCATGAATGTAGAGGACGAGAAAAAGAGTACAAATGGATCTGCACCACAGCCCCAGACAGCGGTAAAGAATGTAAATCATGGCAAATGCAGCCAAAACAGGGCTGAAGCTAGCAGCGAGCCACACGGATCTGCACCACGACCTGCGTTAGATTCTCAGGCAAAGGTTTTAAATGTAAATAATGAGAAAATGACTGAGACTTTTAGCCTGAAAGCTAAAGCTAGCAGCCAGCCTGTAGCATCCACAGCTATCATGATAGTTTCAGACTCACAGGCGCTAATGAAAGCTCACAGTCAGCCAACCGGACCCTCTGCCAGCTCCACTAAACCCGCTCTCAGACCCGCTTCTAGACCAGACCTCGGGGTCCCTGGGAACGGCCTTAGCCCTCGTAGACCACAGGACGGAGCAGCAGGAGCGGAGCAGCAGAGTCTGGGCGTTCTGGAGCTGTCCCAAAGTGAGATGCTGACGTCCACGGAGCAAGGAGCCAAAATGTCCGCCGCCGGAAAAGACAAAAGAGACGGAAAGAGTCTGGACAGCTCTGGAGGTGAGACCAGAGAGCGAGAGACCCAGAGACCCAGAGACCCAACACTGTTCTTTCTCTTATTCACAGAGTTGTCGTTTCATTTCACGCTGCCGAAAGAGGACGAGCTGATTGGTCGGTCTGTCAGTGCCACGCCCCCTCACATGAGCCAATTAAAGCAGACACTCCGACACAGCACTCCCATTGGTCAGTGGTCTGTTCCGATGTGTATTAGCATTAGCATTAACTGATCGTCTCTTGAATATGTTATTATTTCAATCCTAAATGTGTGTCTTTCCCAAACACAGAGGTGAACTCCCCATCGCAGAGATCAGACCTGTCCGTGGGCAGTGACATCATAACGGGCGCAGAGGGGGCTGATGGGAAACTGAGTCTGAGGATGAAGCTGGTGACGCCGGTTGAAGAGAGTAGCGAGCGCTTCAGTTTGCAGAGTGAGTGGAGTTAGCGCTAGTCCTCATAAAGCTGGTGTGTGTTAGCGCTGGTCCTCATAGAGCTGGTGTGTGTTAGCGCTAGTCCTCATAGAGCTGGTGTGTGTTAGCGCTGGTCCTCATAGAGCTGGTGTGTGTTAGCGCTGGTCCTCAGAGCTGGTGTATATTAGCGCTGGTCCTCAGCTGGTGTGTGTTAGCGCTGGTCCTCATAGAGCTGGTGTGTGTTAGCGCTAGTCCTCATAGAGCTGGTGTGTGTTAGCGCTAGTCCTCATAGAGCTGGTGTGTGTTAGCGCTGGTCCTCATAGAGCTGGTGTGTGTTAGCGCTGGTCCTCATAGAGCTGGTGTGTGTTAGCGCTAGTCCTCATAGAGCTGGTGTGTGTTAGCGCTGGTCCTCATAGAGCTGGTGTGTGTTAGCGCTGGTCCTCAGAGCTGGTGTATATTAGCGCTGGTCCTCAGAGCTGGTGTGTGTTAGCGCTAGTCCTCATAGAGCTGGTGTGTGTTAGCGCTAGTCCTCATAGAGCTGGTGTGTGTTAGCGCTAGTCCTCATAGAGCTGGTGTGTGTTAGCGTTAGTCCTCATAGAGCTGGTGTATGTGTAACGTTTGTCTCCTCAGGACCGTCCCTCTCTGATGGTGTCTCTGTGTGTCCCTCGTCCAGCAGCGCCCCCCACAGGTGAGGCCTCTGTGTGTGTGTGTGTATGTGTGTCATGTTCTGTGTGTCACATGTTGTGTGTTCAGTGCGTCTGTGTTCAGCCGTGTGCGTCACGTGCACCGCGCGCCGTCAGGACAAAGCTGCGCTCACAGGTGAGGGCTCTCTGCACATTAAAGTTTAAAAGTTTGTTAAAGCTTAAGTTTGTCTTTAATCAATCAATCAATCAATCTTTATTGATAGGGCGCTTTTCCTGCACAGGGCAACACAAAGCGCCTCACAGTCCACACCACACAATGCACAAATCATCACCATTAAAATACAATTAAAAACACATATGTAATTAAAAAGCATTAAAATCACATAAGTAATTTAAAAACATAAGAATCACACAAGTAATTAAAAACAATAAAATAGTTAAAAACACAAAAAGTTACAACAATAAATAACAAGGTGTGTTAAAAAGATAAAATTCTTTAGTTGTATGCACAGGAAAAAAGATAAGTCTTTAAAGGCGCTATACCCGTTTCTGCAATGTTTGAATGTTTAGCACCGCCCCCAACTCGCTCAATGGCTTCTCATTTCCCCTACGCTCTCATCCCACGGAGCCACCTAGTTTTATTTGCAATCTGATATGTATACAATCACTGATGAAATGGTACAGAAGCAATGCACTGCTAATACAATATATAAGTAAAAGAATACCGCTAGTTTCGTGTCCGAATGTATTCATTTAAACATTAGAATATATTCTAATATTTAATTATAATTTATTATACAGCTCCTCACAGCAGTAGAACACTCCATTGACGTGAATGTAATTCTTCCGATCATTTTTTCTTGATAACAGAACTCTCAAATCAATAATGACCTCTGCCCTTTGACAATGCAATCTCTGTTTGTAATTCAGGTGTGTAAAATACTGCCATTACTCCACAAGTACAAGCTATCAGCGCCTGTCACTACACTGTGCAGTTTATCTGCACACTCGTCTGTGTAGAGAAGCTAGCGGAGCTAGCCACGCTCAATAAACAAATACATATCTATCAATCAACACCATTAAACGTTAATCAGACAATACAGTATACATATACATCCTTAACACACATGCACGAACGATTTCAGAATTTGCTGTCAACGTTTTCATGACAAAAATACTGTTTTAACGTGACAAAAAGCGATCGCGAAAAACCCGGAAGTTACCATGAAACAGCTAGCTAGCTTAGCTGTTACCAGCCTAGCACGTCCTAGTGAAACTTTTGGGAGCTAACTATTTTATTTGCAGTCATTAAATACATTTCGAATTATAAGGGCTGTCTAATATTTGTTCGAATATATTTTTTATTTATTTTAGAATTATATTCGAATTTTGAAGTGGAAGCCCTGGTGTTAAGCAGCGCTGTAGAGTCTAGAGGACGCAGGCTGGTCGCTGCTCGTTCTGTGCGGAGGAGAAAGAGCGGCCCGCTCAGACTCTGCTCAGCACTTTTCACGGCATAAATTTCATACACAGCTGAATCAATTACCTCAAGTTTTCAATTAAATTATGTATTATGATACAACTTGTATGTAGTAAAAAGCATTTTTATGAACTACTTAGAAAAAAAATCGGGTATAGCTTCTTTAACATGGATTTGAACATTGACAGAGAGGCAGCCAGTCTCACATCCTCAGGAAGACTGTTCCAGACTTTAGCTGCATAAATCTTAACTAGTTGTGTCCTTCAGAAGTCCTTCGCCTCAGAGCCACAGCCAATCAGATGCCTCCTCCCAGCTCTCCACAGCCAATGAGGACGCAGAGAAGCTGCAGGGCGTGGCCGAAGCGCGCGGCCTCGACAGGGTGCGGCCGCAGATGGTTCCGGAAAGTTCCGTGGGGACGTGTTTTAAAGAGTGTTCTGTTATTTCAGACCGACACTGAGACTCCGCCTCCTCGCCACGCAGGCCCCTCCCACCGGCGCCACGTGCGCACAATCCAGGAAGTACGCACAACGGTGACGCGCATCATCACTGACACGTTCTACGAAGATGGGAAAGAAGTGGAGCGCAGCGTGAGAGAGGTGTGTGTGTCTCTGTGTGTCTGCGTCTCTGTGTCTGTGTGTGTATCTGTGTCTATGTCTATGTGTGTGTCTATGTATATTTTTTTCTCTGACCTGTGTGTGTGTGTGTGTGTGTGTGTGTGTGCACTTGTTTTCAACTCCTGGTGGGTTCCATAACCTGAGATTCCACTCACGTCATGGGGACTGGTTTTACGTGGTGGGGCCCGAACACCGGACCCCACTGGTCCAAGCTTAATAATCAATGGGTAATGCTTTTCTAACGGTCCTTATGCAGTCTCTGTAAAAATATGGAAAGGACCCCTGGAGGTTTACTTTCCTGAAAAAAGTGTGTTATGTGTCGGAACCCTGGTGGTGGGTTGCGGGATATCAAGGAGGGGCACACTGGGGCAATTTCAGTCCAGCAGGCTGGAGCCAATCATGGAGCAGCACAACAGAGGAAATCAGGTGTCAGGCTAGAAAAAGGTGCAAGTGTGTGGTTCATTAGGCTGCAAGAAATCATGGAGGAGCACACTGAAGCGCACGCTTACAAACCACTGGTAAGTGCTGACTACAAGTCATGACTTCAAATTGTTATATAGAATGATTACAAATTATTTGTTGTTTGTGCAGCTTAGTCAAGAGTCCCTAATTGATGAAGTCGACTCAGATTCTGACGATTTAACTGTCAAGAAGAAACCTGTAAAAAAGTATGGAAAAAGAAAAATCAAAAACACTTTTCTTCAAGACTCGGAAAGTGACGAACCAAAGGCAAATAAGATTGTTATCATGCAGCTGCAAAAGAAGAAAAATGGGGGGCGAGTATACAGCAAGAGACACTTCTGCCTCTACTGTTCAATGTCCTGCCACAAAATGTCCCGTCATTTGACTAGAAAACATGGAAATGAAAGTGACGTAGCCAGAGCATTGGCTCTACCTGTGAAATCTAAAGCACGTAAACTTCAGTTTGATTTGATCAGGAATAGTGGAAACCGTGAGCACAATTTTGAGGTTTTAAAGGCCGGCATTGGAACTTTAGTCCCAGCTAAACAGCCAAATTCCCCAGTTAAATCCAGTGAGTTTTTGCACTGTATAGACTGTGGGGCATTGCTTAAGCGAAAGTCGCTGTGGAGGCATGTGGCCAGGTGCCGGCTTTCACAGAAAGATGCCCAGGCTAAACCAGGTAGAAGTAGGGTCCAGTCCCTCTGCTCCCTAGCCCAGCCTGTACCGGAGGGCATCAGCAAAAAGCTGTGGTCTTTAATTTCGGCAATGCATCAGGATGAGGTCACGGGTGTTGTCAAAGCAGAAAAGGGGATTCTGAGACTCGGAGAGCACCTGTACTTAAAACACGGGCATGATAAGACTAAGCATGATTACATTAGGCAGAAAATGAGAGAAGTCGGTAGGTTAATTAACGAAGCAAAAACCGCAGGGAAACTGAAAACAATTAAGGATTTCTTTATTCCTTCCAACTTTAACCATGTGATTGATGCAGTCAGGTCTGTGGCTGGATATGATGAGGAAACAAATCAATACAAGACTCCATCCTTGGCCCTCAAACTCGGCCATAGCCTCAGAAAGCTAGCAGATATTCTTGAATGTGACTCAAAAATGGAGCATTGTGTTGATGAACTATTTATTAAAAACCTCCAACGAAGCCGGCTGCTTTTTGAGAAGAGGTGGGACGTCTGTGTTTCTTCTGCTGCCCTACAGACCCTCCGGCAAGCCAAGTGGAACACTCCGGACCTGCTCCCTCTGACTGAGGACGTTAGAGCCATGCATGCACATATTGAGGTATGTCGACCTGAATATGTGCAAACCCTAATAAGTGAGCCAACGTCTAAGCATTGGTCTAAACTGGCAGTTTTGACTCTTTGTGAGGTCATCATTTTCAATCGAAGAAGGGAAGGTGAGGTTTCAAAGATGCCACTGACAGCCTTTACCTTAAGAAGTAAGACTGGGATCCATTCTGATATTGCTCTGGGACTGTCCCAACTTGAGAAAAAGCTGTGTCAGCATTTTCAACGCATTGAAATTAAAGGGAAAAGAAGTCGGAAAGTGCCGGTTCTTTTGACTCCTGAAATGATTGCTTCGATGGAGGTGCTGGTGGAGAACAGAAGGGCCTGTTCCATCTCTGACCATAACCCATACTTCTTTTCCCGCCCGGGCGCAGACACCCACATCAGGGGATCAGACTCCCTACGCCAGGTAGCCAAAGAATGTGGTGCGGTGCATCCAGAGATGCTATCCTCAACCAAACTTAGAAAGCACATAGCTACTATGTCTACAGTTCTCAATATGAAAGAGAATGAGATGGACATACTTGCCAACTTCCTCGGCCATGACATTCGCATCCACAGGCAATATTACAGACTACCAGAGGGGACACTGGAGCTGGCCAAAATCAGCAAAGTGTTGATGGCCATGGAGCAGGGAAGAGTGACGGAATTCGAAGGAAAGAGCCTCGACCAGATACAAATTGAGCCTGAAGGTAATTCTTGATATTATTAAAATATGTATGATTTTTTTCCCCTAAAGGCCACTTGTATTTTTATTTTCTGTGCGACAGGGAGAGCAGTAGAGATCCTCTCACAAACGGACGGGCTAAAAGAAACTTCAAGCGGAGAACCTTCAACCATTCATCCAGATGCACCCCATGGTAGTGGCAGTGCCCCTTCTGGTAAGTGTACCAGGTGGGGGATTACAGCCAGGCTGCTTGGTCCTCACCCTGGGAGTGTATATTGCTAATATATTTTTATTTCTCTCCCTAGAACGTGTAAGAAAGCCATGGTCTGCATCTGAGGTGAAGGCTGTGGAGAAGACCATGACACCTTTCATACAGACTGGAAAGGTCCCTGGGAAGTCTCACTGCCTGGCCTGGCCTGGCCTGGCCTGCATTAATGCCTCACCAGATGACCTTAGACATCGGACATGGAGTTCTATTCTAATCATTCTATGTCAAAAATAGAATCACTGCAATTCGAAAACAAAATCTAAAATAAAATTCCTTTAAAATAGTTGTTTGGTTTCTATTGACTGTTTTGTATTACTTAAAGTCTTGGTAAAAAAAGATTATGTCTATGGGTCCCATTCTGAACGGCCCTGTCAAAGGGACCCACCAGGTAACAAAAACGTGTGTGTGTGTGTGTGTGTGTGTGTGTGTGTGTGTGTGTGTGTGTGTGTGTGTGTGTGTGTGTGTGTGTGTGTGTCTCTCTGACCTGTGTGTGTGTGTGTCTCTCTGACCTGTGTGTGTGTGTGTCTCTCTGACCTGTGTGTGTGTGTCTGTGTGTATCTCTCTCTCTGACCTGTGTGTGTGTGTCTGTGTGTATCTCTCTCTCTGACCTGTGTGTGTGTGTCTGTGTGTATCTCTCTCTCTGACCTGTGTGTGTGTGTCTGTGTGTATCTCTCTCTCTGACCTGTGTGTGTGTGTCTGTGTGTATCTCTCTCTCTGACCTGTGTGTGTGTGTCTGTGTGTATCTCTCTCTCTGACCTGTGTGTGTGTGTCTGTGTGTATCTCTGACCTGTGTGTGTCTGTGTGTATCTCTGACCTGTGTGTGTCTGTGTGTGTGTCTGTGCGTGTGGTCCCAGGAGAGCGATGATCCGGTGGTGAACTTCCAGGTCATGGACGTGTCGCCGAGTCGCACCGTGGGCTCCATGACCTCCGGGGATCTCGCCGACATCAGCTCCTCCACGGGCGCCACGGGAACCAGCTCCGGGCCCACGGAGAGACCGCACCTCCTCCCTCCCCCCAGCAGGGGGGGCAAGGCCAGGTACAGAGCTGTCACACTGTACGAGGAACACCCTTGGACTTCAAGCTTCTGTTTCCACTAACACTGTAACATCACACTATTGTCCTTTTCCTCTTTCCTTCTAACTCCTAACCCCCACACCCCCTCCCTCCCTCCCTCCCTCCTAAACCCTCCTTCCCCCTCCCTCCTAACTCCTCCTAACCCCCTCCACCCACTTCCCCCTAACTCCTCCTTCCCCCTCCCTCCCTCCTAACTCCTCCTAACCCCCCCCCCCCCCCCCCCCCCCCCGCCCGCTGCAGAGGAGGCGGGGCCAGGCGTGGCAGCCCTGTCAGTCCCAGAAGAAACAGAAGAGGGCGCCCTCCTGCCCGCCCTGCCCCCCCCAGGTAAGCCCCTGCCCCTACAGGTCAGTCTCTAATCTTCTCCTTCTTCCTGCCCTGAAACCATAAGTTAAACCTCCTTCATGGTTTCACTTCTGTCTGACTCTGTTCTCTCCTCAGTGCGCCTCCTGCTGGCTCATCCCCTCCCCCCCAGGACTCCTCCTCCTTCGTGGGGCTCAGAGTTGTGGCAAAGTGGTCGTCTAACGGCTACTTCTACTCGGGCCGCATCACGCAGGACTTAGGGGTGCACCCGGGCGGGACTGGGCCAGGTCTGGGCTCTGGACCTGAGTCTGGACCCGAGTCCGGACCGGGGGAAAACCGGTTCAAGCTCCGCTTCGATGACGGGTACGAGTGTGAGCTGTGGGCGCGGGACATCCTGCTGTGTGACCCCATCCCCCTGGAGAGCGAGGTCACCGGACTCAACCAGGACCAGACTCTCTGCACGGGTGAGAGCCAGGGGTGAGACCAGAGTGGGAGAGACACCAGACACCAGAGTGGGAGAGACACCAGACACCAGAGTGGGAGAGACACCAGACACCAGAGTGGGAGAGACACCAGACACCAGAGTGGGAGAGACACCAGACACCAGAGTGGGAGAGACACCAGACACCAGAGTGGGAGAGACACCAGACACCAGAGTGGGAGAGACACCAGAGTGGGAGAGACACCAGAGTGGGAGAGACACCAGAGTGGGAGAGACACCAGAGTGGGAGAGACACCAGAGTGGGAGAGACACCAGAGTGGGAGAGACACCAGAGTGGGAGAGACACCAGAGTGGGAGAGTGGGAGAGTGTGGGAGAGTGTGGGAGAGTGTGGGAGAGTGTGAGAGAGTGTGGGAGAGTGTGAGAGAGTGTGGGAGAGTGTGAGAGAGTGTGGGAGAGTGGGAGAGAGTGGGAGAGAGTGGGAGAGAGTGGGAGAGAGTGGGAGAGAGTGGCAGAGAACTGGGGGGGTGGCCTTACAGGCAGAAATGTGTTGTATTATTTACAAAGCTGAAGTCACAGACCCCAGCGTTAACCGTGTGTGTGTTTCAGGAGAGGTGGTGGCCTATCGCTCAGACGGCCCAGAGCTGCAGTACTGCCTTCAGCCTCCCAGGGGGCAGCAGAGGGTGTGGTTCCCTCGCAGTGCAGTGATCCTGAGTCTGGAGCAGGGGAACCGGCTGCGAGAGAAGCACAGTCTGGGCCCCTATGCCCCGCCCCCTCTGCTGGGACACGCCGCAGACATCAGCCTGGGTTAGATTCATTTATTTTACATTTGCAGTAAAACCAAATTGGAATAATTGTGCAAGAGTCACCGGTGAAAGTAAAAGTACAGAAATAAACGCGGGTAAAAGTACAGAAGTAGAACAAATTAAAAACAGTTGTCAGTGTGAAATGCTCTGTTCAAACTGTTTAAACTAATCCTGTGGAGAGAAGCCAACAATATCTCCTGAATGAGGGAAGAAGCTGGAACATGGCTTTTCCAGAGGACAGAAGAAGAGGTGTCGTTGATTATTCAAAGAACTGGATTTAAAAGTCTGGATTCATAATGAACCTCCAGAAAAGACACACAGCTTTGGTTTCTCTCTCTGGTCTCTGTCTCTGGTCTCTCTCTGGTCTCTCTCTGGTCTCTTTCTGGTCTCTTTCTGGTCTCTCTCTCTGGTCTCTCTCTGTTCTCTCTCTCTGGTCTCTCTCTCTGGTCTCTCTCTGGTCTCTCTCTCTGGTCTCTCTCTCTGGTCTCTCTCTGGTCTCTCTCTGGTCTCTTTCTGGTCTCTCTCTGGTCTCTCTCTCTGGTCTCTCTCTGGTCTCTCTCTCTGGTCTCTCTCTGGTCTCTCTCTCTGGTCTCTCTCTGGTCTCTCTCTCTGGTCTCTCTCTGGTCGCTCGTCTCTCTCTGGTCTCTCTCTCTGGTCTCTCTCTGGTCTCTTTCTGGTCTCTCTCTGGTCTCTCTCTCTGGTCTCTCTCTGGTCTCTCTCTCTGGTCTCTCTCTGGTCTCTCTCTGGTCTCTCTCTCTGGTCTCTCTCTCTGGTCGCTCGTCTCTCTCTGGTTGCTCTGGTCTCTCTCTGGTGTCTCTCTCCGGTGTCTCTCTCTGGTCTCTCTCTGGTCTCTCTCTCTGGTCTCTCTCTGGTCTCTGTCACTAGTCTCTCTCTCTGGTCTCTCTCTCTGGTCGCTCGTCTCTCTCTGGTCTCTCTCTGGTTGCTCTGGTCTCTCTCTGGTGTCTCTCTCCGGTGTCTCTCTCTGGTCTCTCTCTGGTCTCTCTCTGGTCTCTCTCTGGTGTCTCTCTCTGGTCTCTCTCTCTGGTCTCTCTCTGGTCTCTGTCACTAGTCTCTCTCTCTGGTCTCTCTCTCTGGTCTCTCTCTCTGGTCTCTCTCTGGTCTCTGTCACTAGTCTCTCTCTCTGGTCTCTCTCTGGTCTCTCTGGTCGCTCTGGTCTCTCTCTGGTCTCTCTCTCTGGTCTCTCTCTCTGGTCTCTCTCTGGTCTCTCTCTCTGGTCTCTCTCTCTGGTCTCTCTCTGGTCTCTCTCTCTGGTCTCTCTCTCTCAGTGAAAACCGCTCTGTCCTTGTGTTTGTAGATAACCTGGTCGAGGGGAAGAGGAAGCGTCGTGGGGGCCAGTCTGGTCTGAGCACCCCGCCCAGGACCCCCCGCACCCCCCGGCAAAAGCCCAGTCCTGGTCCTGGTCCCAGACAAGGTCTCAGTCCTGGCTCCAAGAGGAAGCTGAGCAGCGACCATCCGCCTGCAGCCAAAAGGGGGCGCCGTGCTGCGGGTAAACTGGACTGAACATTCACCCTCCTCCCCTGGTTCAGCTAAAGACTGACTGTGCTAGCATCGTTAGCAACGTTAGCAACGTTAGCAACGTTAGCATTGTTAGCATCCTGGTTCCCCTCGTGTCTGGAATGGATTTTCTCAAATGGAGTTTAACTTTAAGTGTTTTAACAATTACTACAGAGACACTAGCTCCTGATGACAGCTCTACAGAGACACTAGCTCCTGATGACAGCTCTACAGAGACACTAGCTCCTGATGACAGTTCTACAGAGACACTAGCTCCTGATGACAGTTCTACAGAGACACTAGCTCCTGATGACAGTTCTACAGAGACACTAGCTCCTGATGACAGTTCTACAGAGACACTAGCTCCTGATGACAGTTCTACAGAGACACTAGCTCCTGATGACAGTTCTACAGAGACACTAGCTCCTGATGACAGCTCTACAGAGACACTAGCTCCTGATGACAGCTCTACAGAGACACTAGCTCCTGATGACAGTTCTACAGAGACACTAGCTCCTGATGACAGCTCTACAGAGACACTAGCTCCTGACCACAGCTCTACAGAGACACTAGCTCCTGATGACAGTTCTACAGAGACACTAGCTCCTGATGACAGTTCTACAGAGATACTAGCTCCTGATGACAGTTCTACAGAGACACTAGCTCCTGATGACAGCTCTACAGAGACACTAGCTCCTGATGACAGTTCTACAGAGACACTAGCTCCTGATGACAGTTCTACAGAGACACTAGCTCCTGATGACAGTTCTACAGAGACACTAGCTCCTGATGACAGTTCTACAGAGACACTAGCTCCTGATGACAGCTCTACAGAGACACTAGCTCCTGATGACAGTTCTACAGAGACACTAGCTCCTGATGACAGCTCTACAGAGACACTAGCTCCTGATGACAGTTCTACAGAGACACTAGCTCCTGATGACAGCTCTACAGAGACACTAGCTCCTGACCACAGCTCTACAGAGACACTAGCTCCTGATGACAGTTCTACAGAGACACTAGCTCCTGATGACAGTTCTACAGAGACACTAGCTCCTGATGACAGTTCTACAGAGACACTAGCTCCTGATGACAGTTCTACAGAGACACTAGCTCCTGATGACAGCTCTACAGAGACACTAGCTCCTGATGACAGTTCTACAGAGACACTAGCTCCTGACGACAGCTCTACAGAGACACTAGCTCCTGATGACAGTTCTACAGAGACACTAGCTCCTGACGACAGCTCTACAGAGACACTAGCTCCTGATGACAGTTCTACTATCTCAAATGAATTTTAACTTTTTTTTTAAATCACTTTCAAGTTTTTTAACCATTACATTTTTATCCCGACTGTAGTTTTAGGAGCTACCACAGGGGGCGCTCTGGAGCAGTGTGCTGTTCTCTGATTGGCTCGTTTCAAAAAGTGGGCAGGCTTTACTTGCTGAATACAGTTGTTTTTTTTAAGGAATTTGCTGGAAATATGTTTTTACTGTTGACTTTGCTAACAGCTGCTAATGCTAATAGCTGCTGATGCGCAGCATAAGCTAACTGCAGGCGGGACTCATGAACTCTTTAACTGTTAATTGTGTCATTCTCATTGTTTTGTCTGTTTTTTATTTCTGAAATAACAAGTTTTACATTTTCAACATGACTTTTCTTTTTATGACACAAACTCAGTCATGTCCAACGCTGAGACCTTCATCCAGATGGTAAAACACAAGCACGGTGCTGGTCTCTGGTCTCTCTCTGGTCTCTCTCTATCTCTGGTGTGGGTAGTTCTGGTCACTCTCTCTCTGGTCTCTCTCTGGTCTCTCTCTGGTGTCTCTCTGGTCTTTCTCTGGTCTTTCTCTGGTCACTCTCTCTCTGATGTCTCTCATGGTCTTTATCTAGTCCTGGTCTGGGTAAAACAGAGCAGCTCCAGACTTGTTGCATCACAACATTTTTAAATGTGATCAAACCTGGAGTTGCTCGTCACACTAAACCAGACCCATGAGGACCAGACCGACGTGGACCAGACCCATGAGGACCAGACCGACGTGGACCAGACCCATGAGGACCAGACCGACGTGGACCAGATCCACGAGGACCAGACCGACGTGAACCAGACCCATGAGGACAAGACCGACGTGAACCAGACCCATGAGGACCAGACCGACGTGGACCAGTCTCTCCTCACATGGTTCTGACTGCGCTCCCTCTTCAGTCCAGCAGGTGTCGGTGCTCAACACGTCGGACAGTGACCCAGCCCCCTCTGACCCCGCCCCCTCTGACCCCGCCCCTTCTGACGTGTCATGTGACCTCGCCGCCACACAAGGGCCCCGCCCCAAAAACGCTGCGCTTTTTGAAGGCTTTGTGTTCCTGCTGACGTCGTCATCAGAGAGGGACCGCCTTAGCAACCGCCTTAGCAACCACGAAGGTAACCTGATGACACACTAGTACAGCTCCTGATGACAGCTGTACAGAGACATTAGCTCCTGATGACAGCTCTACAGAGACACTAGCTCCTGATGACAGCTCTACAGAGACACTAGCTCCTGATGACAGCTCTACAGAGACACTAGCTCCTGATGACAGCTGTACAGAGACACTAGCTCCTGATGACAGCTCTACAGAGACATTAGCTCCTGATGACAGCTCTACAGACACTAGTGTAGCTCCTGATGACAGCTCTACAGAGACACTAGCTCCTGATGACAGCTCTACAGAGACACTAGCTCCTGATGACAGCTGTACAGAGACACTAGCTCCTGATGACAGCTCTACAGAGACATTAGCTCCTGATGACAGCTCTACAGACACTAGCTCCTGATGACAGCTGTACAGAGACACTAGCTCCTGATGACAGCTCTACAGAGACATTAGCTCCTGATGACAGCTCTACAGACACTAGCTCCTGATGACAGCTCTACAGACACTAGCTCCTGATGACAGCTCTACAGACACTAGCTCCTGATGACAGCTCTACAGAGACACTAGCTCCTGATGACAGCTCTACAGAGACACTAGCTCCTGATGACAGTACTACAGAGACACTAGCTCTTGATGACAGCTCTACAGAGACACTAGCTCCTGATGACAGCTCCTGATGACTCCTGCTGTGTTGCAGAGCTGGTGCAGACTGGTCCCTATAATAAATCTTACACTGAGTCTCAGCTTCAGAGCGGAGGAGGAATCATCCTGAAGGAGTTCAACCATCAACAGGTGAGTCCCCTGGTCTTACCACACCATTGTACTCATTTAATTTCATTCTAAGGTCTGGATTTGCTCCCTCCGTTAACAGGTGGGAGGAGTTAACTCCTTTTGCAGATTGAAACCATTGGATCTGAGTTTACTGTGACGTATGTAATGAGCCAGAGTGAGTGGCATTTAGCATTTAGCCTAGCTTTAGCATTTAGCCTTGCTCAGCCATCTTTTTTGCCACTAAGGGAGCCCGTGGGGAGTAGAGCCACAACATCTTCTTGATATTTTTCCTACATATACCTCTGGGTCGGGGGGTGGCAGTCAGAGCTGCACCCAGTACACTTAGCACCAGCCCATCACTGATCCTCCTGCAGGTGGTGAGTCCACAGGAGCTGAAATCTTTCAGTGGGGGCTTCAGGCAAAGTGGGGTTAAGTGTCTTGCCCAAGGACACAACGGCAGCAGTCAACAGTGGGAGTCGTAAAGTAGGTTTTATGGTGGGCTCGAACCCACGACCTTCAGGCCCAAAGGCCAATGCTCTACCAACTGAGATACTGTCGCCCCCTAAGACCAGACGTACATGTAGGAGATGATCATGGACCAGAGTTTACACATGGTAAGACCAGACGTACATGTAGGAGATGATCATGGACCAGAGTTTACACATGGTAAGACCAGACGTACATGTAGGAGATGATCATGGACCAGAGTTTACACATGGTAAGACCAGACGTACATGTAGGAAATGACCATGGACCAGAGTTTACACATGGTAAGACCAGACGTACATGTAGGAAATGACCATGGACCAGAGTTTACACATGGTAAGACCAGACGTACATGTAGGAGATGACCATGGACCAGAGTTTACACATGGTAACCCCAGACGTACATGTAGGAGATGACCATGGACCAGAGTTTACACATGGTAAGGCTAGATTAACTTTACCCCAATTTACATACTTTGTTAAAATTCAGTTTACCCAAGTATTTGAAGGTATCAATAGTGGACAACCAATCACAGTCATGGATAAAACCTTAGCACCTGCTCCTCTCTCTCCCCCTTCCTTCTCTCCCTTGCTCCTCCCCCTCTCCCCCTCAGTGCCAGGCAGCGTACCAGCCCCTCCTCATCGCAGACCAGCACTGCTGTAACCGCCCATATCTCCTCTCCCTCGTCAGCGGAGTCCCATGTGTCTCCCACCTGTGGGTGAGGGACTGCTGTCGGGACGACACTCTGCACAACTACAGGAGCTACCTGCTCCCAGCGGGGAGGGGGCCAGGGGGAGGAGTCAAGGAGTGGTGAGTACAGAGGGGGGGGCAGGGGGAGGAGTCAAGGAGTGGTGAGTACAGAGGGGGGGGGGGGGGCAGGGGGAGGAGTCAAGGAGTGGTGAGTACAGAGGGGGGGGGGGCAGGGGGAGGAGTCAAGGAGTAGTGAGTACAGAGGGGAGGGGGCCAGGGGGAGGAGTCAAGGAGTGGTGAGTACAGAGGGGAGGGGGCCAGGGGGAGGAGTCAAGGAGTAGTGAGTACAGAGGGGAGGGGGCCAGGGGGAGGAGTCAAGGAGTGGTGAGTACAGAGGGGAGGGGGCCAGGGGGAGGAGTCAAGGAGTGGTGAGTACAGAGGGGGAGGGGGCCAGGGGGAGGAGTCAAGGAGTGGTGAGTACAGAGGGGGGGGCAGGGGGAGGAGCCAAGGTGTGGCGAGTACAGAGGGGAGGAGTCAGAGTGGTACACATTCAAATTTTCCATGTTCTTTTTCCACTGAAAAGTTCTTTCTCCCTCTCTCCCTCTCCCCTCCAGGCGGCCTCGTTGTAAACCCTTCCAGGAGCTAAAGGTTCTGCTGCTCCTCAAAGACCACATCCAGTTCTGGACTGAACTCATCCAACTGGGAGGAGGCACCGCTGTGGTCCGGACCCCTGAGGAGCTGCCAGGTCAGACCCCCGCAGGACCCCCCCTCCCCCCTCCCCCTCTCATCTGTCTCTTACCCTCAGACCAAATGAATGAATCGGACCCTTCCTCTGTTCCAGACCTGCCTCCGGACGCTGCTGACGTACTGGTCTCTGGTCCAGTCTCTGGTCTAGTCTCTGGTCTGGCCCCCCCCCAGGTCTCGGTGGACTGGATCATAGACTCTGTAGTCTGTGGAGAGCCTCTGGACTTCTCTGGGTTTTCGTCTGCGGTCGACTCGTCCTCATCCTAAAGTCAGACTTAAATGTACAAATGTGAATAAAGTGTTTTAATTCAGACTTGTGGAGTTTATATTATATTATATGAGTTGAGACCAGAGAGAGAGAGAGAGCTAGAGCTAGACCAGATGGAGGGAGTGAAACCAGAGAGAGAACATACTCAGTATTTTTAGGTTTGGTAATTTGGTGAAAGTGAAATGCAATCTTCAGTGACTCAGGATGTCTGCCTGTTCAGACCATGTACCTGTGCTCTACTGGTCTCATCCTGTACCTATGCTCTGTACCTATGCTCTACTGATCTCATCTCGTACCTGTGCTCTTCTGGTCTGGAGAAAAAAACATTAGCAGAAGTGAACATTTCTCCTCTGGTCGAGTATCCAGAGTTTAGTCTGCAAAACTAAAGTACTAGGTGGGGTACCAGGTGGGACACCCTTCAGATAAATGTTCTTTACAGTCTCGTGTTTGAAGCTCTCAGGGACCAACAGGAGAGAAGAGTTTAACCACATTTTAAAACATAAAAGGTAATTTTACTGGACAAAATTAATGCTTTTACTATAATGCTTAAATCAGGTTTTTAATAAAGAGCAAGAAGAAAACATTTGAAAACTTTAATTTTAAACATTTCAATTTGACAACAGACGAATGAGAATTGAACCAGCAACTGAAGGAGGCGGAGCTTGTGACCAGGAGGCGGGGCTCAATCCTCACACACTAAAAAAAGACATCAAAAACTGAAGTGAAAGTGGAAATACTTGTAGTAGTAGTAGTAGTACTCGTACCTCCCCAGAGTGCCCCCGCTGCAGGTATAGTACTTGTTGTAGTCCAGCCGCAGCAGCAGCTGAGCCAGGTCAGAGTTTATCTGATGATTTCGGACCGAAGAGAGAATTTTAAAGAGAAGCGAGGACTGTCTCCTGAAGCCCTGCAGAGCACAGGAAGTAGACTGTAAACTTAGAAACAGTTGTAGCAGTAGCAGTAGCAGTAGCAGCAGTTGTAGTATTAGTACCTTGGCGAGCAGGTCCAGTTGGGCAGAACCTCTTTCGTCCAAACTTGAGTTTTGTGAAACTAACGAACAGAAGGAAAGACACAGGTCCAGGATCTCACACAGACAGTGGAAGACCTGAGGAGAGACCGGGGTCAGAGCTGCTGAGGTCTGGCCGAGGTCTGGGTGAGGTCCTGGTCTAGATGAGGTCTGGGTGAGGTCCGGGTGTAGTCTAGATGAGGTCTGGGTGTGGTCCTGGCCTGGGTGAGGTCTAGGTGAGGTCTAGGTGAGGTCTAGGTGAGGTCTGGGTGAGGTCTAGGTGAGGTCTAGGTGAGGTCTGGGTGAGGTCTAGGTGAGGTCTAGGTGAGGTCTGGGTGTGGTCCTGGCCTGGGTGAGGTCTAGGTGAGGTCTGGGTGAGATCTAGGTGAGGTCTGGGTGTGGTCCTGGCCTGGGTGAGGTCTAGGTGAGGTCTAGGTGAGGTCTAGGTGAGGTCTAGGTGAGGTCTAGGTGAGGTCTGGGTGAGGTCTAGGTGAGGTCTAGGTGAGGTCTAGGTGAGGTCTAGGTGAGGTCTGGGTGAGGTCTGGGTGAGGTCTAGGTGAGGTCTGGGTGAGGTCTAGGTGTGGTCTAGGTGAGGTCTAGGTGAGGTCTGGGTGAGGTCTAGGTGAGGTCTAGGTGAGGTCTAGGTGAGGTCTAGGTGAGGTCTAGGTGAGGTCTGGGTGTGGTCCTGGCCTGGGTGAGGTCTAGGTGAGGTCTAGGTGTGGTCTAGGTGAGGTCTAGGTGAGGTCTAGGTGAGGTCTAGGTGAGGTCTAGGTGAGGTCTAGGTGAGGTCTGGGTGTGGTCCTGGTCTGGGTGAGGTCTGGGTGAGGTCTGGGTGAGGTCTGGGTGAGGTCTAGGTGAGGTCTGGGTGAGGTCTAGGTGTGGTCTAGGTGAGGTCTAGGTGAGGTCTGGGTGAGGTCTGGGTGAGGTCTAGGTGAGGTCTGGGTGAGGTCTAGGTGAGGTCTAGGTGAGGTCTAGGTGAGGTCTAGGTGTGGTCTAGGTGAGGTCTAGGTGAGGTCTGGGTGTGGTCCTGGCCTGGGTGAGGTCTAGGTGAGGTCTAGGTGTGGTCTAGGTGAGGTCTAGGTGAGGTCTAGGTGAGGTCTAGGTGAGGTCTAGGTGAGGTCTAGGTGAGGTCTAGGTGAGGTCTAGGTGAGGTCTAGGTGAGGTCTGGGTGTGGTCCTGGTCTGGGTGAGGTCTGGGTGAGGTCTGGGTGAGGTCTGGGTGAGGTCTAGGTGAGGTCTGGGTGAGGTCTAGGTGTGGTCTAGGTGAGGTCTAGGTGAGGTCTGGGTGAGGTCTGGGTGAGGTCTAGGTGAGGTCTGGGTGAGGTCTAGGTGTGTGGTCTAGGTGAGGTCTAGGTGAGGTCTGGGTGAGGTCTGGGTGTGGTCCTGGCCTGGGTGAGGTCTAGGTGAGGTCTAGGTGTGGTCTAGGTGAGGTCTAGGTGAGGTCTAGGTGAGGTCTAGGTGAGGTCTAGGTGAGGTCTAGGTGAGGTCTAGGTGAGGTCTAGGTGAGGTCTAGGTGAGGTCTGGGTGAGGTCTAGGTGAGGTCTAGGTGAGGTCTAGGTGAGGTCTGGGTGAGGTCTAGGTGAGGTCTAGGTGAGGTCTAGGTGAGGTCTAGGTGAGGTCTGGGTGAGGTCTGGGTGAGGTCTAGGTGAGGTCTAGGTGAGGTCTAGGTGAGGTCTAGGTGAGGTCTAGGTGAGGTCTGGGTGAGGTCTGGGTGAGGTCTGGGTGAGGTCTAGGTGAGGTCTAGGTGAGGTCTAGGTGAGGTCTAGGTGAGGTCTGGGTGTGGTCCTGGCCTGGGTGAGGTCTAGGTGAGGTCTGGGTGTGGTCCTGGCCTGGGTGAGGTCTAGGTGAGGTCTGGGTGTGGTCCTGGCCTGGTACCGGCTTGAGCAGGATGAAGGACTGGGCCAGGAGGTTGCTGATGAAGTGGTCATGTGACAACCTGATGCTCTCAAAGTCACGAGTCGAGTTTATGTGAAGAAGGAGCTGCGAGAACTGGGCCTCCAGGACGTCCACCTGCGGAGGACACAGGAAGTATTAGTACTGTAGAAATACTGTAGTAGTAGCAGTAGTAGTAGCAGTAGCAGCAGTAGCAGTAGTAGTAGCAGTAGCAGCAGTAGTAGCAGCAGTTGTAGCCGTAGTAGCAGTAGTAGCAGCAGTAGTAGCAGCAGCAGTAGCAGTAGCAGTAGCAGTAGCAGCAGCAGTAGTAGCAGTAGCAGTAGTAGTTGCAGTAGTAGTAGTAGCTGCAGTTGAAGCAGTAGTTGTAGCCGTAGTAGCAGTAGTAGCAGTAGTAGCAGCAGTAGTAGCAGCAGCAGTAGTAGCAGCAGTAGCAGTAGTAGCAGCAGTAGTAGCAGTAGCAGTAGTAGTTGCAGTAGTCGTAGTAGCAGCAGTTGTAGCAGCAGCAGTAGTAGCAGCAGTAGCAGTAGCAGTAGCAGTAGCAGCAGCAGTAGTAGCAGTAGCAGTAGTAGTTGCAGTAGTAGTAGTAGCAGCAGTTGTAGCAGTAGTTGTAGCCGTAGTAGCAGTAGTAGCAGTAGTAGCAGCAGTAGTAGCAGCAGCAGTAGTAGCAGCAGTAGCAGTAGTAGCAGCAGTAGTAGCAGTAGCAGTACCTGTAGATAGTACTGCAGGTTGTCGATGAGAAAGGCCATGTGATTCCGTAGTCTCCACTGGGGGGCGTCGCTCTGACTGGACTTCAGGTGTTTCCTCTGCATCTATAACAAAACATGAGAGTATCCGAGTATTGCGAGTATCAGAGTACTGCGAGTTTCAGAGTACTTTACCTGTAGCGCCCACAGGTGCTGCAGCTGTGACTGGACTCTCCTCAAGTTCAGTAAATATCGGAAAACAACATTATACCTGAGAAAGAAACAAACTGTTATATATACTGTGATACAGACTGATACAGACTGATACAGACCAATACAGACTGATACAGACTGATACAGACTGATACAGACTGATACAGACTGATACAGACTGATACAGACTGTGATATAGACTGTGATATAGACTGATACAGACTGATACAGACCAATACAGACCAATACAGACTGATACAGACTGATACAGACTGATACAGACTGATACAGACCAATACAGACTGATACAGACTGATACAGACTGATACAGACTGATACAGACTGTGATACAGACTGATACAGACTGATATAGACTGATACAGACTGATACAGACTGTGATACAGACTGTGATACAGACCGATACAGACTGATACAGACTGTGATACAGACTGATACAGACTGTGATACAGACCGATACAGACTGATACAGACTGATACAGACTGATACAGACTGTGATACAGACTGTGATACAGACTGATACAGACCGATACAGACTGATACAGACTGATACAGACTGTGATACAGACCAATACAGACTGATACAGGCCGATACAGACTGATACAGGCCGATACAGACTGATACAGACTGTGATACAGACTGATACAGACTGATACAGACTGATACAGACTGATACAGACTGATACAGACTGTGATACAGACTGTGATACAGACTGTGATACAGACTGATACAGACCGATACAGACTGATACAGGCCGATACAGACTGATACAGACTGATACAGACTGATACAGACTGATACAGACTGTGATACAGACCAATACAGACTGATACAGGCCGATACAGACTGTGATACAGACTGATACAGACTGATACAGACTGATACAGACTGTGATACAGACTGATACAGACTGATACAGACTGTGATACAGACTGATACAGACCGATACAGACTGATACAGACTGTGATACAGACTGATACAGACTGTGATACAGACCAATACAGACCGATACAGACTGATATAGACTGATACAGACTGATACAGACTGTGATACAGACTGATACAGACCGATACAGACTGATACAGACTGATACAGACCGATACAGACTGATACAGACTGATACAGACTGTGATACAGACTGTGATACAGACTGTGATATAGACTGTGATACAGACTGATACAGACCGATACAGACTGATACAGGCCGATACAGACTGATACAGACTGATACAGACTGATACAGACTGATACAGACTGATACAGACTGATACAGACTGTGATACAGACTGATACAGACTGATACAGACTGATACAGACTGTGATACAGACTGATACAGACCGATACAGACTGATACAGACTGTGATACAGACTGATACAGACTGATACAGACTGATACAGACTGATACAGACTGTGATACAGACCAATACAGACCAATACAGACCGATACAGACTGATACAGACTGTGATACAGACCAATACAGACCGATACAGACTGATATAGACTGATACAGACCGATACAGACCGATACAGACTGTGATACAGACCGATACAGACTGATACAGACCGATACAGACCGATACAGACCGATACAGACCGATATAGACTGATACAGACTGTGATACAGACTGATACAGACTGATACAGACTGATACAGACTGATACAGACTGATACAGACTGTGATATAGACTGATACAGACTGATACAGACTGATACAGACTGATACAGACTGATACAGACTGATACAGACCAATACAGACTGATACAGACCAATACAGACTGATACAGACCAATACAGACTGATACAGACCAATACAGACTGATACAGACCAATACAGACTGATACAGACCGATATAGACTGTGATACAGACTGATACAGACTGATACAGACTGTGATACAGACCGATACAGACTGATACAGACCGATATAGACTGATACAGACTGTGATACAGACCAATACAGACTGATACAGACCAATACAGACTGATACAGACCGATATAGACTGTGATACAGACCGATACAGACTGATACAGACTGTGATAAAGACTGATACAGACTGTGATACAGACTGTGATATAGACTGTGATAAAGACTGATACAGACTGTGATACAGACTGTGATATAGACTGTGATAAAGACTGATACAGACTGTGATAAAGACTGATACAGACTGTGATACAGACTGTGATATAGACTGTGATATAGACTGATACAGACTGTGATATAGACTGATATAGACTGTGATAAAGACTGATACAGACTGTGATACAGACTGTGATATAGACTGTGATATAGACTGATACAGACTGTGATATAGACTGATATAGTCTGTGATATAGACTGATATAGTCTGTGATATAGACTGATATAGATTGATATAGACTGATATAGTCTGTGATATAGACTGATATAGTCTGTGATATAGACTGATATAGATTGATATAGACTGTCTCACTTCTCCAGCACTGCGGGGGTGAACAGGATGTGCAGAGGCCACTGGACTCGGTACGACAAACCCAGAGCGGCCCACCCACTCTGGGGAGGGTCCCGGGGGGAGGAGTCCTGGGGCTGCACCTCTCTGCCCGAGTCTGAGGGGAAAAAGGGCTAAGGTCAGAGGTCAGCGGAGTCGGAGGGAGTCAGGGTCAGGAGTCACAGTCAGGGTCAGGGGTCACAGTCAGGGTCAGTCAGGGGTCACAGTCAGGGTCAGTCAGGGGTCACAGACCTTTGCCCTGGTCCACGGTCAGGTGCAGCAGTGGGAGGAGGTTGTCGTCGTCGAGTAGGACTTTGTGAGCCGCCTGTTGAAACGCCACGTTTACATCTGAGAGAGAAGAGATCAGCACATTATAACAAGACCAAAGAGAGAGAGACCAGAGAAATACAAGGGAGAGAGACCAGAGAGAGACCAGAGAGAGACCAGGGAGACCAGAGAGAGAGACCAGGGAGACCAGAGAGAGACCAGAGAGAGACCAGAGAGAGAGACCAGAGAGATCAGAAAGAAAGACCAGAGAGAGACCAGAGAGAGAAAGAGAGATCAGAGAGAGAGAGACCAGAGAGACCAGAGAGAGAGACCAGGGAGAGAGACCAGGGAGAGACCAGAGCGAGAGACCAGAGAGATAGACCTGAGAGAGACCAGAGAGAGCAAAGAGAGAGAGAGACCAGATAGAAATACCAGAGAGAGAGAGCAAAGAGAGAGAGTCCAGAGAGAGACCATTACATTGAAAAAAGTTTGACCAAAGAGAGACCAGAGAGAGCGAGAGGCCAGAGAAAGAGACTAGAGCGAGAGAGACCAGAGAGAGACCAGAACGAGAGAGACATGTCTAAGGAGGTGTCTGGGGAGGAGTGTGAGGAGTAGTGGGACCAGTAGGAGGGAGAGGGGTTTATAGAATGTGTTTTAATCTGTTTATCTGTGTGATGGGGTGGAATCAGTGGGCGGGGTCAGAAGAGTCAGTGGGCGGAGTCTGACCATGCTCAGTGACAGCGGTGGGCGGAGTCTTCAACATGTGCTGAGCCAGATCGATGAAGACCTGGTACAGTTCCCCACGACCGAGGAGGAAGAAGTCCTTAATGATCTGAGAGAGGAGAGGGTGTTTAGCATGTGCACAACGCTCTGCTCTCTGCCCCTTCACGTGACATCACCGGAAACATGCTCACAGGTAACGAGCCCTGTGTACCTTGAGCTGCTCGATCAGGTTGGCCTCCTCCACCATCAGGGTCCAGAGGTGCTGAGGACGCAGAAGAAGAAGATTATTCACCAAGGGGTTCCTCAAGGGTCAGCTCTTGGTCCGGTGCAGTTCAGTCAAAACAGATAGGAAGAAGGAACTGGGTGGTGTCTGGGAGAGAGACCAGAGAGAGACCGGAGAGAGACCAGAGAGAGACCAGAGAGAGACCAGAGAGAGACCAGAGGGAGGACAGAGAGAGACCAGAGGGAGACCAGAGAGAGACCAGAGGGAGACCAGAGAGAGACCAGAGAGAGAGAGGCCAGAGAGACAGAGACAGAGAGAGAGACCAGAGAGAGAACAGAGAGAGACCAGAGGGACAGAGGGAGACCAGCGGGAGAGAGGCCAGAGAGAGACCAGAGAGAGACCAGAGGGAGGACAGAGAGAGACCAGAGAGAGACCAGAGGGAGACCAGAGAGAGACCAGAGAGAGAGAGGCCAGAGAGACAGAGACAGAGAGAGAGACCAGAGAGAGAACAGAGAGAGACCAGAGGGACAGAGGGAGACCAGAGGGAGAGAGGCCAGAGAGAGACCAGAGAGAGACCAGAGGGAGGACAGAGAGAGACCAGAGAGAGACCAGAGGGAGGACAGAGAGACCAGAGAGAGACCAGAGGGAGACCAGAGAGAGACCAGAGAGAGAGAGGCCAGAGAGAGAGAGGCCAGAGAGACAGAGACAGAGAGAGAGACCAGAGAGAAGACAGAGCGAGACCAGAGAGAGAGAGACCAGAGAGAGAGAGGCCAGAGAGAGAGAGGCCGAGAGACAGAGAGAGACCAGAGAGAAGACAGAGCGAGACCAGAGGGAGACCAGAGAGAGACCAGAGGAAGAGAGGCCAGAGAGAGGCCAGAGAGAGAGACCAGAGAGAGAGACCAGAGAGAGACCAGAGAGAGAGAGGCCAGAGAGAGAGACCAGAGAGAGAGAAACCAGAGAGAGAGAGACCAGAGAGAGGCCAGAGAGACAGAGACAGAGAGAGAGACCAGAGAGAAGACAGAGCGAGACCAGAGAGAGAGACCAGAGAGAGGCCAGAGAAAGACATGTCTGAGGAGGTGTCTGGGGAGGGGGAGGTACCTCAGCCACGGTGCTCCTGATGCGGTCCATCAGATCATCGAAGTCCACGAGGCTGAAGAGTGGCTCCTGTTTGAGTCGGTGCAGCTCTGAAGCAAACACGTCCTCCTGGTGTTTGAGGATTGAATCTGGAGCACAGGTACAGAAGAGACTATACTCACAGGTACAGAAGAGATTATACTCACAGGTACAGTACCTGCACTTCCTACCTGCTCCTCTGTACCTGTTCTTTGTACCTGTGTTCCGCTGTACCTGTGCTCCTATGTACATGTGCTTCGTACCTTTATTTCATTTAACATGTTGCACATTTCTTTCTTTTGCACAATCTTGAGTGATTCTATCCATGCCAGATGTGACGTGTACATTTTTTCTCCATCAGAGATCAATAAACTCTATCTTATCTTATCTTCTTACCTTTGCCTCTGTCCCTGTGCTCCTCTGTCCCTGTGCTCCTCTGTATCTGTGCTCCTCTGTCCCTGTGCTCCTCTGTCCCTGTGCTCCTCTGTCCCTGTGCTCCTCTGTACCTGTGCTCCCCTGTCCCCCTCTGTCACTGTGCTCCTCTGTCCCTGTGCTCCTCTGTACCTGTGCTCCCCTGTCCCCCTCTGTCCCTGTGCTCCTCTGTCCCTGTGCTCCTCTGTACCTGTGCTCCCCTGTACCTGTGCTCCCTTGTACCTGTGCTCCTCTGTCCCTGTTCTCCTCTGTCCCTGTGCTCCTCTGTACCTGTGCTCCCCTGTACCTGTGCTCCCCTGTACCTGTGCTCCTCTGTACCTGTGCTCCCTGTCCCTGTGCTCCTCTGTACCTGTGCTCCTCTGTACCTGTGCTCCCCTGTACCTGTGCTCCCCTGTACCTGTGCTCCCCTGCCCCCCTCTGTCCCTGTGCTCCTCTGTCCCTGTGCTCCTCTGTACCTGTGCTCCTCTGTACCTGTGCTCCTCTGTACCTGTGCTCCTCTGTACCTGTGCTCCTCTGTCCCTGTGCTCCCCTGTACCTGTGCTCCCCTGTACCTGTGCTCCCCTGTCCCTGTGCTCCTCTGTACCTGTGCTCCACTGTCCCTGTGCTCCCCTGTACCTGTGCTCCCCTGTACCTGTGCTCCTCTGTACCCGTGCTCCCCTGTACCTGTGCTCCCGTCCTGTCCCTGTGCTCCTCTGTCCCTGTGCTCCTCTGTCCCTGTGCTCCTCTGTCCCTGTGCTCCCTTGTACCTGTGCTCCTCTGTACCTGTGCTCCTCTGTACCTGTGCTCCTCTGTACCTGTGCTCCTCTGTACCTGTGCTCCTCTGTACCTGTGCTCCTCTGTACCTGTGCTCCTCTGTACCTGTGCTCCTCTGTCCCTGTGCTCCTCTGTCCCTGTGCTCCTCTGTCCCTGTGCTCCTCTGTACCTGTGCTCCTCTGTACCTGTGCTCCTCTGTCCCTGTGCTCCTCTGTCCCTGTGCTCCTCTGTACCTGTGCTCCTCTGTACCTGTGCTCCTCTGTCCCTGTGCTCCTCTGTCCCTGTGCTCCTCTGTACCTGTGCTCCTCTGTACCTGTGCTCCTCTGTACCTGTGCTCCTCTGTACCCGTGCTCCCCTGTACCTGTGCTCCCCTGTCCCTGTGCTCCTCTGTACCTGTGCTCCTCTGTACCTGTGCTCCTCTGTCCCTGTGCTCCTCTGTACCTGTGCTCCTCTGTACCTGTGCTCCTCTGTCCCTGTGCTCCTCTGTCCCTGTGCTCCTCTGTCCCTGTGCTCCTCTGTACCTGTGCTCCTCTGTCCCTGTGCTTCTCTGTACCTGTGCTTCTCTGTACCTGTGCTTCTCTGTACCTGTGCTTCTCTGTACCTGTGCTCCTCTGTACCTGTGCTCCTCTGTCCCTGTGCTCCTCTGTACCTGTGCTCCTCTGTACCTGTGCTCCTCTGTACCCGTGCTCCCCTGTCCCCCTCTGTCCCCCTCTGTCCCTGTGCTCCTCTGTCCCTGTGCTCCTCTGTCCCTGTGCTCCTCTGTACCTGTGCTCCTCTGTCCCTGTGCTCCTCTGTACCTGTGCTCCTCTGTACCTGTGCTCCTCTGTACCCGTGCTCCTCTGTACCCCTCTGTCCCTGTGCTCCTCTGTACCTGTGCTCCTCTGTACCTGTGCTCCTCTGTCCCTGTGCTCCTCTGTCCCTGTGCTCCTCTGTCCCTGTGCTCCTCTGTCCCTGTGCTCCTCTGTCCCTGTGCTCCTCTGTCCCTGTGCTCCTCTGTCCCTGTGCTCCTCTGTACCTGTGCTTCTCTGTACCTGTGCTTCTCTGTACCTGTGCTCCTCTGTCCCTGTGCTCCTCTGTCCCTGTGCTCCTCTGTCCCTGTGCTCCTCTGTACCTGTGCTTCTCTGTACCTGTGCTCCTCTGTACCTGTGCTTCTCTGTACCTGTGCTCCTCTGTACCTGTGCTCCTCTGTACCTGTGCTCCTCTGTCCTTCTCTGTACCTGTGCTTCTCTGTACCTGTGCTCCTCTGTACCTGTGCTTCTCTGTACCTGTGCTCCTCTGTCCCTGTGCTCCTCTGTCCCTGTGCTCCTCTGTCCCTGTGCTCCTCTGTCCCTGTGCTCCTCTGTCCCTGTGCTCCTCTGTACCTGTGCTCCTCTGTACCTGTGCTTCTCTGTACCTGTGCTCCTCTGTACCTGTGCTCCTCTGTACCTGTGCTCCTCTGTCCTTCTCTGTACCTGTGCTTCTCTGTACCTGTGCTCCTCTGTACCTGTGCTTCTCTGTACCTGTGCTTCTCTGTACCTGTGCTCCTCTGTACCTGCGCGCGTGGCTCCGTGCCGGTGGGTCTCGAACATCTGCACGCTCTCTCCCACGAACAGGATCTTCTCAGCGACTCTCACAGGAATGTACGACGGCAACATCTCTGTTCGCAACGAGAACTGCTGAAGGGACGGAGCCAACATGTTCTCCTCCTCCATCAGGCGCTGAGGGCAGAGGAGGAGGCAGGAGGAGGCATCAGGAGGAGGCGACAAGAGGAGTCAGGAGGAGGCAGGAGAGACAAGAGGAGAGACAGCAGGAGAGGAAGGAGCAGGAGGCATCAGGAGACAGCAGGAGGTGTCAGGAGGCAGCATGAGACAGCAGGAGGAGAGACAGCAGGAGGAGAGACAGCAGAAGAAGAGACAGCAGGAGGAGAGACAGCAGGAGGAGAGACAGCAGAAGAAGAGACAGCAGGAGGAGAGACAGCAGGAGGAGAGACAGCAGGAGGAGAGACAGCAGGAGGAGAGACAGCAGGAGGAGAGACAGCAGGAGGAGAGACAGCAGGAGGAGAGAAAGCAGGAGGAGAGACAGCAGGAGGAGAGACAGCAGGAGGAGAGACAGCAGAAGAGACAGCAGGAGGAGAGACAGCAGGAGGAGAGACAGCAGAAGAAGAGACAGCAGGAGGAGAGACAGCAGGAGGAGAGACAGCAGGAGGAGAGAAAGCAGGAGGAGAGACAGCAGAAGAAGAGACAGCAGGAGGAGAGACAGCAGGAGGAGAGACAGCAGGAGGAGAGACAGCAGGAGGAGAGACAGCAGGAGGAGAGACAGCAGAAGAAGAGACAGCAGGAGGAGAGACAGCAGGAGGAGAGACAGCAGGAGGAGAGAAAGCAGGAGGAGAGACAGCAGAAGAAGAGACAGCAGGAGAGAGACAGAGAGAAGCAGGAGGAGAGAACAGCAGGAGGAGAGACAGCAGGAGGAGAGACAGCAGGAGGAGAGACAGCAGAAGAAGAGACAGCAGGAGGAGAGACAGCAGGAGGAGAGACAGCAGGAGGAGAGACAGCAGGAGGAGAGAAAGCAGGAGGAGAGACAGCAGGAGGAGAGACAGCAGGAGGAGAGACAGCAGGATGAGAGAAAGCAGGAGGAGAGACAGCAGGAGGAGAGACAGCAGGATGAGAGACAGCAGGAGGAGAGACAGCAGGAGGAGAGACAGCAGAAGAAGAGACAGCAGGAGGAGAGACAGCAGGAGGAGAGAAAGCAGGAGACATCTGGGGCTAAGGCAACTCGTGCCATACTCACGACAGGTTAAACAAATCCGGGTCTCACCAGGTCTGGGTCTGGTCTTGGCCTGGGTCTGGTCTGGGTCTTGGTCTTACCAGGTCTTGCAGCTCCCGCAGCTGTTTCCCGCTGAGCCCGCCCAGACACAGGTCTTCGTCCTCTTCGTCCTGATTGGTCGAGCTCCCGGCGCCGCTCGGTCCTTGGCGAATGAAGAACTCCTCGTGTTGGTCCAAAAGGAGACCGTGAAGCATCCAGGCCGCTAGCTGCTTATACAGGACGCCATGGCAGACGCACAATATCCTGACACACACACACACACACAGCTGCTTATACAGGACGCCATGGCAGACGCACAATATCCTGACACACACACACACGCATACTTCTCCAGGGCGGTGCGGACCGGGGGCAGACCTCCACAGCTGTGTTTGTGAACCGTCTCCAGGATCTGACACCCGTGGATCTGAAACAAGAGAAACATGTTCAGCTGGTCCAGTCCAGAGGCTTAGGCCCACATGGTCCTGAGTGATGGCCCTGAGTGCATATAAGACCTAAAAACATGATGTGCCTCAGTCCTGGGTCTGCAGCCTCAGTCCTGGGTCTACAGCCTCAGTCCTGGGTCTACAGCCTCAGTCCTGGGTCTACAGCCTCAGTCCTGGGTCTACAGCCTCAGTCCTGGGTCTACAGCCTCAGTCCTGGGTCTACAGCCTCAGTCCTGGGTCTACAGCCTCAGTCCTGGGTCTACAGCCTCAGTCCTGGGTCTACAGCCTCAGTCCTGGTCAATGTGGGCCTTCCTGAGGTTTCTGACTTTTTCCCACTCGGTTTTAACCTGCAGCCACATGGCCCTTTCTGGAACCGGTTTGAGACCCCTGCGTTAGAGCCTCAGGACACTCCACATTCAACATTTATGGACCTTGGTCTCTGTCCCTTTCTTGTGTTTGAACTCTTTGATTCTAATCTGCGTTGGAGAATTCAAAGGTTTTGTAAAGTCTTCTGAGAAAACTACTGTTGTACTTAAAGTAAGTAAGTAATGTTTACTATTGTACATGTTTTTAGTGGTAGGGGAAACCGGAGCACCTGGAGGAAACCTAGAAACCTTGCTGAGACGCGAGAGTGCTAACCAATTTAGGGCGATATAAGAATACATTCAGACCCTTGTACCTTCTGAGATCGAATGGCCTCCACTACCACCATCACAGACGGGAACAGGAGCTGAAACTGAGACCAGACACCAAGTCAGAGAGAGACCAGAGAGACCAGAGAGAGACCAGAGAGAGACCAGAGAGAGACCAGAGAGAGACCAGAGAGGGACCAGAGAGACCAGAGAGAGACCAGAGAGGGACCAGAGAGAGACCAGAGAGAGGCCAGAGAGGGACCAGAGAGAGACCAGAGAGAGACCAGAGAGGGACCAGAGAGAGACCAGAGAGAGACCAGAGAGAGACCAGAGAGAGACCAGAGAGAGACCAGAGAGAGACCAGAGAGAGACCAGAAAGGGACCAGAGAGAGACCAGAGAGGGACCAGAGAGGGACCAGAGAGGGACCAGAGAGAGACCAGAGAGGGACCAGAGAGAGACCAGAGAGAGACCAGAGAGAGACCAGAGAGAGACCAGAGAGGGACCAGAGAGAGACCAGAAAGGGACCAGAGAGAGACCAGAGAGGGACCAGAGAGAGACCAGAGAGGGACCAGAGAGAGACCAGAGAGGGACCAGAGAGGGACCAGAGAGGGACCAGAGAGGGACCAGAGAGAGACCAGAGAGGGACCAGAGAGAGACCAGAGAGAGACCAGAGAGGGACCAGAGAGGGACCAGAGGGAGAGACCAAAGAGAGAGACCAGAGAGACAGACCAGGGAGAGACCAACCAGGGAGAGACCAAAGATAAAGACCAAAGAGAGAGAACAGAGAGAGACCAGAGAGAGACCAGTGAGAGATCAGAAAGAACAGAGAGAGAGACCAGAGAGAACAGAGAGAGAGACCTCAGTCTTCCCTATCCCCAGACACCTCCCTCTCTCTGACCTGGTCAAGTTTGTAGTTGATGTGGGAGATCGTGAGATGAGGATCTGCCAGGAACTGAAACAGAGGAAATGACATCAGAGTTTATCAGTTTGAAAACAGAGTTGTTAGACAGAAGGGTTGGGGACACACCTCCTGCTCCAGCTCCAGCAGTGCCTGTCTGTACGGCTGCAGCATCGAGTCCAGGCCAGTGCAGAAGGCCCTCAGGTACACACCATGGAGGCCCCCGCTGGTGTGAGGGCCCCCAGAACTTTGAGGGCCGCCACTCGGGGCTTGGTCCTAAAACACAAAACATCAGAAGTTTCTCGCGCTCGCTCTGGTCTCTCTCGCACTCTCCCTGGTCTCTCTCCCTGGTCTCTCTCCCTGGTCTCTCTCCCTGGTCTCTCTCCCTGGTCTCTCTCCCTGGTCTCTCTTCCTGGTCTCTCTTCCTGGTCTCTCTCCCTGGTCTCTCTCCCTGGTCTCTCTCCCTGGTCTCTCTTCCTGGTCTCTCTCCCTGGTCTCTCTCCCTGGTCTCTCTCCCTGGTCTCTCTTCCTGGTCTCTCTCCCTGGTCTCTCTCCCTGGTCTCTCTCCCTGGTCTCTCTTCCTGGTCTCTCTCCCTGGTCTCTCTCCCTGGTCTCTCTCCCTGGTCTCTCTCCCTGGTCTCTCTTCCTGGTCTCTCTTCCTGGTCTCTCTCCCTGGTCTCTCTCCCTGGTCTCTCTTCCTGGTCTCTCTTCCTGGTCTCTCTCCCTGGTCTCTCTCCCTGGTCTCTCTCCCTGGTCTCTCTCCTGGTCTCTCTCCCTGGTCTCTCTCCCTGGTCTCTCTTCCTGGTCTCTCTCCCTGGTCTCTCTCCCTGGTCTCTCTCCCTGGTCTCTCCGTCTCTCCCTGGTCTCTCTCCCTGGTCTCTCTCCCTGGTCTCTCTCCCTGGTCTCTCTCCCTGGTCTCTCTCCTGGTCTCTCTTCCTGGTCTCTCTCTCCTGGTCTCTCTCCCTGGTCTCTCTCCCTGGTCTCTCTCCCTGGTCTCTCTCTCCCTGGTCTGGTCTCTCTCCTGGTCTCTCTCCCTGGTCTCTCTCCCTGGTCTCTCTCCCTGGTCTCTCTTCCTGGTCTCTCTCCCTGGGTCTCTCTCCCTGGTCTCTCTCTCCCTGGTCTCTCTCCCTGGTCTCTCTCCCTGGTCTCTCTTCCTGGTCTCTCTCCCTGGTCTCTCTCCCTGGTCTCTCTCCCTGGTCTCTCTCCCCCTGGTCTCTTTCCCTGGTCTCTCTCCTTGGTCTCTCTCCCTGGTCTCTCTCCCTGGTCTCTCTCCCTGGTCTCTCTCCCTGGTCTCTCTCCCTGGTCTCTCTCCCTGGTCTCTCTTCCTGGTCTCTCTTCCTGGTCTCTCTCCCTGGTCTCTCTCCCTGGTCTCTCTCCCTGGTCTCTCTCCCTGGTCTCTCTTCCTGGTCTCTCTTCCTGGTCTCTCTCGCTCTGTGACTCACCTGAATGTGGACATGTCCTGTGTGCTGTTGGATGAACTCTGTGAAGTGGATATAATCAGACCCCAGTTTACACTGTCGGCTCAGGACACTGGTCTCACTGGGATGAAGGAAGGGCAGATCCTGGGACACCTGGGGACAAGGGGACATGTCAGACAGAAGAGGACATGTCAGACAGAAGAGGACATGTCAGACAGAAGAGGACATGTCAGACAGAAGAGGACATGTCAGACACAAGAGGACATGTCAGACACAAGAGGACATGTCAGACACAAGAGGACATGTCAGACACAAGAGGACATGTCAGACACAAGAGGACATGTCAGACAGAAGAGGACATGTCAGACACAAGAGGACATGTCAGACAGAAGAGGACATGTCAGACACAAGAGGACATGTCAGACACAAGAGGACATGTCAGACACAAGAGGACATGTCAGACAGAAGAGGACATGTCAGACACAAGAGGACATGTCAGACACAAGAGGACATGTCAGACAGAAGAGGACATGTCAGACAGAAGAGGACATGTCAGACAGAAGAGGACATGTCAGACAGAAGAGGACATGTCAGACAGAAGAGGACATGTCAGACACAAGAGGACATGTCAGACAGAAGAGGACATGTCAGACACAAGAGGACATGTCAGACAGAAGAGGACATGTCAGACAGAAGAGGACATGTCAGACAGAAGAGGACGTGTCAGACACAAGAGGACATGTCAGACACAAGAGGACATGTCAGACACAAGAGGACATGTCAGACAGAAGAGGACATGTCAGACAGAAGAGGACATGTCAGACAGAAGAGGACATGTCAGACAGAAGAGGACATGTCAGACAGAAGAGGACATGTCAGACAGAAGAGGACATGTGAGACAGAAGAGGACATGTCAGACAGAAGAGGACATGTGAGACAGAAGAGGACATGTCAGACACAAGAGGACATGTCAGACAGAAGAGGACATGTCAGACACAAGAGGACATGTCAGACAGAAGAGGACATGTCAGACACAAGAGGACATGTCAGACAGAAGAGGACATGTCAGACACAAGAGGACATGTCAGACACAAGAGGACATGTCAGACAGAAGAGGACATGTCAGACACAAGAGGACATGTCAGACACAAGAGGACATGTCAGACACAAGAGGACATGTCAGACACAAGAGGACATGTCAGACAGAAGAGGACATGTCAGACACAAGAGGACATGTCAGACAGAAGAGGACATGTCAGACAGAAGAGGACATGTCAGACACAAGAGGACATGTCAGACAGAAGAGGACATGTCAGACACAAGAGGACATGTCAGACACAAGAAGACATGTCAGACAGAAGAGGACATGTCAGACACAAGAGGACATGTCAGACACAAGAGGACATGTCAGACACAAGAGGACATGTCAGACAGAAGAGGACATGTCAGACAGAAGAGGACATGTCAGACAGAAGAGGACATGTCAGACACAAGAGGACATGTCAGACACAAGAGGACATGTCAGACAGAAGAGGACATGTCAGACACAAGAGGACATGTCAGACAGAAGAGGACATGTCAGACACAAGAGGACATGTCAGACAGAAGAGGACATGTCAGACACAAGAGGACATGTCAGACACAAGAGGACATGTCAGACAGAAGAGGACATGTCAGACAGAAGAGGACATGTCAGACAGAAGAGGACGTGTCAGACACAAGAGGACATGTCAGACAGAAGAGGACATGTCAGACACAAGAGGACATGTCAGACAGAAGAGGACATGTCAGACACAAGAGGACATGTCAGACACAAGAGGACATGTCAGACAGAAGAGGACATGTCAGACACAAGAGGACATGTCAGACAGAAGAGGACATGTCAGACACAAGAGGACATGTCAGACACAAGAGGACATGTCAGACAGAAGAGGACATGTGAGACAGAAGAGGACATGTCAGACACAAGAGGACATGTCAGACAGAAGAGGACATGTCAGACAGAAGAGGACATGTCAGACAGAAGAGGACATGTCAGACACAAGAGGACATGTCAGACACAAGAGGACATGTCAGACAGAAGAGGACATGTCAGACAGAAGAGGACATGTCAGACAGAAGAGGACATGTCAGACAGAAGAGGACATGTCAGACAGAAGAGGACATGTCAGACACAAGAGGACATGTCAGACAGAAGAGGACATGTCAGACACAAGAGGACATGTCAGACAGAAGAGGACATGTCAGACAGAAGAGGACATGTCAGACACAAGAAGACATGTCAGACAGAAGAGGACATGTCAGACACAAGAGGACATGTCAGACAGAAGAGGACATGTCAGACAGAAGAGGACATGTCAGACAGAAGAGGACATGTCAGACAGAAGAGGACATGTCAGACACAAGAAGACATGTCAGACAGAAGAGGACATGTCAGACACAAGAAGACATGTCAGACAGAAGAGGACATGTCAGACACAAGAGGACATGTCAGACAGAAGAGGACATGTCAGACAGAAGAGGACATGTCAGACAGAAGAGGACATGTCAGACAGAAGAGGACATGTCAGACAGAAGAGGACATGTCAGACAGAAGAGGACATGTCAGACACAAGAGGACATGTCAGACAGAAGAGGACATGTCAGACAGAAGAGGACATGTCAGACAGAAGAGGACATGTCAGACAGAAGAGGACATGTCAGACAGAAGAGGACATGTCAGACAGAAGAGGACATGTCAGACACAAGAGGACATGTCAGACAGAAGAGGACATGTCAGACAACAAGAGGACATGTCAGACACAAGAGGACATGTCAGACACAAGAGGACATGTCAGACAGAAGAGGACATGTCAGACACAAGAGGACATGTCAGACACAAGAGGACATGTCAGACAGAAGAGGACATGTCAGACACAAGAGGACATGTCAGACACAAGAGGACATGTCAGACACAAGAGGACATGTCAGACAGAAGAGGACATGTCAGACACAAGAGGACATGTCAGACAGAAGAGGACATGTCAGACAGAAGAGGACATGTCAGACACAAGAGGACATGTCAGACAGAAGAGGACATGTCAGACACAAGAGGACATGTCAGACAGAAGAGGACATGTCAGACACAAGAGGACATGTCAGACAGAAGAGGACATGTCAGACACAAGAGGACATGTCAGACAGAAGAGGACATGTCAGACACAAGAGGACATGTCAGACACAAGAGGACATGTCAGACAGAAGAGGACATGTCAGACACAAGAGGACATGTCAGACACAAGAGGACATGTCAGACAGAAGAGGACATGTCAGACACAAGAGGACATGTCAGACACAAGAGGACATGTCAGACAGAAGAGGACATGTCAGACAGAAGAGGACATGTCAGACACAAGAGGACATGTCAGACACAAGAGGACATGTCAGACAGAAGAGGACATGTCAGACACAAGAGGACATGTCAGACAGAAGAGGACATGTCAGACACAAGAGGACATGTCAGACACAAGAGGACATGTCAGACAGAAGAGGACATGTCAGACAGAAGAGGACATGTCAGACACAAGAGGACATGTCAGACACAAGAGGACATGTCAGACAGAAGAGGACATGTCAGACACAAGAGGACATGTCAGACACAAGAGGACATGTCAGACACAAGAGGACATGTCAGACAGAAGAGGACATGTCAGACAGAAGAGGACATGTGAGACAGAAGAGGACATGTCAGACACAAGAGGACATGTCAGACACAAGAGGACATGTCAGACAGAAGAGGACATGTCAGACAGAAGAGGACATGTCAGACAGAAGAGGACATGTCAGACACAAGAGGACATGTCAGACACAAGAGGACATGTCAGACAGAAGAGGACATGTCAGACACAAGAGGACATGTCAGACAGAAGAGGACATGTCAGACAGAAGAGGACATGTCAGACACAAGAGGACATGTCAGACAGAAGAGGACATGTCAGACAGAAGAGGACATGTCAGACAGAAGAGGACATGTCAGACAGAAGAGGACATGTCAGACAGAAGAGGACATGTCAGACAGAAGAGGACATGTCAGACAGAAGAGGACATGTCAGACAGAAGAGGACATGTCAGACACAAGAGGACATGTCAGACACAAGAGGACATGTCAGACAGAAGAGGACATGTCAGACAGAAGAGGACATGTCAGACAGAAGAGGACATGTCAGACAGAAGAGGACATGTCAGACAGAAGAGGACATGTCAGACAGAAGAGGACATGTCAGACAGAAGAGGACAGATGGGGGCTGTCCTGTCCAGACCTGCAGGCCGCTCCTCTTGTTCCAGGTGAAGATGGTCCCTGGGAACCCGCTCAGCGCCAGTAGCAGTTCATGGATCATCCTCACGGCGTCTGTCCCCACAGCAGGGTGTCTGTACAGGGTCTCTGTCCAGGCACGTCCGCTCCTGCCCCCGGTTAGTTTAACCAGTGCGTCCCTGTTCTTCTGCGCATGTCACTTTGCATGGGAAGGTTTGCTAGCTAGCGAATATAAACACGTACTATTATTAATACTATTATAGGAAAAGGACTCGGACCAGGTGTAGGACTCGGGAATTTAGTTTAGTACTTCTACAGTCTTGAGTTTGCCTTAAGCATCTCTTGGTTTGTAGCGCACAGTCTCGCGCGTCTTCATCAAAACAAACCGGCGCAAAGTGATGACGTAACCTCATTTCTCGCTCCAGTTAATTTTTCTTTATTATAACAACATGTAACAAAACGAACTATTCAATATGTCGAGATAAAAAGTCGTTTAATGTGAATGTTGTAGATATATACATTTATTAAAAAATGAAAAACCATTTTCTTTCTTTTGACATATTCCACATTTCGCAGTAAAACAACATTTTTACCGTTTTTCTTATTTTTTAAGGTTTTTAAGTGCTTAATGACGTATTATAAAATGGTACGGATCATTCATTTCACACAAAAAACGTAACTAGATAATAATGTACTAAATAAGGATAAAGTAAGGACATAAAACCATTGTGGGGGAGGACGGGAGGCAGGAAATTTCTACCATTTTTAAAAAATTATTATTTCCACATTTCGCAGTAAAACACCACTTTTTTTAAAACAACGTCTCAGATGACGTGTATTCTCTGCGCCGCTGCGGAATTGCGTCATCGCCCCGCAGCAGGATGTAGCTTGTCTGCGTCGCATCACGTCTGACTCGGTAAATCAGCTGTAAATGTGCTTTAAATATGTTTGTTCCTGTTTTTCTTCCATAGTAGGAGCTGGTTTCATCATAGAGCCTCAGCCCGGGCCGTGTGGAGCTCTGCGTGTGGCCGTGAGAGCTGCTGTGACTGAGGCTCTTCTCCTGTCTCTCTGCTGCGAAATTCGATTAAAGATGAAATAAACCTCATGTAATATTTATATAACTGTGTCATTTTTAGTCTACTCCTTTACTTTAGTCTGCTATACTGAGTTCTGCTGACTCACTCGCCTCATTTGACTGAAAGCTAGTGCACTGAAATGTCCACTAGTTCACTCTTCATCTGCACCTTCACTAGGGCTCATGGTGTAGGTGCCCTTACCGGGGAGTCTTTCCAATCCTCGGTCTACGGCCTGAGTCCTATATCTTGGATCTACAGCCTGAGTCCTGGACCCTGGATCTACGGTCTCAGGACTCGGGGTGTGTGATGAAGGACTGAGGAGGCTCCCAGGCAAGGAAGAGGTGCAGCCCAGCTGCAGATCAAAAAGGCCAGATTCAGAGGTCCCATCATCACGCCATGAAACAGACTATGGGGCAGCAGCGGGATTGCAACGAGTCCGTCTAAAGTCATAATGAAGACAGATAAAGATTGGAGGACAGTGTTGTTACCAGTCTTCTCCAGCTGGAGTCTATATGCAGCCTCACTGACAATCTGTGTTTTTAGACTTGAGGTTGTATTTCTAAGTCTTACCCGAGTCTTGAATACCTAACCATATGCAGAATTAAAGAGGATTTGTTTTTAGGGCCTGTTTGTTTGGGGTCCTCTTTCAGAGATGTCTTCTGCGGTGGAGGACGAGGTGGAGGAGTTCCTGGACCAGAACCCAGACCTCAGACAGTGGGTGGAGTCTTTAAGAGGAACTTGTGAGACGCAGAAGCAGTGGAACGCACGGAGAACCTTTCTACTGCGGAACCTGGACCAGACCAGACCACAGACCTTATCAGGACATGTCCCACAGCCTGGACCAGACCTGGACCGGCTCCTGGCCCAGTCCATGGTCTGGTCAAACCACGTCTTCATGGGCTGTAGGTAAGTTTGTACTTGCTTGAGTCTGGTCCGGTCCTGGTGCAGTCCTGGTCCGGTCCTGGTTCAGTCCGGTCTTGTTTCGGCAGGTATCCTCAGGCGGTGATGGACAAAGTGCTGCCGATGTCTGAAGGGATCGAGGTCCAAGATGCGCCTCAGTTCACAACCAGAGACCAGATCATGAGGGGAGGGAAGAGAGGCTCGGGTAAGGAGGGGGGGAGGCTCGGGTAAGGAGGGGGGGGGGGGGAGGCTCGGGTAAGGAGGGGGGGAGGCTCGGGTAAGGAGGGGGGGAGGCTCGGGTAAGGAGGGGGGGGGGGCTCGGGTGAGGGGGGGGGAGGCTCGGGTAAGGAGGGGGGGGGGCTCGGGTGAGGAGGGGGGGGGGGGGCTCGGGTGAGGAGGGGGGGAGGCTCGGGTAAGGAGGGGGGGGGGGCTCGGGTAAGGAGGGGGGGAGGCTCGGGTAAGGGGGGGGGGGGGCTCGGGTGAGGAGGGGGGGGGGGGCTCGGGTAAGGAGGGGGGGAGGCTCGGGTAAGGAAGGCTCGGGTAAGGAGGGGGGGGGGGGGGCTCGGGTGAGGAGGGGGAATGAAGGGGGTTTGGGTGAGGAGATGGAGGGATGGGGTGAGGAGGGGGCAGAGGTGGGAAGTAACGAAGTACTTGTACTTCGTTACTGTACTTAAGTAGATTTTGCAGGTATCTGTACTTTACTTGAGTATTTTTTTTTTTGTCGCGACTTTTTACTTTTACTCCTTACTTTTAAAACACAAGTATCTGTACTTTCTACTCCTTACATTTTAAAAAATCAGGTCGTTACTTTTAAAATCTCCAAAGTTGAGCGACAACACAACGTAAAAACCCGGACCAACCAGCGCTGAAAAAGAGGAAGCTAAAAAAAAAATAACAAAAATAAAATCAAAACAGGAAGCTAGAGGACGCAAGCTAGTCAAGCACATGGATAGTCACGCCGTGTTTTTAACTTGTGACTGTGAATGAGTCGGTATGGAGGAAAGTGAGCAGGACAGCGTCATCGAGGATGATTCCGCAGACACCGAAAGACAAGGAACACGGCACCCATGGCCTTACCTGAAAGAACTTTTCGTTGTTGTTGGCTATAAGAATGATTCGTGGCGGATGCAGTGCAACCTGTGCTTGCCCAAAAAACACGAACTTTTGGCATTCAAGAATTCACCGTCCAATCTGAAGAAGCACATTCAGGTTTGTTATTTAGATTTCGTATTGTTACTAGTATAGGCTACATTTGATTAATTCTGGAGGTTTTAAAAAGATATAAGTGTGTCAGTAATGCTTTGGGGGCACTATTAGTTTGCAAGAAAGTGGTGCTAGCTTCTGGTCTGCCGCACTAGCTGTAACTCATGTCACGTTTGCATTGATACGATTTACACATTTTACACATTTATTCTCCCACTCCCAAATCATAACCGTAAAAGTAGCCACACATTTAGATTTTATTTTATTTTTTTAAGTCTCGTTTTGGCTGTGGAAATATGTTTAAAATCTCATCGTGTTATTGCTCAGTTCAAATCAAGCTGTTGATTAACTATCAACACTTTACAATACAACACTTTGTGTTGTATAGTAACTCAGTGTTACGAATATATGCTTGTATTATTTTAATGCAAGGAATACATTTGAGCTGATCTGTTTTTATATTTTGTTTGCAAACAGAGGAAACATGCCAATCATTTGGAGAGATACAAAAATCTCACTGCAGCTCCATTGAAAAGGAAGTCGTCCACATCTGATGAAGGCTCATCCAAACAGCTTAAATTGTGGGATGTCAAGAGGGTCTCACAGAAGAGTGTGGATGAATTCATTTTGAACTTTGTCATTCAAGGTCTGCACCCAGGCAGCATTGTCGAGCAGCAGGGTTTCAAAGCTATGATCAATCACCTGCAACCAGATGTGACAATAATGTCCCGGGGCACAATGATAAACAGGGTCGAAAAAGCTACAGTAGAAATGAAGAAAAATCTTAAAGCTGCTATGAATGAGGTTGAGTTCATTGCAACTACAACTGATTGTTGGACCGCACACAGGAGAAGTTTCCTTGGAGTCACTGCACATTGGATTGAGACAGAAACTATGACTAGATGCTCTGTAGCACTGGCATGCAAACAGTTAAGAGGTTCACACACTATAAATTAAAATGGAATTCAAACACTTTAAAATATTTAGGTATAATATTGACAAAGTCACTCTTAACGATGTTTGTAACGAACTATGGGAAAATAGAAGAGGAAATTAAAAAAGATTTAGACCGTTGGTGTACTTTGCCCACAAGTTTCTACTCTCGAATACAAATAATAAAGATGAACGTCCTACCAAGATTGATATACTTATTTCAAGCTCTCCCACTTCCTGTACCACCAAACAAATTCAAATTATGGGATCGAATGATCTCAAGATTTATATGGAATGGCAAAAAGCCGAGAATAAAGTACACAACATTGCAGCTCCCAAAATCGAAAGGAGGGATGGCTCTGCCCAACCTAAGAGAGTACTTTTATGCAGCCCAGCTCAGACCCCTGGCATGTTGGTGCAGACCAGACTATGAAGCAAGGTGGAAGGACATTGAAAAAGAAATTGAGGGTTACAAAGTCCAAATCTTTATTGCTGACAAAGGGCTAAGTCATAAGAATAAGATGAATCAAATAGTTAAATTTACTCTGGAAACATGGCACAGTTTAATAGAAAAATATAAATGTAAAGATGAATGCTCTCTACTTAAGTGGTTTAGGTATGACAAAAAGTTTAAACCAGGGCGACTTGATCAATCATTTCAACAATGGGAGCTTAAGGGGATTACTGCAATCTGCACCCTTTTGAAAAATGGAAAACTAATGAGTTTTGAACAGGTTAAGGGAAAATATGGCTTAGAAAATAAAGACTTTTTTAGGTATTTGCAAGTACGGGACTACTATACAAAACAATCTTTAATGAAACACTTGGCATAATTGGGGTGATAATGAGCTTCTATGGACAAAAACAACAAAGGCCATTTCTGCATTTTATAGTTCTCTGGGGGATGCTCGGAAAGATTCAACTTTATATATAAAAAAAAAATGGGAGGCGGAGTTGGGGATAGTTGTAGCAGATGATGAATGGTTCCGGATGTGTGAAATACACCACAGTACAACTAACTCGTTGATGTGGAGGGAGTTTTGCTAGAAGAATTTGACACGTTTTTTTATTACACCTCAAATTAAAAGCAGGCAGATTTCCATCCCACAGGAATGTTGGAGATTGTGTGGAGAAATGGAGGTTAATCATTCACACATATTCTGGAATTGTACCAAATTGGGGAGATATTGGGATCAAATAAAAACAACCATAAAAGATATACTGGGCTATGAAATTCCGGGCAGTTGCCTTGTGCTATACCTAGATAATATACAGAAGGTGGTAGGGAAAGAGGACATTTATTTGACAAAAATTATTCTTGCTGCAGCTAAAAAGGCAATTACAAAAGTTTGGCTACAGCCAGAACCACCTACACAACAAGACTGGATCCGGATCGTGGAAAGCATTTCCGTTATGGAAAAAATTACATATAATCTTAGGCTAGAGGGACAGAAGTACAATGAGCAATGGGAAAAATGGAAGGTGTTCAATGAAGCCAGGTTAGTTTCATGAAAATGCATTATTGAATTAGGCTTGTATTTTGCACGTACTGTAAGGTTATATACATTGTGACAGGGTTACCAGACTTTAAGTTCCTTTTGTTTTTGTTTTTTGTTTGTTTATGAACCAATTTCATTACCATGATTGCTTTCAATCCTTGAAACCTTTGTTTGTATGCTTTGTAAATGTACTTGAAAAATGAAAAATAAAGAGTATTAAAAAAAAAAAAAAAAAAAAAAAAGAGGTTCACACACATTTGACAGCCTAGCTCGAGCACTGAATGACATTCACACAGAATTCAACATTCGGGACAAAATTGTACGCACAACAACAGACAATGGGTCAAATTTCATCAAAGCTTTCCGGGTGTATGGAGAGGGGGAGGAAAATAATAACCAGGAAAGGCAAAGTGAATCGGATGCAAGTGAAAACAGTGAAGGTGAGGAAAGAGAACAGGAGGGAAATATAAACTTCATTGAAGCAACAACATTATTGAACGAAGATGATGGCCTTGAATACCAACTTCCCAAGCACCATCGCTGTGCCTGCCACCTTCTCAACCTGGTGTCAACTGTTGACGTTTCAGATGCCAATGCAAATGCAACGTACAAACGACTTTCCCGGTCAGCCTTTTCAAAATGCTGGGGCCTGTGGAATAAAAGTGGGAGATCTACTGCTGCGGCTGAAATCATTGAGGAAAAATGTAAACTCCAGCTCCTGAGGCCCAATGACACAAGGTGGAATTCCATGTACCTGGCTGTTGAGAGAATAATAAAAATCATGAGAGAACAAGGAGAAGGAGCCATCACAGCTGTGTGTACTACACTTAAATTGCCCATGTGAGTAACTTTTATGATATTTATATTATATTAAGTTTAATAATCATGTAACATACAGTTTAAAATGTGTAATGTAGTTTGTGCTTGTTTCTCTTTAGTAGCCACTGATGTTTTATCATTATTATTTTATTTTTTTTATTCAGGTTCTCTCCTGCTGAGATTGCCTTTCTCAGTGAATATGTCAAGATAATGTGTCCTGTTGCAAAGGCAATTGATGTTCTTCAAGGAGAGACCAATGTGCAGATGGGTTGGCTCATTCCCACTATTACTCTTCTCAAGACTAAACTACAACACCTTCGACTCTCCTCCAAAGTGCTGTGTGCCGCTCATAGATGCTCTTCAATCTGGACTTCAGAAGCGCTTTGGTGAGATGCTCAAGGATCCTGAGCTCATTGCAGCTTCCATTCTGGTGCCCAAATTCAGAAGATGCTGGACCACAGATGAGGGCCTTCTACAACTCGGTGTGTATTTTTATTTTTTTTATTTTTTTGTGCATTGATCTGTTATATTTACTTAAGAGACATGTATTTGAATGGTTAATGCAAAAATGTATTAGGTGTACTAATATTGCTGTATTTGCACTGTGTTTTTGATAGGCCTTGACTACATCAAAAGCCATCTCAAAGAGCTACCTGTGACTGTCAGTGACTCCACGCCTTCTTCAGAGGAAGATGACTTTTTTTCACCTATCAAGCAAGGGAACTTGCAAGAAAACACCAAACAGCTTGAGTCATACCTGGCCTGTCCCAATGACACCATGGAAATCTTGAAGTCATTTCCTGCAGTCCTGAACCTTTCACTACAGCTGAACACTCCACTACCTGCTTCTGCTGCCTGTGAAAGGCTCTTCAGCACAGCAGGACTCATTTTCCGACCCAAAAGGGCACGCATTCATTCACAAAACCTTGAAAACATGCTTCTGTTGAAGCTAAATCCAAAATTTTGGTAGTTTGCTTTTCCCCTTATATATCGGGATGGTTCCATTTTCCCATTGTATAGTTTGGTCATACTATAAGCTCCAAGTTATTTGGGATGTTTTTGCACTTTGTTTTTCTTGCACTTTTACAGTTTGTAGTTTAAGTTATAGGAATGATGAAAATACCACATTCTGCAGGCGCTCTTGAATGATCTTACGAGTATCACTACATTGTCGGATGTGCATTTAATTTCACACAAAGTGACATTTATTTTGTTCGGTGCAGCAGTACTCTGAGTTGAGTCTGAGTAAAAGAATAAAGAATTTGAAGGTCAAAACAAGTTTTTTTTTTTTTAAGAGGAAAAATATTGATTTACTTTTTTACTTAAGTACATCTAAGAGTATGTACTTTTTTACTTTTACTTAAGTAAGGCAGAGGGTGCAGTACTTTTACTTTTACCAGAGTAGTTTTTTGCACAAGTATTAGTACTTTTACTTAAGTACTGAACACTGGTACTTTTGACACCTCTGGGAGGGGGAGGGATGAAGGGGGCTTGGGTGAGGAGATGGAGCCTCTGCTATCCATGTCTCATTCCTCTGTTTTGTGTCATTCTGTTCTCAGACCTGGGACCAGAGTCGGGTTCGAAACGGACCAAGACTGAAGAGTCCGGCCCCCAGGCTCAGAAGAGTGGCCCCTCAGCTCAGGTAGACCTGGTCCTGACCTGCTTTAGTCCTGTTGGACTAAAGTGGTATGAACTGTTACACTGAAGGCAAGTGTACTATAAAAGTACACTTGCCTTCCCTGTTTAAGGTCTGATTTAAACCCAGACCTACTTTAGTCCTGCCCTAGTCCTGCTTTAGACCTGCTTTAGTCCTGCTTCAGTCCTGCTTTAGTCCTGCTTTAGATCTACTTCAGTCCTGCTTTAGTCCTGCTTTAGACCTGCTTCAGTCCTGCTTTAGACCTGCTTTAGTCCTGCTTTAGTCCTACTTCAGTCCTGCTTTAGACCTGCTTTAGACCTGCTTTAGTCCTGCTTTAGTCCTGCTTTAGTCCTGCTTTAGTCCTGGTTCAGTCCTGTTTCAGACCTGGTTCAGACCTGGTTTAGTCCTGCATTAGTCCTGCATTAGACCTGGTTTAGTCCTGCATTAGACCTGCTTTAGTCCTGCATTAGTCCTGGTTGAGTCCTGGTTCAGACCTGGTTCAGACCTGGTTCAGACCTGGTTTAGTCCTGCATTAGACCTGGTTTAGTCCTGCATTAGACCTGCTTTAGTCCTGCATTAGTCCTGGTTGAGTCCTGGTTCAGACCTGGTTCAGACCTGGTTCAGACCTGGTTCAGACCTGGTTCAGACCTGGTTCAGACCTGGTTCAGACCTGGTTTAGTCCTGCATTAGACCTGGTTTAGTCCTGCATTAGACCTGCTTTAGTCCTGCATTAGTCCTGGGTGAGTCCTGGTTCAGACCTGGTTTAGACCTGGTTTCTCTCTTGCAGGCCCCGTACCAGCTACAGCCCTTCTTTAACCGCCTCTACAAGGCCGTGTGCTGGCGCCTGGTCTCGGCCGGGGGACTTGGGGGACCCGCCGGGACCCAAAGTCCTGGACCGAACCTGGACCACTGGGAGGTCCTGAAGCGCTGTGTGGAGTCGTGTAAGGACAGTCTGGGCTGTGTCATGGTTCCTCTGAAGGAGATCGCGGGTCTTCCTGCGGGTCGCACCCAAGACGGGCACGTGTGTGAGCTGCGCTGCCAGGGCGTCTACCTCGGGACCGGGTACGATTTAAATATACAGCACACATTAGACAGCGCAGGTACGTTTTAATTATATAGCACACATTAGACAGCACAGGTACGCTTTTATTATATAGCACACATTAGACAGCACAGGTACGCTTTAATTATATAGCACACATTAGACAGCACAGGTACGCTTTTATATAACACACATCAGACAGCACAGGTACGCTTCAATTATATAACACACATTAGAAAGCACAGGTACGCTTTTATATAACACACATCAGACAGCACAGGTACGCTTCAATTATATAACACACATTAGACAGCACAGGTACGCTTTTATTATATAGCACACATTAGACAGCACAGGTACGCTTTAATTATATAGCACACATTAGACAGCACAGGTACGCTTTTATATAACACACATCAGACAGCACAGGTACGCTTCAATTATATAACACACATTAGACAGCACAGGTACGCTTTAATTATATAACACACATTAGACAGCACAGGTACGCTTCAATTATATAACACACATTAGAAAGCACAGGTACGCTTTAATTATATAACACACATTAGACAGCACAGGTACGCTTCAATTATATAACACACATTAGACAGCACAGGTACGCTTTAATTATATAACACACATTAGACAGCACAGGTACGGTTTAATTATATAACACACATTAGACAGCACAGGTACGCTTCAATTATATAACACACATTAGAAAGCACAGGTACGCTTTAATTATATAACACACATTAGACAGCACAGGTACGGTTTAATTATATAACACACATTAGACAGCACAGGTACGCTTCAATTATATAACACACATTAGAAAGCACAGGTACGCTTTAATTATATAACACACATTAGACAGCACAGGTACGCTTCAATTATATAACACACATTAGAAAGCACAGGTACGCTTTAATTATATAACACACATTAGACAGCACAGGTACGCTTTAATTATATAACACACATTAGACAGCACAGGTACGCTTCAATTATATAACACACATTAGACAGCACAGGTACGGTTTAATTATATAACACACATTAGACAGCACAGGTACGCTTCAATTATATAACACACATTAGAAAGCACAGGTACGCTTTAATTATATAACACACATTAGACAGCACAGGTACGCTTCAATTATATAACACACATTAGAAAGCACAGGTACGCTTCAATTATATAACACACATTAGACAGCACAGGTACGCTTTAATTATATAACACACATTAGACAGCACAGGTACGCTTCAATTATATAACACACATTAGACAGCACAGGTACGCTTTAATTATATAACACACATTAGACAGCACAGGTACGGTTTAATTATATAGCACACATCTAGACAGCACAGGTACGGTTTAATTATATAGCACACATTAGACAGCACAGGTACGCTTTAATTATATAGCACACATGAGACAGCACAGGTACGGTTTAATTATATAGCACACATTAGACAGCACAGGTACGGTTTAATTATATAGCACACATTTAGACAGCACAGGTACGGTTTAATTATATAGCACACATTAGACAGTGTTGGAGTAACTGATGTACAAATACTGAATACTTTCTGAGTAACTGTAATCTGTTACTATTTTAAAGTCTAGTCTTTGGAAAACAGTTACTTTGACACGGTGGCTGAGTGGTTAGCCCTCTCGCTTCTCAGCAAGAAGGTCCTGGGTTCGAACCAGAGTGAGAGAGACCAGAGTGAGAGAGACCAGAGTGAGAGAGACCAGAGTGAGAGAGACCAGAGTGAGAGAGACCAGAGTGAGAGAGACCAGAGTGAGAGAGACCAGAGTGAGCGAGACCAGAGAGCAGCAGTTGAGTGACAGCTCTTGTCTCTGTCCCAGGTACGGCCGTGACGAGGCGGCGGCCCGGGCCATGGCGTCCAAAGAGGCGCTGAAGGTTTTCCAGGGACGCAAAGTCCTGGTGAAGATCTGCAGACGGAAGTTCAGAGGGAGCGAAGTGGAAGACCTGGTGCTTCTGGACGACCAGCCACGGAACCAGGGCTTTCCCCCGGCCCTGAGCCACCCCTTCAGCCCGAGCCAGGACTGTCCCGCCAGAGAGGAGACTGCGTCATAACCAAGACTGATTCATAAGGAGTAGACCGGGTCAGAACCCCTTCAGCCCGAGCCTGGAGACCCGGGACTGTTCTAGAGACCGGGTCATAAACTCCCCCCACACTCCCAGAGTCACCCCTTTAGCCTGTCCCAGGACTGCCCCCCAGAGGCAGAGAGGAGGGCAGGTCCTAATGGGTTAAGTGTAAACCACGGCTGGTCCAGGAAAGCGTCGGCCTGAACCGGCTTTTGCCCAAAATAACAATAACAGGACAACTGAGCTCCATAGGAATGCTAATGTAATGCTAATGTCATGCTAATGTAATGCTAACTGTTTGGTTTAACGTTAACTATGCCATGTTATCTCACCAACTCATAAACAGAGGAAGTGGGAGTTAGCTTTAGCACTAGCATCATCTTTGGTATTAGCTTCAGCATTAGCTTCAGGATTAGCTTCAGCATTAGCTTCAGGATTAGCTTCAGAATTAGCTTCAGCATTAGCTTCAGCATTAGTTTTCCACTGCTCCTGATAAAGGCCCTAGTGACCATAAAAATACAACTCAACTTTTATCATTGGCATCCGCTTTATCATACGCATTATCATAAGTTTTAGCGTTAGCATCAGTTTTAGCATTATTTTTAGCATCAGCTTTAGCATCAGCTTTAGCATTGCCGTTAGCATTAGCGTGCGCCTGGACTTTTAAACCCCAGTACTTTTGTTCATGTGTTTTTCGTTGACTCTTTGAAGGCTTTAAACGTTTGGTAAACGCGGCGAAAAGGTTCCACAGTCGTAGTTGTTTTATGACAATACTGGAGACTACATTTCCCATGATCCTCTGCAGATCAAACCTGTTGTTTTTATATAAGTTCCTGCTGTGTGCTTCGACTGAATATTTCTATATTCTGTCAAATAAATGTTTCCTATTTTCACTTCTGTGGTTTTTCATTCATAGGACCAGAACCAGGACTAGGACCAGGACTAGGACCAGGACTAGGACCAGGACTAGGACCAGAATCAGGACTAGTTCTAGGACCAGAATCAGGACTAGAACCAGGAGTCTAGGAGTAGGATTAGGATAAAGATCAATTCAAAGTCTCAAACTTTTATCTCAATCGTGTCAATGATCTATCAGAGATATATAAGAGGATTTTCTACTTCCGGGTGGATCATCAAGACTATTGGTCCTCCCAACTGTCAATCATTCTGATGATACGTGCTCGTCCAATAAGACCAGAGAGAAAAGAAGAGGGCGGTTCTTTCCTAAAATCCGGGAAAATCCTCCTATAAAGCTTTAAACATCAGACTGTGCCCTGTCTGTGTCTGCAGCTCCCTCTGGTGGCAGCACAGGGAGTTACAGGAAGCTCTGATGGCAGACACTGCTCCCTCTTGCACAGGGACCCTCCATACTTGTTTCACCTTTATATTCTGCTGAAGATATTTCACATTCTAAAACATGACACAACCAAAGTACAGATCATTTTAATGGACCAGAGAGACCAAGGCGACAGAGACAGAGACAAACATACTTCTGTCTTTAGTCTTCATTCTTGTGTTTCCAGTTTGTGAGGAATACAGTAAATGTAGGAGAGGAGAGGAGAGAGAAGAGGAGAGGAGAGGAGAGAGAGGAGAGGAGAGAGAGAGAAGAGGAGAGAGAGAGAAGAGGGGAGAGAGAGATGAGAGACATAATAGTAATAACTTTCAGATGCACTTCAGGAGGTAGGAGTTGCAGTTGGCGCCGCGGCCGCAGTCGCACAGTTTCCCAATACGTGGTCCGAACTTCAGCGCACAGCGGTCGCCCATTCCACACTGTCAGGAGAGAGACCAGAGTGAGAGACCAGAGAGAGAGACCAGAGAGCGAGACCAGAGCGAGACCAGAGAGAGAGACCAGAGAGAGAGATCAGAGAGAGAGATCAGAGAGAGAGACCAGAGAGGGAGACCAGAGAGAGAGACTAGAGAGCGAGACCAGAGCGAGACCAGAGAGAGAGACCAGAGAGGGAGACCAGAGAGAGAGACCAGAGAGCGAGACCAGAGAGAGAGACCAGAGAGGGAGACCAGAGAGAGAGACCAGAGAGCGAGACCAGAGAGAAAGACCAGAGAGGGAGACCAGAGAGAGAGACCAGAGAGCGAGACCAGAGAGAGAGACCAGAGTGAGAGACCAGAGAGAGAGACCAGAGTGAGAGACCAGAGAGAGAGACCAGAGAGAGAGACCATAGATAGAGAACAGAGACCAGAGAGAGAGAACGGAGTGAGAGACCAGAGTGAGAGACCAGAGTGAGAGACCAGAGAGAGACCAGAGAGCGAGACCAGAGCGAGAGACCAGAGTGAGAGACCAGAGAGGGAGACCAGAGAGCGAGACCAGAGTGAAAGAGAGAGAGAGTTAGAGAGGCCGGAGAGAGAGACCAGAGAGAGAGAGACCAGAGAGAGACCATAGAGAGACCAGAGTGAAAGAGGGAGAGAGAGGCCAGAGAGAGAGACCAGAGTGAAAGAGAGAGAGAGTGAGAGAGGCCGGAGAGAGAGACCAGAGAGAGAGACCAGAGAGAGACCAGAGAGAGACCGGAGTGAGAGAACGGAGTGAGAGACCAGAGTGAGAGACCAGAGAGAGAGACCAGAGTGAAATAGAGAGAGAGGAGTGAGAGAGAGAGACCAGAGACCCGAGAGAGACCTGAGAAGACACCGTAAGGAAAGAGCAGGACGTGCAACAGCCCAAACTCTGACTCTGAGCGCTTCAGTCACACAAAGACAGCTCCACGGCTCGTTACGGTCTCGTTAAGGGCTCGTTAAGGTCTCGTTCTGCAGAGGTTTGTGTTAGAGCCTATTCCCCTGAGATAAAACTAATGAAGCTGTTTGTAACAACGACAACATCTTTAATTAAAAGATAAAATCAGACACCAACCGGACCAGGACTTAAACCGGACTAATAAGGTCTTAATGAGGTCCGGGTCTAATCCTGGACCAAGACCGGGTTAGAAAACACCAAGTCAGCAGAGATAAGAAGATGTTTCATTAACTTTAATCAATGAGGAAAAAACTGGCTTCAACTGAGCCAAAATGCCTTCTTCAACTGAGCCAAAATGCCTTCTTCAACTGAGCCAAAATGTCTTCTTCAACTGAGCCAAAATGCCCTTATGGTGCTTTTCTGAACATTTTCATTTTTCTTTCTCTCCATACACGGTGGTGATAAATTTCTACTGTAGCCACAGCTGCCCTGGGGCACACTGATTGATGCAAGGCAGCCAGTCTGAGCCATCCGCCTCTCCCACCACCACCAACCATTCACACCCACACGCACACGCACACCCACACGCACACGCACACGCACACGCACACGCACACGCACACGCACACGCACACGCACACGCACACGCACACGCACACGCACACGCACACGCACACACACACGCACACACACACACACACGCACACACACACACACACACGCACACACACACACACACACACACACACGAATCATTCTAATGTGGGGGAAGTGTCTTGCCTAAGGATACAACCACAGTTTGGCACTTAACAGCCGCAGCCGCCCCACTGTGGCACCTTCTGTTCCCAGAGGTCTCCCATCACAGTACTAACCAAGCCCTGTCCTGCTTAGCTTTAGAGGTCTGATGGGATCTGGCTTTTGCATGCAAGTCTGGCCTATTCAACTATTTCAGGTTGGATGGATTGCCATTGCTGGAGTTGGCTGAATGACATTAGCACCACCATCACAAATAGATACTAATAAATAAAGCTGCAAGCGGCGATGGATGGCCCTCGCATTCGGCAAACTGCAGTACCATAGAAAACTGCCTGTGTGGTCTGAGCGGAGTCTGCAGGGTCTGAGGTCTGAGCGGAGTCTGCAGGGTCTGAGGTCTGAGCGGAGTCTGCAGGGTCTGAGGTCTGAGCGGAGTCTGCAGGGTCTGAGGTCTGAGCGGACTCTGCAGAGTCTGAGGTCTGAGCGGAGTCTGCAGGGTCTGAGGTCTGAGGTCTGAGCGGAGTCTGCAGGGTCTGAGGTCTGAGCGGAATCTGCAGGGTCTGAGGTCTGAGCGGAGTCTGCAGGGTCTGAGGTCTGAGCGGAGTCTGCAGGGTCTGAGGTCTGAGCGGAGTCTGCAGGGTCTGAGGTCTGAGCGGAGTCTGCAGGGTCTGAGGTCTGAGTGGAGTCTGCAGGGTCTGAGGTCTGAGTGGAGTCTGCAGGGTCTGAGGTCTGAGCGGAGTCTGCAGGGTCTGAGGTCTGAGCGGAATCTGCAGGGTCTGAGGTCTGAGCGGAGTCTGCAGGGTCTGAGGTCTGAGCGGAGTCTGCAGGGTCTGAGGTCTGAGCGGAGTCTGCAGGGTCTGAGGTCTGAGTGGAGTCTGCAGGGTCTGAGGTCTGAGTGGAGTCTGCAGGGTCTGAGGTCTGAGCGGAGTCTGCAGGGTCTGAGGTCTGAGCGGAATCTGCAGGGTCTGAGGTCTGAGCGGAGTCTGCAGGGTCTGAGGTCTGAGCGGTGTCTGCAGGGTCTGAGGTCTGAGCGGAGTCTGCAGGGTCTGAGGTCTGAGGTCTGAGCGGACTCTGCAGGGTCCGTGTGATTGACAGTTCGGACTCACCACTGGGATGGAGCGCTTCTCTGCAGAGTGGATCTGACCCAGGATCAGCTGCAGCGCCGACACCTGGAGGAGAGAGGTACTACAGCTTATCCTGGTCCAGGACTGAACCCGGACTGGATCAGGACTGAACCAGGACCAAGACCAAGACCAGGCTCAGGGCCAGAACCAGGACTGGATCAGTACTGAACCAGGACCAAGACCAAGACCAGGCTCAGGGCCAGAACCAGGACCAAGACCGTGACATGACCAGGACCAGAACTGAACCAAGACTAGAATCAGGAGTGGACCAGGTCTGAAACGGGTCTGAATCAGGAGTGGACCTTCTGGACTGTGTGAGACTCACCAGGTCTTGCTCTGGCCTCTGATCCAGGTCCAGGTCTTGGTCCAGTTCTTCTTTGGACTGGCTCAGGTCCAGCTGGGACCAGGTCTGGTCAAGGATCAGGACCAGACCGAGCAGCAGAAGACAGCGGCGAGTCATTTTGCACTGAAGAGAGAAGAACAAGTTACACACCTGAGAGACACACACACAGATACACGCACACACACAGACACACACAGATACACACCTACACACACACAAACACAGACACAGACAGATACACACAGATACACAGATACACACACACACACACACACACAGACACACACAGATACACACACAGACACACACAAACACAGACACAGACAGATGCACACAGATACACAGATACACACACACACAGACACACACAGATACACAGATACACACACAGACACACACACACACACACACTGACCGGGATTCAGCAGGAGGTGCTGATGGTCTCACAGCAGGAGGTGCAGGAGATCTCCTCTCAGCTCAGAGCTGCAGTTTAAATAGGACCAGAGCTCGTGTCTGATTGGACGAGAGCCTCCGCCTCAGGGAGATCAAAGAAAACGAGAGAGAGGGAGGAAAGGAGAGAGGAGGGAGGAGAGGGGAGGGAGGAGAGGGGAGAGGAGGAGAGAGGGCGAAAGGAGAGGAGGAGAGGAGAGAGGAGAAGAAGAGAGGAGAGGAGGAGAGGGGAGAGAAGGAGAGAGAAGGGAGAAGAGGAGGAGTGGAGAGGAGGAATAGGAGAGGGGAAAGGAGGAATGGAGAGGAGGAGAGAGGCGGGAGAAGAGGGGAGAGGAGGAGAGAGGAGAGGACGAATGGAGAGGAGGTAGAAGAGGGGAGTGGAGGAGAGGAGGTAGAAGAGGTAGAAGAGGGGAGAGGAGGAGAGGAGGTAGAAGAGGTAGAAGAGGGGAGAGGAGGAGAGGAGGAGAGGAGAGAGGAGAGGAGGAATGGAGAGGAGGAGAGAGAGGGGAGAGAGGAGGAGGAGAGAGGGGAGGAGGAGGGGAGATGAGCATGGGAGAGGAGAATGGGAGAGGAGGAGGGGAGGGAGGAGAGATCTCTGAAGAACAAACCGTTACTTATGATTTATTTGTTTCTGTAAAAAATCATGTGTTTCAAATTTTTTGTGTGGAATTTGCATGTTCTCCCTGTGTCTGCATAGATTTTTTTCTCCAGGTGCTCCGGTTTCCCCCTCTGTCAGAGAATTTGAAATCTGGACTGTTTTCTGAGGCTGCAGCTGAACTGCAGGAGGCGCATGTCTCGCTCTCACAACTTTTTCCGTACACACCCAGTGACGTCAGACACGCGCACGCACACAGACACGCGCACGCACACACCGCCCCAACGTCAGACCTCCGCCTCCAAGAGCCGAGACCCGCAGAATCCTGAGCAAGAACTGGGTCCACAGCGAGGACTGGGCCTGGAATAAAGAGAGAAGCAGGACCAGACTGGGACCACATCGGGACCAGACCAGGGCTAAACCAGGACTAAACCAAGACTGAACCAGGACTGAACCTGGACCTGGGAAAGTCTCAAAAGTTTAGAGAACTTTTTTGGATTAGACGCGCTCTTGGATCATGTCTGTGTCAGAGGAACCGGACGGCGCGCGCCCCCGATACGGCTGTAAGTGCACGCGCGCGCACACACACAAACACACACACACATATATGCACACCCACGTGCACGTGCTCTGCTGCAGCACGCGCGTGACACTTCCGCGTTGAAGAAAAACGCATCTGTGAGAAATGGCAAAAGTGGCGCAAAGCAGAAATCAGGACCTGCTTCAATCCTGGTTTTGTCCTGCTTAGTCCTGCTTTAGTCTAGTTTTGTCCTGGTTCTATCCTGCTTCGTTCCTGCTTTAGTCCTGCTTTAGTCCTGGTTTTGTCCTGGTTCTATCCTGCTTCAGTCCTACTTCAGTCCTACTTTAGTCCTGCTTTAGTTCTGGTTTTGTCCTGCTTTAGACCTGCTTTAGTCGTGCTTTAGTCCTACTTTAGTCCTTGTTTAGACCCGTTTTAGTCCTGCTTTAGTCCTTGTTTAGACCCGCTTTAGACATGGTAAAAGTCGTGGGAAAGTCTTAAAGAAGTTGTGGGTAGTTTTCCAGGAGCAAATTTTGAATGACATGATGGAAAATGAGAAACAAGGATTGAACCAGGACTAAAGCAGGTCTAAAGCAGCACTAAAGCAGGACTAAAGCAGGACTGAAGCACGACTAAAGCAGGACTGAAGCAGGACTGAAGCAGGTCTGAAGCAGGTCTGAAGCAGGTCTGAAGCAGGACTAAAGCAGGACTAAAGCAGGACTAAAGCAGGACTAAAGCAGGACTAAAGCAGGACTAAAGCAGGACTAAAGCAGGTCTAAAGCAGGTCTAAAGCAGGACTTAAGCAGGACTTAAGCAGGACTTAAGCAGGACTTAAGCAGGACTTAAGCAGGACTTAAGCAGGACTTAAGCAGGACTTAAGCAGGACTTAAGCAGGTCTTAAGCAGGTCTAAAATCAGGACTAAAATCAGGTCTAAAGCAGGACAAAAATCAGGTCTAAAGCAGGTCTGAAGCAAAGCAGGACTAATGCAGGTCTAGAGCAGGACTAAAGTCGGTCTTCAGTCATAATTCATTGTTTTGTTTCAGTTTCTCAAAGCTTTCATACACAGCACTGAGCAGACTCTGGATCAGCAGTTTGCATGTTCTCCCTGTGTCTGGGAAAGTCTCAGTCACATCTCTATCTGAGTGTGAGCACTTCTCTTTTGCAGAGACAATCCACCCTCCTCTCAGACCTGATAAGACTGTGGTTAACGATAGCTCAGCCTCTATCACTGGTATCTCTGTGACACTCCCACTCCTGTGGTCTGAAGGTCTGAACCAGGTCTGAAGCAGGTCTGAAGCAGGTCTGAAGCAGGTCTGAAGCAGGTCTGAAGCAGGTCTGAAGCAGGACTATAGCAGGACTATAACGGGACTAAAGCATGTCTAAAACGGGTCCAAAGCAGGTCTAGGGAAGGACTAAAGCAGGTCTGAAGCAGGTCTAGGGAAGGACTAAAGCAGGTCTATAAAGGGACTAAGGCAGGTCTAAAGCAGATCCAAAGCAGGTCTAAAGCTTATTATTGTGTGAGTCACTATTTGACTCTTTGGGCTGAGAGCTGATTGGCTGAGAGCTGATTGGCTGAGCGCTGATTGGCTGAGGGAGGGGGGTCCTCTCTCTTTCAGTTTTCTGTTTGAAAAAGTTGACCTAAAGATGTGACATCACAAACACATGATGTGAGCTCTATTGGTGTGGTCTAAAAGTCACGTACCCCGGCTTTAAAGTCATGTACCCGGCGACAGTAGCTCAGTGTGTAGACAGAGCATTGGCCTTTGAGCCTGAAGGTCGTGGGTTCGAGTCCACCACAAGACTTTCTCCACCGACTCCCACTGCTGTGTCCTTAGGCAAGACACTTCCCCCACATTAGAATGAGTGTGTGTGAGTGGTTGGTGGTGGTGGGAGGGGCTGATGACACAGACTGGTTGCCTCGCTTCTGTCAGTGTGCCCCAGGGCCGCTGTGGCTACAGGAGTAGTTTATCACCACTGTGTTTGGAGAGAATGTGAAGAGACTTTGAGCGTCCAAAAAGTGCTGTATAAAACTGATGCATTATTATAATTATTATTAAAGTCACGTACCCCGGCTTTAAAGTCACGTACCCCAGCTTTAAAGTCACGTACCCCGGCTTTAAAGTTACGTCCTAGCTTTAAAGTTACGTCCTAGCTTTAAAGTCACGTACCCCGGCTTTAAAGTCACGTACCCCAGCTTTAAAGTCTTGTACCCCGGCTTTAAAGTCACATACCCCGGCTTTAAAGTCACGTACCCCAGCTTTAAAGTTACGTCCTAGCTTTAAAGTCACGTACCCCGGCTTTAAAGTTACGTCCTAGCTTTAAAGTCACGTACCCCAGCTTTAAAGTCACGTACCCCGGCTTTAAAGTTACGTCCTAGCTTTAAAGTCACGTACCCCGGCTTTAAAGTCACGTACCCCAGCTTTAAAGTCACGTACCCCGGCTTTAAAGTTACGTCCTAGCTTTAAAGTCACGTACCCCGGCTTTAAAGTCACGTACCCCAGCTTTAAAGTCACGTACCCCGGCTTTACCTGCCCTGGGTGTGTCTGTCATGCAGAGAATGCGCTCTGTCTACACTGCGTTCATTTCATAACTGTAATTACACAACAGCTCATCCCAGTCTGTACCACAGGGTTTCCCAAGCTGCGGTGTGTGTGCACGTGTGTGATCAGAGCCACACCCCCCCCCTGCCCTGCCATGCTGCTCTGAGCTCTGCCCCTTTAGATGTGGTCACAGCAAAGGCCCTGCAGGTCCCGCTCAGACCACAGACAGGACCCAGAGAGAGAGACCAGAGAGAGAGAGACCAGAGAGAGAGAGACCAGAGAGAGAGAGACCAGAGAGAGAGAGACCAGAGAGAGAGAGACCAGAGAGAGAGAGACCAGAGAGAGAGAGACCAGAGAGAGAGAGAGACCAGAGAGAGTGCCAGACCAGAGAGAGACCAGAGAGAGTGCCAGACCAGAGAGTGCCAGACCAGAGAGTGCCAGACCAGAGAGAGGGTGGGTCCCAGTATCAGCCCCTGAGGTACCCCACAGTGAAACCTTTTGGACCTTGGGGAATCATTTTAAACTCGCTGAGATCGCTGTAAAAAACAGAAAAACACAATAACACGACTTCTTTGTGTTCAGAATGTTGTAACCTGTGATGTCATCAGAGCACTTCCTGCTTTCACTTCCTGTTTCCCCTTTGCTCAACAAACTACGACTGACCAAAAAGATAGAAAGAAGAAGTTTTTGATTCTTTGGGCTGAGAGCTGATTGGCTGAATGAGGGTGGTCAAAACAATACAATTCAGTTTATTGTTTTATCGCCCTAAATCACGACAGTAGTTCGGAGGAAGACTAACACAGACCAGTTGAAATGAAGCACCGTGAAGCAGCGACGCTTTCAGCCTGTAGCAATGCTTCATAAAGCATTGATAAGTATAGTCGCGCGGCGCGGCGCTTAAGGTGGTGACGTGACGTCACTTGCACAACGCGTGGATCACCACAGACCCTTGCGTAGTCGCGCACCCTCAAAAAGCTGCACCGCAGAGAAGCTCCGCTGTGATTGGTCCGTGTGTGATTACTTTCTGTGAAGCACAGAGCGGCTGCAGGACGAGGCACTTCGGAGCAGACGGTTTTGAACCGAAGGAAAAGCAGTTTGGCTCAGAGCCTGATCTACAGGAGACTGTGGACTAGAGTTCTGTTGCATATCTAACATACAGTATATATATCTAACTTATATCTAACTTATATCTAACTTATATCTAACATATATATAACTTATATCTAACTTATATCTAACTTATATCTAACTTATATCTAACTTATATCTAACTTATATCTAACTTATATCTAACTTATATCTAACATATATCTAACTTATATGAGTCGTAGCTCATCGCGTCTGTTCCTCCTGTTCTTGTAAATAGTTCATGTTTGTCTCAGATATTTAACACTTATTGTTTTGCAGTTTGTGCTGAAAACACTTTAATAATAACTATGTTTCCAACAGAACTGTGTCTTTATTCACAGCATCACAGTTAAATGAGTTGAAACGATGAGTTTAGAACAGTCACATAAACCTACAGTAGAAACACATGTAATGATCTCAAACAGCTTCACTCTTGTTTTTGTTCTGAAGAGGAGGAAGGAGTTTCTCAGGCAACTCCTGTGAGATCGCCATCATGTGGTTGGGTGTGGGATTACAACATTATCTTATAAACTCCGCAAGGGGAACGGCCGAGTGTACAGCAACTGTGGCTGCGGAGGTCCAACGTAACCAGCGCCGCGCGAGTGTACACAGGCCTTCAGGATTCATTTAACTCTATGACGCCATCTAGAGGCCAAAATAAATGCATTTCCACTACAGCGCAATCTCCATAAACATGTGACAGGACCATGAAACATGTGACCGGACCATGAAACACGTGACAGGGCGGCACGGTGGCTGAGTGGATAGCACTCTCGCCTCTCAGCAAGAAGGTCCTGGGTTCGAATCCCGGTCGGACCAGGGCCTTTCTGAGTGGAGTTTGCATGTTCTCCCTGTGTCTGTGTAGGTTTCCTCCGGGTGCTCCGGTTTCCCCTACCACTAAAAATATGTACAATAGGTCTGGCATGTGCCTCCTGTACTGGCGAGCCCGCTCCCAAAAATCACAATTGTAAACCGCTTTGAGACTCCGATGTGCAGTGAAAAGGCGGTATATAAATAAAGATTACTTACTTACTTACCATGAAACACAGTCAGAATGTGCTCATATATAAAAGGAGGATTAAAACATTTATTTTTTCCTTCATAAAGAAGAATTTCCAAAGTTTGTGAGGATTTCTGACCTACTCCAACTGCTCCCACTCTTGTCTGCTGTCGTTGTGTCCTTGGGCAAGACACTAAACCCCACATTTCCCGAAGTTCCCGCTGAAAGAACAAGGCTGTGTCACCGTTGACGGAGCAGCCATCTTCCCGTGGACTCGCCACCTACGGGAGGATCACAGGGACTGGGGCTGTGAGACACAAGTCTTTCTCCACCGACTCCCACTGTCTGCTGTCGTTGTGTCCTTGGACACTTCCCCCACATTAGAATGAGTCTGGTGTGTGTGAATGGTTGGTGGTGGTGGGAGGGGCTGATGGCACAGACTGGTTGCCTCGCTTCTGTCAGTGTGCCCCAGGGCAGCTGTGGCTACAGTAGTTTATCACCACCGTGTTTGGAGAGAATAATAATGTGAAGAGACTTTGAGAGTCCAAAACCGATGCATTATTATCAGTATTGTTATTATTATTAATATTATTGTTAAAGGGGAAGAGAATGAATGATAATAATTCTTATAAAACAACTTTATTAGAAGTGATGAATATTCCCAAACCGGGGAATACTTTCTGTTTTTGTCTGTTTGAGTTTTTGCAAATTCCAAACCAACTTTTGGGCGTAGGACTACTTCCAGGTCATCACAGTTGTTCTTTTATGCTCATGTGTTTAATTATAGAGTTCTGTTGGTGTGGTTTGAAAGTCAAGTACCTGAGCTTTAACTGAAGATAACAGACGGGTCTCAGTTTGTTTGTTGTTGTTGTTTATTGCTGTTTACTGTTGTTGTTTGTAGCGGTCCTGGACGGCGTGGAGCGGCTCACGGCGGAGGAGATGGACGAGCAGCGGCAGCAGAACATGGCGTATGAATATCTGTGTCACCTGGAGGAGGCAAAGAGGTCAGTGTCAAGGACACTGCAGGAAGTAGTCCTACAGTACTCCTACTGTAGTCCTACTGTAGTCCTACATTACTCCTGCAGTAGTCCTACTGTAGTCCTACTGTACTCCTACAGTACCTCTACAGTAGTCCTACAGTAATCCTTCAGTAGTCCTACAGTAGTCCTACAGTAGTCCTTCAGTAGTCCTACAGTAGTCCTACAGTAGTCCTACTGTAGTCCTACATTACTCCTGCAGTAGTCCTACTGTAGTCCTACTGTACTCCTACAGTACTCCTACAGTAGTCCTACAGTACTCATACAGTAGTCCTACAGTAATCCTTCAGTAGTCCTACAGTAGTCCTACAGTACTCCTACAGTAGTCCTTCAGTACTCCTTCAGTAGTCCTACAGTAGTCCTACAGTAGTCCTACAGTACTCCTACAGTACTCCTTCAGTAGTCCTACAGTAGTCCTACAGTAGTCCTTCAGTAGTCCTTCAGTAGTCCTACAGTAGTCCTGTTGTGTCACATGTTTTCTCCAACATCAGATATTGTGTTTTAATGTGACAGTTAGCGTGTTAGCATTGTTCATCTATATACAGTCTATTTTATATGGCCCTGTTTCCATGGAGACGGCTCCTTATGCCCTTTTATGGCCCTGAGCTCTGACCGCGTGTTTTATAGTTTTAATCACAGGAAGTGAGTCAGTTTGTTTAATGAAGCGGTCGTTGTGGAAACACTTCCTGTGAACGATTAGACGGAACTGCAGTTAATGTTCAAGTTATAGAAGTGAGTCAAGAGAGAGAGAGACCAGAGAGAGAGACCAGAGAGAGAGAGAGACCAGAGAGAGAGAGAGACCAGAGAGAGAGACCAGAGAGAGAGACCAGAGAGAGAGACCAGAGAGAGAGAGAGACCAGAGAGAGAGACCAGAGAGAGAGACCAGAGAGAGAGACCAGAGAGAGAGACCAGAGAGAGAGACCAGAGAGAGAGACCGGAGAGAGACCGGAGAGAGAGAGAGAGACCGGAGAGAGACCGGAGAGAGACCGGAGAGAGACCGGAGAGAGACCAGAGAGAGACCAGAGAGAGACCAGAGAGAGACCAGAGAGAGACCAGAGAGAGACCAGAGAGAGACCAGAGAGAGACCAGAGAGAGACCAGAGAGAGACCAGAGAGAGACCAGAGAGAGACCAGAGAGAGACCAGAGAGAGACCAGAGAGAGAGAGACCAGAGAGAGAGAGACCAGAGAGAGAGAGACCAGAGAGAGAGAGACCAGAGAGAGAGAGACCAGAGAGAGAGAGACCAGAGAGAGAGAGACCAGAGAGAGAGAGACCAGAGAGAGAGACCAGAGAGAGAGAGACCAGAGAGAGAGAGACCAGAGAGAGAGAGACCAGAGAGAGAGACCAGAGAGAGAGACCAGAGAGAGAGAGACCAGAGAGAGAGAGACCAGAGAGAGAGAGACCGAGAGAGAGAGAGAGAGACCAGAGAGAGAGAGACCAGAGAGAGAGAGACCAGAGAGAGAGAGACCAGAGAGAGAGACCAGAGAGAGAGACCAGAGAGAGAAAGACCAGAGAGAGAGACCAGAGAGAGAGAGACCAGAGAGAGAGAGACCAGAGAGAGAGAGACCAGAGAGAGAGACCAGAGAGAGAGACCAGAGAGAGAGACCAGAGAGAGAGACCAGAGAGAGAGACCAGAGAGAGAGACCAGAGAGAGAGACCAGAGAGAGTGACCAGAGAGAGTGACCAGAGAGAGAGACCAGAGAGAGAAACCAGAGAGAGAGAGACCAGAGAGAGAGAGACCAGAGAGAGAGAGGCCAAAGAGAGAGAGGCCAAAGAGAGAGAGGCCAGAGAGAGAGAGGCCAGAGAGAGAGAGGCCAGAGAGAGAGAGGCCAGAGAGAGAGAGGCCAGAGAGAGAGAGGCCAGAGAGAGAGAGGCCAGAGAGAGAGAGGCCAGAGAGAGAAAGACCAGAGAGAGACTATATATAGAGAGAGAGCAGAGAGAGAGAGACACCAGAGAGAGAGACCACAGAGAGAGAGACCAGAGAGAGAGACCAGAGAGAGAGAGACCAGAGAGAAAGACCAGAGAGAGAGACCAGAGAGAGAGACCAGAGAGAGAGACCAGCGCGAGAAAGACCAGAGAGAGACTATATATAGAGAGAGAGCAGAGAGAGAGAGACACCAGAGAGAGAGACCAGAGAGAGAGACCAGAGAGAGAGAGACCAGAGAGAGAGAGACCAGAGAGAGAGAGACCAGAGAGAAAGACCAGAGAGAGAGACCAGAGAGAGAGACCAGAGAGAGAGAGACCAGAGAGAGAGAGACCAGAGAGAGAGAGACCAGAGAGAGAGAGACCAGAGAGAGAGAGACCAGAGAGAGAAAGACCAGAGAGAGAAAAACCAGAGAGAGAAAGACCAGAGAGAAAGACCAGAGAGAGACCAGAGAGAGAGACCAGAGAGAGAGACCAGAGAGAGAGACCAGAGAGAGAGACCAGAGAGAGAGACCAGAGAGAGAGACCGGAGAGAGACCGGAGAGAGACCGGAGAGAGACCAGAGAGAGACCAGAGAGAGACCAGAGAGAGACCAGAGAGAGACCAGAGAGAGACCAGAGAGAGACCAGAGAGAGACCAGAGAGAGACCAGAGAGAGACCAGAGAGAGACCAGAGAGAGAGAGACCAGAGAGAGAGAGACCAGAGAGAGACCAGAGAGAGAGACCAGAGAGAGAGAGACCAGAGAGAGAGAGAGACCAGAGAGAGAGAGAGACCAGAGAGAGAGAGACCAGAGAGAGAGACCAGAGAGAGAGAGACCAGAGAGAGAGAGACCAGAGAGAGAGAGACCAGAGAGAGAGAGACCAGAGAGAGAGAGACCAGAGAGAGAGAGACCAGAGAGAGAGACCAGAGAGAGAGACCAGAGAGAGAGACCAGAGAGAGAGACCAGAGAGAGAGACCAGAGAGAGAGACCAGAGAGAGAGAGACCAGAGAGAGAGAGACCAGAGAGAGAGAGACCAGAGAGAGAGACCAGAGAGAGAGACCAGAGAGAGAGAGACCAGAGAGAGAGAGACCAGAGAGAGAGAGACCAGAGAGAGAGACCAGAGAGAGAGACCAGCGCGAGAAAGACCAGAGAGAGACTATATATAGAGAGAGAGCAGAGAGAGAGAGACACCAGAGAGAGAGACCAGAGAGAGAGACCAGAGAGAGACCAGAGAGAGAGAGACCAGAGAGAGAGAGACCAGAGAGAGAGAGACCAGAGAGAGAGAGACCAGAGAGAGACCAGAGAGAGACCAGAGAGAGACCAGAGAGAGACCAGAGAGAGACCAGAGAGAGAGAGACCAGAGAGAGAGAGACCAGAGAGAGAGAGACCAGAGAGAGAGAGACCAGAGAGAGAGAGAGACCAGAGAGAGAGAGACCAGAGAGAGAGAGACCAGAGAGAGAGACCAGAGAGAGAGACCAGAGAGAGAGAGACCAGAGAGAGAGAGACCAGAGAGAGAGACCAGAGAGAGAGACCAGAGAGAGAGACCAGAGAGAGAGAGACCAGAGAGAGAGAGACCAGAGAGAGAGAGACCAGAGAGAGAGAGACCAGAGAGAGAGACCAGAGAGAGAGACCAGAGAGAGAGAGACCAGAGAGAGAGAGACCAGAGAGAGAGAGACCAGAGAGAGAGAGACCAGAGAGAGAGAGACCAGAGAGAGAGACCAGAGAGAGAGACCAGAGCGAGAGACCAGAGAGAGAGACCAGAGAGAGAGACCAGAGAGAGAGACCAGAGAGAGAGACCAGAGAGAGAGACCAGAGAGAGTGACCAGAGAGAGTGACCAGAGAGAGAGACCAGAGAGAGAGACCAGAGAGAGAGACCAGAGAGAGAGACCAGAGAGAGAGAGGCCAGAGAGAGAGAGGCCAGAGAGAGAGAGGCCAGAGAGAGAGACCAGAGAGAGAGACCAGCGCGAGAAAGACCAGAGAGAGACTATATATAGAGAGAGAGCAGAGAGAGAGAGACACCAGAGAGAGAGACCAGAGATAGAGAGACCAGAAAGAGACCGAGAGAGAGAGACCAGCGCGAGACCAGAGAGAGACTATATATAGAGAGAGAGCAGAGAGAGAGAGAGACACCAGAGAGAGAGAGCAGAGAGAGAGAGACACCAGAGAGACTAGTGAGAGAGACAACGGGAGAGACCAGAGCGAGAGACCAGAGAGAGAGAGACCAGAGAGAGACCAAACACCCCCACACCACACCCCCCCACCAAACCACCACACCCACCCACCCAACCAACCAACCCCCAACCCCCAACACCACAACCACCACCCCACCACCAAACAACCCCCCCAATACCCACCCCCACTACCCCCAACCCCCCAAACTCCCCCCCCATAACACTATACCCACCTCAATAACTCCACACACCCATATCCCCCCCACCCCCCAAAACCCACAAAACCCTAACCCCCACCCACATAATACACCATAAACTATCCCCCAAAACCAAAAACCACCTTTCCTCCTCCACCCACAACCACACCCCCCCCACATCCAATCTAATACTAACCCACCAACCCCAATAACCACCCCCCCAATACCCCCAAACATCAACCAAACCATCCACAATAAAATCTAACATAAACTAAACCTCCAACAATCCCTATCAATCAAACTCCAATACACCTAAACACACACACTCCCTCCCCTACCCCCACACCCCCACCATTACCAAACACAACCCCCCCCAAACAAACTCCAACATCACTCTCATCACCCAATCAAACATCCCCCCCCCCCCCACCCCAAAACAATAATACACTCATCATCCCCCCACCCCCACCCCCCCCCTCCACCCCAAAATTCCCACCCCCTTCCATCCCCCCCTAACCCTCTCAACAACAATCCATCTCCACCCCCCCCCCAATACATCAATATAATCAATCCACAAACAACCCCCCCCCCACCCCACCCACAAAACCCCACAATCACCACATATTACCTAAACACCAAAAAAAAAACACCCCCCCCACCAACCTCCAAAACCCAAACCCAAAAAACATCAACACCCACACACAACCCAACAAACTACCATACCCCCCACCAACCCCCACACCCCCCCCCCCCAACACACCCCACCAACACCCCAACACAAACCACCCACAACCAACAACACCCCTCACCACCAAACCAACAAAACCCCCACAACCCCCACCAAACCACCACACCACCCTTACACAACTACCAAACACAATCACCAACCCAACACCCCTCAAAAACCACACACCCCCACCCACCCCCCCCAAACCCCACCACAAACCCACAAACCCCCCCACCCACCACCACACACCAACCACAACACAACAACACCCAACCTAAACCCCCCCAACCCCCCACCCCAAAAACCACCCCCCCAAAACCCACCCCACCAACCACCACCACAAACAAACACCCACACCACCCACCCCCCCCCCAACCAACCCCCACCCACCCCACCCCACCCCACCCCCCCACCCCACACCCACAACAACCCCACCCCCCAACCACCCCACACCCCCAACCCCCCCCCCCCCACCCCCCACACCACAAAACCCCCAACACAACCCCCCACCCAAAACACCAACCCCCAAACAAACCACCAACAACCACACCAACCCACACCCACCACCCCCCCAACACCAACCCCACACACCCCCCCCCACCAACCCCCACCCCCAACACACCACCCACAACCCAACACCCAAACAAACCACACCCCCACCCCCCAACTAACCCCCACCAACCCACAACACCCAACCCCCCCCCCACCACCCCCCAATCACAACCCCACACCCCAACCCTAATCCCCCCCCAACAAAATCACCCACAACTCCAACCCCAAAAAATAACACCAAACCCCCCCCCAACCCACCACACCCCCCACCAACCACACCACCAACCACCCCAAACCCACACAACACCAACAAAAAACCACCCACCCCAACCCCCACAAACCCATACCAAACCACACCCCCACAAACAAAAACAAAAACCAACACACCCCACCCCACTCCCCCCACCACCCCCCAACTACAAACCCCCACCCCACCCCCCCCACCCCCCAACCCACCCCCCCCCCACCACCCCCCCCCCCACACCCCCACACCCACCCAACCACCCACCACACCCCCCCAACCCACCACCCCCAACCCCCCCCACCACATCACTCCAAAACCCCAAACACCCCAATCCCAACCCCCCCCCCCCCCCACAACACAAAAACACCACACAAACCCAAAACAAACAATCCATATATATATCAATTAAAACACAAACACCCACAAAAACACACAAACACAAAAAACCCAACCACCCACCCCCCCCCCACAACCCCCTCACTCCCCCCCCCCCAAACCCCCCCACAAACCCAACCCCCCCCCACCCCCCCCCCCCCACACCCCCCCAACCCCAAACATACACCCCCCACAAACCCCCCAACCCACACAACCCCCCACCCCACACACCACCCACCCCAACCCCCCCACACCCCACCCCCCCAACAAACACCTCCCCCAACCCCCACCCCCCACAACCCCACCCCACACCATCACAAAACCCCAAAACACAACCCCTACACCACCCACCACACACCACCCAAAAACCACCAACCCAAACCCAAAACCAATAACAAAACCCAACACCCCCCCCCCCAACCCACACCCCCACCCCAAACACCCCCCCACAACCCACCCCACCCCCCCACTACACCCACAAAAACACACTCCACACCTACCCCCACACACACCTACACACCACACACACCAACCCCCACACACACCAACTCACATCACTTCACTCCCACTCACATCCCCCTCTCTCTCTCCTCTTTCTCTCCCCTCTCTCATCCCCCCCCTCATCACATCCCACACACACCACACACACCTCACTCACCCCCTCTCACCTTCCCACAACACAACCCACACACACCCCCACAAACTTCTACTCCCTCTCTTCCACACTCACCTCACACACTCCTCATCTACCACACAAACCTACACACACCTCTCTCTCTTCCCCCCTCTCAACATCCCTCTCCCTCTCCCCTCTCTCTCAATCTCTATACCCACACTCTACACCACACACTCCACACACACACCCCCACCACACACACCAACTAACCACACATCACCCCCCCTCACTCTCACCCCTCACACATCCCCACTCACACACCACTACACTCCCCCTCACACACCCACTCACTCACCACACACCACCAACACCAAACCAAACCCCCCCAACCCCAATTCCCACATATCCCATCATCCAATCCAACCACCCCTCATCCTATAATACCCCTCTCACTAAAAAACATACCCCTATCAACTCCTCTTCCTATAACCTCCCTCCTATTACCCCTTACATCAACCCAACCCATCACCAACCTACCCCCCCAATCCCCCTACCAATCCACACCAACAATACTATACCCACACTTCCTCCCCTATACACCTCCAACCCCCCTAATCTATCAACCCCCATCCCTCCCATCCCACCCCCTCCCCATTCCATCCCCCCCCCCAACCCCCCCCCCCCCCTTCACCCTTCATCTTCACCCCCCCCTCCTCTTATATTCCCCCCTTCCATCTTCATAAATCCCCTTCCTCTTCAATACTCCCCCCCTTCCATATTCATACTCCCCTTCCATCTTCCATACTCACCCCCTTCAATCTTTTTACTCCTTCATCTTATACTCCCCTTCATATCTTCCAATAACTCCTTCCATCTTCCTACTCACCTTTCATCTTCCATACACACCCTTCCATCTTCATACTCCCCTTCATTTATACTCCCTTCCCATCTTATACTCTCTTCATCTTATACTCCATCCATCTCCCTCCTCACCACTTAATCTTATAATCCCTTCATCTACCCTACTCCTACAACTTATATCCCCTATCATCTTACATACTCCCCCCTTCCATCTTCCATACTCCTTATCTCATACTCACCTTCCATCTTACCCCTCCCCATCGCATACTCCTTCATCTTATAAAAAACCCACACCAACAACCCCACACAAAAAAACACACCCCCCCCCCCCCCCAACAACCACCCCACCCCCCCCCCCACACCCCCCCAACACCCCCCACCACCCCCAAAACCCAAACCCCCCCACCACACCCCCCACACCCCCCCAACCCCCCCCCCCCCCCACAACCCCCCCCCCACCACCCCCACAAAAACAAACAAACCACAACCACCAAAACACAATCACCCACACCCCCCCAAAACAAAAAAACCATCCAACATTACCAACTCCACCCCCCACACCCCTACCCCCCACCAAACCCCACAACACAACCCCACACTAAACCCCCCAAACTACCCCCAACTACAAAAAATCCCTAACAAAACACCCCACCATATACAACACCAACCCAACAAAACCCATCATTCTATCCCCTCATCTACTCCACATCTAAAAAAAAACCCCAACAATAATTATTTCCACCCTTTCCCCCCCAAAATTCAATAACTACACACCCCACCAAAAATAACCCCCCCCCCCAACAAACATACCTAATCTCACAAAAAACCCCCAAACAACACCACCCACCACCCACACCATACCCCCCCCCCCCCCCCACCCCCCCCCCCCCAACCCACACCAACACCCACCCCACCCCCCCAACCCACAACCCCCACCCCACCACACAACCCCCCACCCCCACCCCCCCACCCACACCCCACCCACCACCCCCAAACAACCCACCCCCACCCCACCCCCCCCCCCCCCCAACCCAAAACCCCCCCCCCCCACACCACACCCCAAACACACACACCCCCCAAAACCACCCCCCCCCCCCCCCCCCCCCCCCCCCCCCACCCCCCCCCCCCCCAAAAAAAAAACAACACCAACTCCACCCCAACCCCCCCAACCCCCACCCCACCCCACACCAACAACCCAACCACCCCCACCCCCAACCCCCCCCCCACCCCCCCCCCCCCCCCCCACCCACCCCCCCCACAAACCCCACAAAACCCACCCCCCACCAACCCCCACCCCCCCCCCCCCCCCCCCCCAACCCCAAAAAACACCCCAACCAACCCCCCCACACACCCCCACCACCACCACACAAACCCCCACCACCCCACCACCCCCCAACACCACACCCCCACCACCAACACCCCACCACCCCCACACCCACCCTCCCAAACCCACCCCCCCAAACACACCCACCACCAACCCCCAAAAACACACCCCACCACAACACCACCCCAAACCCAACCCCCCACCCCCCCCCCACACCCCCCCCCCCTCCCAACCCACACCAACCCACCCCCACCCACCAACACCCCACCAACCCCCCCCCCCAAAACCCCCCCCCCCCCCCCAAACACCACCCAACCACACCACAACCACCCCCAACCACCCACACCCCCCAAACACAAAACAAACACACAAAAACCACAAACCACCAACCCCCCCCCACCCACCCCACCAACAACCCCACCCCCCCCAACCCCCCACCAACCCCCCCCCACCCAACACACCAAACACCCACAACCCCCCCCCCCACCCCCCAACCCCCACACCCCAAACCCCCACCCCACCCCAACACCCCAACACA